TTAAAATACTAAATACATATCTTATTAGTAAACTATATTATGTTTTTTAAACTATAATTATGACATTTAATAAATAATGGAATACAGTTTTGTAAGTTAAATAAGAAATAATTATGGCCATCCCTACAGATGAGGAAACTGCCCGGTGGCCCCGCCCCCAGGGTCCGGGCCGGCCGCCGCTTCGGCGCCCGGAGTGGGGCGGGGCCCGCGGCGCTGTCCGCGGTGCTGACCCTCAGGGGCCGGAGGCGGCGGGGCGGGCACAGGAGCCGAAAGCGAGGAGGGCGCAGCGCCGCGGGAGCGGGGACGGGCTGCCTCCAGCCGCTCCAAGACCCCGTGCCTTCCACCACGGCCAGCGCCGCCCCGACCTGCCCAGCAGGTGCTGAGGGGGCGGGTAGTGCGTTGGCTGTCGGGGCCCTTCCCTCCGCGGCCCCGCCCCGCGCCCCGCGAGGAGGGGCCCAGACAAAGGCTGCAGAGCGGCCCTGCCTCCCTAGGGGAGGGGCGGCCGGGGATTTGGCATCCCGAGGCCACCCTGGACCACGCACCGCGTCACCCCACCCTGGCGATGCGATTCGGCAAAGCCCCTGACACCGGCCCAGCGCGGCGGCGGTCATTGTCCCGAGGCTTTAATGCGACCAAACTAGCGCTCAGGTGGGGCACAGCCGGCCGAGCCCCGGGGCCGCCCTGACTCCTCCACCCCCTCCCCAGGGCCGGCCGCCGGGTCCACGCAGAGCCCGGGGGCAGGAAAGCAGCCCCGGGCCTATCCCCATCCTTCGGCTGCCGCGGGGGGCGGGCCCGGGCGGCGGGGGCTCCGAGCGCTTTCTCTGAGTCTGGCTCACCGCCAAGGCCAGGGGCTGGGAAAGGAAGAACCGGTTCCTCCCCCAAATCCACCTCTCTCTTGTTTGAAGTGTTTACAAGGATTCCAGATATTCATCTTTAAAATTAACATAAATTAAGAAAATCAGCGCGAAAGGAATAAAAAGTAATGAGCAAGCGCCAGGGCCAGAGCGTGGAGCCGCACGGACCCCTTTGGCAGGAACGAAGCTGTGCCGGCTGCGGAAGGAGCGGCGTGAGTGGACCGCCGCTCCCAGGCCCGGGGGGCTCAGGGCTTCCTCCCGGGACCCCTGACCTCTGAGGAGCAGGTGTTCGGAGCAGGCCAGGCCATTTAGCCCCATTAATGAGCCCTCGGCCCCTCCCGCCTGGCCTGGGCCGCTGTCAGCGGCCCCGGCTGGATTTGAGGCCGCCCCCCAGGCCGCCCCTCCCCCTCTCGGGCACGCACAGCTGTCCCCTCCGTGACGAGGAGTCGCGGGGACCTCCCCCGAGACTCCATCCCGAGGCCTCCACCCCGGAGCCCAAGCTGCAATTTACATGTCAGCCACGTGGCTGCCCCAGCCCATCGTAATTAGCTTTTTGTTCTCGCCGTTTCCATGGCAACAGCCTCCAGAGGAAGCCTTTCCTCAGTCCCTTCTCCTCCAGGACCTGTCTCCTGCCCCCGCCCCCTCGGGGATCCTTTCGACGCCGTCCCCGCGCTGGGTCCCTGGCCGTGGTCCTGACAAAGCCGCACTCCGCCGCGCGGGGTCCCCAGGAGCGCCCGGGGCGCCCGCAGGGGCTGAGCCGCTATGTGACCTTGGGCAAGGGACAGCCTCCGGACTTAGGGACAGGACACTGGCCACCTCCTCCCCCGCCCCGGTCCCAGCATCTGAGAGGTGGGCTGACAATGGCCGCGAGGAGCGGCCCACGCCCGGAGCCCGGCTTTGTTCCCACGCGCAACCCCCGGACTCCGCGCGGAGCTTGCCCGGGTCGGACTGCGCTGGGGGAGCGGCCGGTGCTGGACCAAGGTCACCTCGAGTCCGGGCCGAACCCTTCCCCCCACAAAGGATGGGGTGGGGCCAGGCAGCCGGGGGTTGTCACAACGAGGTTGGGGGCCCGAGGAGGCTCTCACCGCCGGGCGCGCCTCCGTTCCTGCGGAGTGCCAGGGAATCATTAAGGCTTTGAGGGGGACCCCGCCCCAACCAGCCCACCCACCGACCCCGCTCAGGCCGAGTTGCGACCCCAGTGAGGGCCACGCCCAGCTGGCGGGCTGCATCCGCCGCGGCCGGCGGAGGAGGGAGCGTGGCCGCGGATGTCGCTGCGCTCGGCGACGCCCTGGAGCCGGCGGGGGCAGAGGAGCGGCGGGTGGCGGCGGCAGGGCGGGCCCGCCGCTTTGTTCTCGGTCCGCAGGGCCGACCGCGGCTTGGGGTGCGCGGCGCGCACGGCTTCCCTCCTTCGGATGCGATTCGGGCGGGGACGCGGGCGGCGCGCGGGGCGCGGGGCCTCACCTTGGCGCCGATCTGGTTGCCGCACTGGCCGGCCTGGATGTGCACGATCTCCCTCATGCTCGGTGCGGTGGCGGCGGCTACGGGAGGCGCGGACGGGCCGGGCTGGCGACGAGGGTCCACCGCCCCCGCCGCCGCTCTTATAGGCCGGGCCCCGCCCGCCGCGCCCTCCTGGCGTCACGGCGCAGCCAATGGGGGCGCAGCCGCGCGATGCGGCACGGCCCTGCCGCAGCAGCCCCGCGCCTCCCCGCCCGCCGCCGCCGGCTCTGGAGGCGGCTCCCTCGAAAGGAAGGCGGACAATGGAAGCCCCCTGGGCCCTCGGACCCCGCCCCGGCTCCCGCCGCAGCCCAGCACTTCAGCTGAGGGACCGACCCCATCTTCCCACCCCGAAGGGCGAGGCGGGCGCATCCCAGCTCCCTGTCCGTGGCATAAAGGGGCCGCCGAGGTGCTCTGAGCGCCGGGGTCCAGAGGGGCAGGAAACCACTCAACAGGCACCAAAAGCAAACCCAGGGCTGAAAGGCCCTGAGTCACAGCGGCTGTGGGTGCAGGAGGGCGGCGGGGTCACTGCGGGGCTCCGAGTCCCACTGGCCCCCCTGCAGTGGGGGCGCCCCCCCGAGCCGGCTGCCGTCAGACTCCAGACGGACCTTGCTTTGTACCCCGCCAGGCACAGGGCTCACTGTGTAGCCGCTGCTCAGCGGCTGCTGGTGGGGGGCGCTGAGATGAGGGCCAGGCCGGGTGAGGGGCCGGCGGGGCGGGCGGGCGTCCCTGTCTCCCTCCCTGGTGTCACGTGCGCGTCTGGACTCTTGGTCCAAGTGAGGCCAGGGGCGCGGGGGGAGTGTGCATCAGGCGCGGGTCCCTGCAGGGAAGACTGGGGAAGAGGGGCTCGGGGCGCAGAGAAGGGCGGGAGGCCTTCACCCGAAGACAGACATTGTGCTCCACACAGGGCGCGCCCAGCTTCACATCCGCCTGGGCTCACACACTGTAGTGAAGACACCTGATAACAGGTCCTCCTGATGTTCCAGTGACAAGCCCTCCGGGAAGGGCGTCCCAGGCAGCTGGACCAGCTCACGGGGGCACCCAAGTCCAGGGCGCGGGGTCAGAATGGGCCTGCGGGCGGGGGCGGGGTGGCTGTGCCCAGGCCCCCGCTTCCCCTCCTGAGGCTCCCAGTTTGGCAAGTCTAGGAACGGGTCTTTTGTTCTCCAGTAGCCCCTCCCCCACAATGTGTCCATGATGTGGCTTTCTGTGGTTGGCTTGCGGCCACCTGGGGCCCCTCCCTGCCCCCCACATCAGGGGGTCCTTGGTGAGCACTTGGCCCTTCCCTGGGGCTGGAGGTGCCTCCCTGTCTGAGCAAAAGAAGCAGGTTTGCATCACCCTGTCAGCCAGGACCCATCAGCCCAGCCCTGGGCAGGATGGCGCGGGGCCAGGACAGCACCCCTCTGTTCCCGGAGGGCTCTGGTGCGGGCTCCGGGCTGACTCACCATCCTGTCTCCCGGCAAAGGCCAGCCCTGCCGGGAACCAGCTCCCAGCCCCGCAGCCAGCAGGCAGGGCCGGAGCTGCCAGCATCCGTGGGGCAGGGACCGGCCGGGCAGAGTGGGTGGCTGGCCAGGGACTGCAGACAGCGCTGGAACTGCCTGGAGTCGGCGGATACCCTCGCTCTGACCTCCACAGAGCCTGTACCAGGACCGGGGCGGCTGCCGGCTCCGTGTCTGTGGAGGGGCCCACGTGGCTCCTCAGCAAGAGGCCCAGGGTAGCAGCGGAGGGGGACCTTGAGTCCCCGCACCTGGCAGCGTGGTCCACCCCAGACGCCACTCCCAGGGACACGCCCTGCAGCCACGGGACAGCGTCACCCTGTTCTGGGGGGCCTTGCTTCAAACCCCGACCAGGGCCGATAGCGCTGCACCGTGGACCTCTGCAGTGGCGGGGGAGCTGTCTGTGCTCTGCCAAGGTCACCGTGGCTTGTGGTGGTCCTGCTCCTGCGGCCGCTGAGTGCAGCCTGGGCAGTGGAGGTGGCTCGGGGCAGGAGGCCTGCTGCTCCTCGCTCGAGCCACCCTGGGCTGGGGTTTGCACATGGAGAGAAGCAAAGACACAGCCTCCGCATAGGCGCAGTGGGGTCCACATGCACCCCCGGGGCAGGGCCTCAGGCACGCTGGCTTCTGGGGCTCACTTCTCCCCCTCGCGCCTCCCACCCGAGCCTCCCCAGCTCCTCTGCCCTCAAGCTTCTAGCGACTTCTGGAAGGAGTCCAGGCAGACGGCGATGAGACTGCTCCAAGCCCAGCATTTATTACCGGAGGCTTCCCGGCCCTCAGACTCTGGGTGCAAGTTGCCGAGTCAGGCAGGCGGCCTCTGCCTCAGTCTGAGCAGGCGTGGGCCGCGCCCCCGGCTCCCCCGGCAGCAGGACCCAGGAAAGATGCGCCCGCACTCCCTCTGCGGCTCCTGCAGGCTCGGCCCTCTCCCTGGGACAGGTCCTCGCTTCTTCCTGAAGCAGCCCCGTGGGCCCGGGGCTGCTCCTCCCAGGGCCCCTTCTTCCGAGGCCGCGTCGGGGAGCAGCCCTCTGCCAACCGCGGACTTCTCATCCCGGGGGTGGGGCCCAGGTGGGCCCTGCCTGTCTCCAGGTATAGGCAGGACTGTCCCACCGGGGCAGTGTCTGTCCAGGAGCCCAGCCTGCCCTGTGCCGACAGTCCCCCCAGCTCCTGAACGTTCATGCTGCTCCCTCTCTGGCTCCAATGGGTCCGTGAGCCCACACCTCCAGAGACCGTCTAGCCTGTCCTCATTGGCAAATGACTGCCCTGGTCACAAGGGAGTCGGCCCTTGCAGTAGCTGCACCTCCCTCGGCCCAGCACCCTGCCTCCCCGGGAGCAGAGCAGCAGCTCTCGGAGCGTCTTCCCGAGCTCCTGACTTCGGAAGGCGTAGACGAGGGGGTCTGAGATGGCATGGCAGACGGCAAGGGCCAGGAAGAGGCGCAAGTTCTGGAAGACGCAGTGGCAAGTGGGGTGTTGAGGACACAGGACAATGAGCAGGAGGCGCACGAAGAAGGGGCCCCGGCAGAGGAAGCTGCCCAGCAGGGCAGCAGGCGTGGCCGCGCCCTTCAGGCCGAAGCCCTGGGGGGCCGGGTGCTGCCTCCTGGGCAGCTGGGAGAGGCCGCGGGCCTGCCGGCACGCCTGGGCGAGCATGCGGACAGGCAGCACCGCCGGGAGCGTCAGCATAACCGCCCAGAAGCTGACGAGACCCAGCAGGACAGCTGTGTGGGCGGAGTGGGTGACGAAGAGGGTGCTGGAGGTGACACCGGCGCCCCGACAGCCGCGATGGCCGGCCATGCCCTGGGCAGCCTCACAATGCCCTGGTACCGCAGCGCGTAGAAGATGGAGAGGTAGCGGTCCACGGCCAGGAAGCAGAGGCTGGACACCACGGAGCCACAGGCGAGCACATCGAGGACGTCGGCCAGTGGCTGCGCCGCAGCGGCCGCAGCGGCAAGGGTGCCTGCCTCCAGCAGCAGCGCGATGGCCGTCCTCAGTGGGCCGCTCGCGCCCACCAGCAGGTCGGCCACAGCCAGGCAGCCGACGAACAAGTAGGCGGGCGAGTGCAGGCTGCGGCTCCTGGCGACGGCGGCCACCACCAGCATGTTCTCCACCAGGCTCACCAGCCCCAGGCCTAGGAAGAGCCCGTCAGGGACGCACACCTCCGGGCACTGGCGGCCCGTCGGACTGGGGGCCCGCCCAAGGAGTGGGGCGGTGTCGAGGACGCCCAGCAGCCCCCTCGGGGGGCCCTGTCCGGGCACAGGCCCCCAGGAAGCAGGCATCCCACTCAGCTCACGGTGCCACCAGGGGCCGTTCGCACCCCCAGGGCCGCCCTCGCCCTCACCCTCGCCCTGGCAGGACGGGTGCCGGCCCCGGCGTGCCCCTGCCTCCGCACCAGCCCGGTCACTTCCCAGCCGGGACCCTGACTCCGCAGTGCCAACCCTCTGGGCCCCCAGCCCGCCTCTCCCGAGCCCTCCCATTTCTGCGCCTCCCACCTCCCCACCAGGGGAGGGCCCAGGCCCAAGAAGAATGGAGCCTTTCTACACACCCCTCAAGTCGCCCACTCCACCCTCCTCCCGAGGGCGGCCGCATGATGGGCAGGTGCCCAGAAACTCCTCAGAGCCTGCTCGTGGTGCCTTGGCCTGCCGCCAGGCAGCGTGAACGGCTCCCAGACCCCCACCCACTCCAGGGCGCAGTGGGACTCTCCTCTTCGTGCACATGGCCACTGCAGGTGGCCAGCCTTGCTCAGCCAGCGCCCCAGTTGGGCCCCTGCTCCAGGCGTCTGTGTGGGGTGCCCGCTGGGCCTGCCTGAGGCCTCTAACCCTCCTCCAGGCCCATGGCAAACAGCCCCCCTGGAAGCCTCCCATCCCCAACTCCAGCCTGATGCAGCCTTGCCTCAGAATAGTCACTGACTATTGACTGTCCACCCCCAGCCCTGACCCCGCCCCATGTGAGATGCCCTGAGGGCGGCCATCCCCAAGGACCCCAGTGCCTTTGTGGTCGCTGCCAGACGGCAGCCTGGTCCTGCATCGAGCAGACGTGTCATCATCCTAGGGGGCTGGGGCAGAGCTGCCAGCCCCAAGTCCTCTGCGCAAGGACACCGCAGGCGCCAGGCCAGGGGCCACTTCAAGGCAGGCCTCTGTCCCCAGCCACGGGGTCTGCTGCGGAGCATGAGACCGCAGTGCCCCCGGTCTCCGTGGCCTCATTCCACGCCAGCACTTTCCCACTGGAGGCCCAGGTGGAGGGGGAAGGGCCCCGCTCCTCCCACTGGTGGGGACGAGGTGGCCACGGGGCCAGGAGGAGACGGGGGACGTGTGTCTTAAAGCGTATCTGTGATGTCCCTGACGGAGGTCGTTCCCCCCGTCCACCCCCGCGGCCGCGCGGCCTGACGGCCCGTGGGTGTGTGCGCACACGAATACCCACATTCGAGTATTGATCACGCCTCACAGCTGCACAGCTCGCAAAGCTCCCTCCCTCCCTTTGTTCCGAACCCTCTCACAGGCGAAGCGCACACGTCAACGCAGAGTCCGCGCAGCCAGGGGAGCCGCTGCAGAGCCAGGTCCGCGCCTCCCCGCGGCCGAGGCGTCCTCGGCACGGCCGCCAACGAGCCGAAACGCTGGGCACCGGGGCAGCTCCCAGCCCGTTACAGACAGTGCGCGTGGGCTCCCTCGGCCGGCGTTGCCAGACAGTCACTTGTTCCCACGCGAGGGGTGGGACTTCGTGGTCAGAGGCCATCTCCACGCTCCACACCGGAGGACCCGTCAGTCTGTCCTGGCCGTGCACAGCCCCCACGGCCCACGCCTGGGCGAGGGGCAGGCCGCTCCCAGCTCCACAGGCGGCAGGCACAGCACGGCCCCCGCAAGCCCTTCGCCCTCCTGGCCACCCCAGGGCATGGCATGGGCACAAGGCTGCGCCGCAGCAGCGAAGGTGGCCCCGGCAGCTGTGCGGGGACCCTGTCCCTGACACGTCTCAGGGCTCCCACTGCAATGCTCTGTCCCCGAGGACCCCGTGCGCCCAGCGCGCGAGGCTGTCTGCTGGGTGAGCAGGCTAGGCGCCGGCTGCAGTCATGGCATTTTGCGGTTGCTGATATTCTCAGCTCTATAATGAGGGCTTTGAGGGGGCCAGCGCCACCCACACCAGCCTGAGACTTCACAGGGCGTGAGAACGGGGCGGCCTTTGGCCTGCGACCACAGCACTCCTCCTGGTGAAGCCTCAGGACACCCCAGCTGGCTCCCATCGGACTCGCCTGTTGAAGGCCCCATGGTGTGGGCGGGGAGCAGGTTCAGCTGAGCGGCACAAAGTCCCCTCTGCAATTAGTTCCGGTCACGGGGAAGCATCCGAGGAAAGCACAATCCCGAAGCCAGTCACACAGCTCGCCCTCCAGGGCCCGGGAGGCGGCCCAGGGCCCATCCACCTGTGACCCCGCACCCGACCCACATGTGAGGAGGCTGGGAGAACAGGGAGCCCTGGATCTTGTTCACAGTTGTCTCCCCGGCACCAAGCAGGGCTCCAGGCGCACAGCAGACCCGCGACACGCAAGCGTTCCATGAGCCAGTGAGGTCCACGGGGACACCGGGGCACGAAAGCCTCGACGAAGAGGGAGGGGTGCTGGAGTCCCACCACAGCCATACCAGTGAGGCGGGGTCACCGCCTGACCGGGCGACCCGGGCCTGCCGTCCTCAGAGAGGCACCCGAGGGCCGGGCGGGGGCCCCGTGGGGTGAGCTGCCGCGCCCGTCTCTCGCCATGGAGGAGTCCCGGGGAGGGCTGGCCGGGGACTGGGTCTGGGCCACTTCTTTTCTGCCTGCGGAGGTCAGGGCCCAGAGGGCGCCCAGCAGACAGGGGGCCTCCAGCTCACAACTGCAGCGCCCCAGTCCTTGCAGAACCAAACAGGCTCCTGTGCAACAGGCAGCCCTGTATGGCTCGCAGCTGCCAGCCGAGCAAGCCAGGACCTGCCCCAGCCCACGAGCCCACCCGCCAAGCTGCCCCCCCCACCCCCCCCCCCCGTGCAGCCAACGCCCCCGCCTCCACCCTGCCTGCCCCCCCCACCCCCGCGGCCCCTCAGGCTGCCCAACTCAGCACGTTCCCACAGAGCCCTTCCATCGGGCTGGAGAGCCCACCCCGGGCCAGCCCGGCTGGTTCTGAGAGCAGCACCCTGGGTGCCGACCCAGCCTTGGAAAACAGAGCTGCGCGTGCAGGCGTGACCGTTCGCGCCAACGGGAGGGACAGGCAGGCAGGCAGATACTGCGTCTTTACTTCAGGGAGCTGGCCAGCGCCGGCCAGATGAGCCAGGAAGGTCACTGTACAGTGTGGGAGCGGCACCTGCAACTCAGTCCCACTCCCCGTCCCCGTCCCCCTCGGCGGGGGCCTCGTGCAGACCCTCCGGGTCGTGGAAGTGGAAGGTGGCCATCATGTCTCGCACAGCCAGCATCAGCCTGTTCAAGCCCTGGTTGCGGTCCGGACCCTCGGCTCCTCCGGCCTCCGGCCTCTCCCCCTGTGGCAACGAGACCTGTCTGAGCAGGGCAGCCTGGGACACAGCAGCCTGTCGAGGTGAGGAGGTCCTAGAAGCCACACACACACGCATCTAACACGGCCAGGTCACCTGAGGGGTCCTGGCAGCCACCCAGTTGGCAGCTACAGGCTCAGGCGGGCACGTCCAGCGCCCTCGGCAGACGGGGGCCCCCGCTGCTGGCAGTGCCGGCTCGGACAGCCGCGTCTGACAGCGCTGACGGCACCCAGCTGGCAGGGGGAGGGGGAGGTGCGCTCACTCACCTCCATGGTGTAACTGGGCAGCAGCGACCGAAAGAAGAGGGCAATTGTGTTTCCATGGCTAACGGGACTCAGCCTGGAAAGAAGAGGAAGGTCAGGGGACGAACTGGGGATAGGGAGGCAGCAGCTGGAAAGGGGGCTGAGCTGGGGCCGGCAGCCCCAGGGGCACACAGCCACGGACGCCGGCCAGCTTGGGGCGCACTGCCAACTGCCCGCACCCAGAGGCCAAAGGGGAGACTGTTCCGGAGTGGGGCGCTGGCTTGTTGAACTGAGTGGAAAGCAGGGCCCATCACAGCCAGGTGGGATACCGGCCCCTGAACAGGGGCCTTGCTTCTAAGAAAACCTGTGGTTTCAGTGTTTTTCAGCACTTAAAGCTGAAGGAGCATTAACCGCTCATATAGAGATTCCAGGGCAAGTGTTCAGTGAAGACCCCTCCTGGTGAAATGAGGTACTGCAGCCCAGCTCTACGAGATACACAGGTGACCTTCGGCAGGGACCCTCCTGTGCTGAGAGCTGATGGTCTACAGAACTGGGGAGGGGGCACGGGACACCTCTGAGTCAGTAAAGTCCTAAAGCCATTCCTCAATGCTATGACGTCCAGTATGTTGGCTTTTTTCTGAACCCATGAGACAACACCCATCTTGATTGGAGAGGTTAACTGGGAAACGTTACCCTATGAACATGCTATCCAACTCTTATAATTCAGTGAAAAAAAAAAATTAATTCTCCAAAACATGTTCTACCAACATCTGAAAGCTCAGGCTCCCTTAAATGGGACAAGCTGTTGGTGACTTGTCCAGATCTGCGAGCCTGTGGTGATCAATTCTAGGGAAGGCAATTACTCAGCTCAAAGGCTAGAAGGGAAAAAGGAGCCGCGCGCACACCCTGCAGCCGTGGACTTGCCGCTCTCCTAGCCCAGCCGCATGGGCCTTCACACCTGCAGACTCTTCTGCCAAAGCCCGGCAGCTGTCACCTCGCTACCTGGTGAGGGCACCTCGTGTCTCGGTGGGCCCACCACTCTCTCCCGGCAGTTTCTGGTGGCAGTTCCCAGGCCCTGTCCCTGCCCTGTGTTTCCAGCCACACCGTCCACGCCACGAGGGCAGAGCCGGCCTCACTTCCGCTTCCCACTGTACGTGCAGCACCTGCTACAGCACCTGACAGAGCAATGCTTCTGTGTCGGGCAAAAAATAATGGAAGATGTCCAGGCCTGCAAAGCGGATCCATGAGCCTAAAACCCTCTGCTCCGAGGGCCGGTGCCTGGAGGAAGCAGCAAGCCCAGGCCCGAAGCACGGATCTCGGAGCCAAAAAGCAACGGAGCGAGTGGCACATGGACGGTACCTCTCTGGCCTCGTGTAGGAGTAGATGGTGTCCACGGGAGGCAGTGGGTCAAAGCCCATCACAGGCTGCGTGGTCACGTCCTGCAGAAAGGACACGGGACGGGGATACAGCCGAGCCCTGCGCCGCGCTCCTGCCTCCCCCCCGCAGCCCGTCGGCCCGCTCGGCTCTGGGTCGGCCCTTTCTGCCGGCGTCAACCCGGCGGCCCGGCCGGGTGTGCTGGATCCAAGGCTTTGCAAGTGGGGGCGGGACACACGACCACCCTCACACAGGCTGCAGTCCCCACCCAGGATGTCAGGATGTCACTTCGAGCAGCAGGCTCTAGGCTGCGGGGCTCGGAGGAGAGGGACCCCGCACACCAGCTCCTGCTGGGAGCCCCGCTCCTTACCGGGGGCAGCGCGGCAACGGCTTCCTTGATCTCGGAGAGGATCACGTGACGGTGGATGTTTCTGGGCGCACGCTGGTAGAGCACCTTCCGCCTGGGGCCCCGGGAGAACAAGGGACAGCCCATGGAACGGGCCGCCCCGCCCGCCCCCACGTGCGCGGCCAGGGTCTCCTGGCCACGGGGCCTCGTCCTCCTTGCGGGGACCCGTGGGGCCAAGTGCCTCCCGGCTGCCCCAGGCCCGGCTCACCTGCTCTCACACTCGCCCACTGCAGGGTCCCCAGCGTCCACTGCCCGCAGGACCTCCCGGACGTTCCCCTCCAGCCAGCTCATGGTGGCGGCCTCCTTCCACAGGAAGTGTGACCGCCCGAGGTACAGGCGCACCAGCTGGCTCAGGGCAGGGGGCTGGCTGCGGGGAGACAGGCTGTCGGCACAGCGCCCGCCCAGGCCCGGGCCCACACGCCTGCTGGCAGTGGCAGGGGTGCGTCCAGGGAGGGCCCAGAGCCTGAGGCGAGCAGAGGCCGCCCAGAGGGGGCTGCGATCTGGGACAGGCTGCTCCCCGGGGCGGGGGCGGGGGGCTGGGGGGGCATACAGATGCTTCCTCCCACAGGTGCATGGGGTCTTTACCGAGTGGGAGTTCCTCCCTGGGAACGTAAAACACAGGAGGAGCACAGGCCACACCCCGCTGCCACGTGTCGGGAAGCCTCGCGCTCTGGGCTGCAGGCCACGGCGCACACAGACATGGGACCCCGGCCCCGCACACGTGCGCACACACCCCGCCAGAGAGACAGGGCCCCCCAGACACACAGGCGCTGGGCCCTCGGGACCCCTCCGCGGCCTCACCTTATCTCGGCATTGGGTCCGAAGAAGCGGTGACCGGCGACCGCGGCATCCGGCCGCACGCTGCAGGCCTCGAGCAGGGGCATCAGAGCTGCGGGAGGGGGACGCGCCCCCACGTCACTCACACCCGAGGGGTCCTCTGTCCCCTGCGTCCCAGGGCCCTGTCCACCTCTGGGGGGACTCACCCAGGACCCCTCGGAGCTCAGGTGCGGGACGTCCTCATCACAGAGGCCACCCGCCCCATCCCCTCAGCAGCACCCTCCCTCCGAGGGAGAAGCCCCCTTCCCAGCGACACCCAGGGGCTCCATCCAGAGGCAGCGCAAGGCTCGCGCCCCAGGCCCTGCCCAGAGGCAGCTGCGCAGGTAAAGGTCGTGCACCCCTGCAGGTCAGCGGGAGCTGCTTGGGGGGCAGCCGTGTCAGGCGGGGGGTTCCAGGCCACACCTCTAGCACAGCCAGGCAGGGGCCTGGCGGCAGACCTCCCTCCACACTAACGCCACCGCTCCGGCCACTGGTGGGGCGGGTCAGCGCCCCACGTGCACCAGCGAGCACAGCCAAGGTGCTCCGCAGGCTGGGGGGCGGAGGGGGCGGAGGGGGCGGGGTGCGGGGAGCTGGAGCTCATTGCCCACCCCCCCCCAAGGCCTCGCAGCCCATCTGGAGCCCCCATTTCCCTCTGGCGCCACCTCACACACTGTCCCAGTGCCGGCCCCCCTGCCCAAGGGGACAACAGCAGCCCCTCTCGCAGGTCGGAGCCCTTTGAGGGTGTGGGGGTGTGACCACCAGCCAGGGAACAAGCCGCAGGCCTTTCCACCCCGACACCCACGGGAAGGCCCTTTGAGGCCCCAGGACAACCTACATCTCCGACCCACAAACTGAGAGAAGCTGGACCGCAAGACAAGGGTGTGGAGCCCGGCTGGCTGACCGCCCCCGCCCCCCAACCCGGGCCTGGGCCCTGCTTCCTCCTCCCGAGGAAACACCAAGCCTTCTTCAGAAGCTAAGTCTTTTTCAAACGAACGGCCAGCACCACAAGGAACTGTAAAACCCCACCCCCACCCTGAGACCCGAGTCAGTCTCTTGTGGGGGTCCTGCTGGGGAGGGCGGGGCTTGGGCGCACCCACCTCCGGGGAACATGGTGAGTGCCTGGCGCACCAGGAGGGAGGCCTTTTCCCTCGCGGAACTGAGCTCCTGGTCTGGGAGGTCCGCCTGCTGGCTCAGCAGGAAGTGCGCCAAGGGCACGGAGAAGGCGAAGTTCGGGAGCTGCGACAGGTTCCGGAGGGTCTGCAAGGAGCATGGCCAGCGGCTAAGTTCGCAGACGGTGCGCACAGTGGCGTCTGTAGGGCTTCGGTGACTATGATATCCTCGCAGCTGGGGGTTTTCTCTTTGTAGGAACAACAAACAGGCCCCCCCGCCCCCGCCCCATCCACAGGGAAGCTGCTCCAAGACCGCCACGGGGGCCAGAGGCCGCAGTGAGCACCCAGGCCTGCATGCACCTGTCCCTTCCTGCAGGTGGGGTCTGCGACCAAGCCCGGTTTACGGATCAGGCAGAAGAAGAAATTCCCAACAGTGAAACAGACCAACAGTGTGAGGTATGACAGTGGAAACAACACAGGTTTCTTTTCTTTCTTTGAAGTTCACTAACAGGAGACTCGTTTTCTCCGTAGGCCTTAGCGACCTCGGCAGGCGATTCTTCCCTTTCCTTGTTCAGGGGAGAACTTTCACCTTCTCACTTAAATGGAGCTTTTCTGACTTTCTCGGGACAGCTCCGCACCGCCAGCGTGGGAACTCTGCTGCTTCGGGGCATTATTAAGTGAAACTGGGGTGACTTGTGCACAAGCCCTGTGACGCCTCTACGGTGTCTCTCAACCCAGACGGCCCCTCCCTGCTCCCGCCGGCCAGGCCAGCGGCGCGCACCTACCTCCCACTCCTGGGACAGGCGGATCAAGTACTCGTAGCAGCGCGCCCGTAAGGCCAGGTGGTCCACCAGCAGCAGCATGCACAGGGGGTCCTCGTCCGGCTCCAGGCTTCAGAGGCAGCGAGGGGAGGGCAGAGGAGAGGAAACCCAGAGTGGGCCCACGCCACTGCGGCGGGCCTGCGGCTACTGAGGCGGCGGCGGCGGCAGCGGCGCGACACCTACCTCAGGATGAGCTTGCAGTGCTCCAGCGCCGTGCGCGGGCAGCCCCGCTTCTCCAGGAAGCTCATGTGCTTGTACAGGGCCAGGTAGAAGCTCCTAGACCCAAGACAGTGCCGCGTGAATTAGAGCGGCGGCAGGTGGCCACGCCACGCCACCCTGTCCTGCTGGCTGCGTCGGCGCTTGCTGTGCGGCCTAACCGCCTTGAGTGTTCCAGAACGTTCCTGGGTCTGCAGAGAAGGTGACGCTCTGCTTGTTGTTTGTGTTATATGTGTGTCCATGTACAGAAAACCAAGCCTATCTGTTAGGTCAAACCTTTACCTTGGGTTTTGTTTTTTTAAGTCATCAGTGAAGGGAAGAGTTGAAACCTGCTGCCATCACCCCCTTGCCCCGTCCTCGCACCCCAGCAGCCGCAGCAGCTCCGCTGCCGGTGCGCCAAGTCTGTGGCCGGAGCGGCCCCGGCGGCCCGCGGCGGGTGCCCGTGCCGCCCGCCGGGGCAGCGCCTGCGAGTGCGAGCACCTCACCGCCCACCTCCGCGCGCTGGGGACTTGCCTGCACCAGAGACGGGGCCGACAAACACCGGCAGCGGGGGCTCAGACGCAGCCCGTCGTGCAGGGCAGTGGGTCAGCACACCCGGGACAAGGGCGGCCGCTGTGGGGGAGGGGCGGGGAAGGCGCCCCTCGCTGCCGACAACCGTGGGCAGCTGGAGAGCACAGGAGGGCGCAGGGGGCCGGCAGACCACCCTGCCAGGGCCGTGAAGGCCGGGCTGAGGTCACCTGGGGCCTGAGCAGGGCCCTCGGGACAGAAGTTTCTGCAGGACGAGGGGGTCCCGTGCGCTCGGCTGCCACTGCCAGGAACAGGATCGGGCCGCACACCAGCCACTGACTAAGGTCCTCGCAAACGCGTGGACAGAGCACAGCAGAGCATTCTACAGCACCCAGGGCTGTGCAAAGACACAAGGGAGCGTGAATACAGACCCCACCAGGGCGAAGTGGCTCCTCAGGCTCCCTCCTGACAGAGACGAGTGCGCCCCAGCCTGACGGTCGCCCGTCCTGGGGCCCAGCCCTCCCGCATTCGCGCTTCACACACAGTGAGCTGCCTGGTCCGAGCCACCCGCAGGCCCCTGTGGGCAGCCCATGCCGCCCGCTCCCGAGCCCCACGCTGGTTCTCCCGTCGCCTGCGGCAGCGTCGACACCCAGGAGAAAGCGCCGAGCGCGCGCACGCACCTGTTCTCGGGTCTGCGGTAATCCAGCCGGCAGGTCCCGCTGGTGAGGCTGAACAGGGGGTGAAAGGCGCACTCCATGCTGTACAGCGCTCGCTCTGCGGGCCACACAAACACCGGGGAGGGCGTCACAGCCGCGCGCGGCGACTGCAACCCCGTCCTCGGGGGCACGCGACAAGGGGCGCTCTGGAAGGACAGGAGTCCGGCAACGAGGGTGCGGGGCAGTGACAGAGCATGGACGTGACGCTGGAGGCCACCGAGGCCACACGGCATCTGCTTCGCCCACAGGGTCTGAGCTGGCAACACGCGATTCCAGACAGAAACGCACACACAGCCTTCCCTGGCCGGGGGGCTCAGGCGGTTGGAGCGTCATCCCATAGACCGAAAGGTCATGGGTTCGATTCCCGGTCGGGGCACACGCCCAGGTTGCGGGTTTGATCCCCAGTCGGGGCGTGTAGTAGAAGGCAACCGATTGAAGTTTCTCTTGCACGTTGATGCTCCTCGCTCTTTCTCTCTCTCTCTCCCTTCCTCTCTCTCTAAAAAGCAATGAAAAAATATCCTCGGGTGAGGATTAAAAAAAATTAAAAAAGAAAGAAATGCACTCATGTCCTTATAAAACTCACACACACAGGCCCCAGCAGCTCATTCACAAGGGCCAAATGCAGGAACGACCCAGTGTCTGTCAAGGGCTGGTGGGGACCCACAGCACGGCCACCACACAACGGAGCACCGTCCAGCCTTGGAGACACTGGCGAGTGAAGAAGCCAGACAGACACATTTACATGATTCCATTGCTCAGAAAGGTCCAGAAGAGGCAAACCCAGAGACAGAAAGCAGAGCGGTGGTTGCCAGGGGCAGGGGAGGAAGGAGACCGATGAGTTGAGGTTCCTTTTATAAGTAATGGACATGGTTTGGGATCTATGTGGGGCTATACAACTCCAGCGTTTATTCAAAGCCAATGCACTGTAAGTGGGGGAATTTTATGTAACATGAATTCTATCTCAGAGTTGTTGTTTTAACAACATCCTGGCAAACCCATTTGCAGCCCTGCTGTTTCACCAAACAGCACCTGCGCTGCCACCCAGCCTCTGAGACACACAAGGGAGGGGGCGTGAGGGTTTGGCGGCGGGGGCGGGGGCCTCACCCACGAGGTCGCGCGCCATCTCCTGATCGTCCTGGAACCGGCAGGCGTCGCTGAGCTGCAGCAGGGAGTCGACGTGGTAGGGGCTCGTCTGCAGCAGAACCTGCGGGGCCAGAAGGGGCGCTGGCCACAGCTGCAGGCGGGGCCCTCGGGGACGACGCCCCGGAAGGCCCAGGCCCCAGCGCACCTGAGCCTCAGGGAAAGCAGCACCAGGGGCGGCTCGTGCCCCACCCCCCACCGCGCAGACGCCGACCCACACGGCTGCAGAGCCAAACCTGAGCCAAACCCACTCGACTGGAGAGGCAGCTCGGGACTGTGACCCAGGTGTCTCCACCCGTCCCCCTCGCCACCCCGCCGCCGGGCCCCAGGCTGAAGGCGGCCGCGAGCGCGCGGCCTGAGAGCGTGGTCCCTGCAGTCGGGCCGCCCGGGGCCCCACGCACCACGATGTTGTTGGGCTCCATGGACTCCACAGCCGCCAGGAACTTATGCTGCGTCTGCTGATACTCCTCGTTGTGCTCGAATGCAAAGTAGGAGAGGCCTTTCCTGGACTCCAGCAGCCGCATCGACAGGCCTGGGGACGACGCCGGGTCAGGCCTGCAAGGCGCTCTCGGCGAGGAGCCTCTGCGCACTCAGCTCCAGCCGCCACAGCGGAGCGCCGGCCTCACCCCCGCCGGCATCGCGGCAGGCGGCAGGGCAACGGCCCGCACCCCCTCGCTCTTTTTCTAGAGATGCCCCCACCCCGGGGAGCGTGGGTAGCGCGCCAGCCCCCAGAGAGCACTGCAGGGGCTGGGCCGGCAGGGGGGCGATGGGGCTGTGCCCGTGGACGCCCTTCGTCCCTGCCCTTCGTCCCTGCTCCTCGTGCCCAACCTGGGGGGTGGGGGGCAGGGCCGTCGCTGCTGACGAACCTGGAAACTCCCGTTTCCCTCCACACCTTCGTGGCCTGGGTCAGTGGCTCCCGGTCACCCTCAGCTCGGCCGCTGCTGACGGGCACCGGGCCGGGCACACAGCTAATGCACCCCCGTCTCCACCAGTGCTCAGCGCCTCTCTCCCCTCCCCTGCTCCCGCCCCAGCCGGGGGCTCCTCCAGGCCACGCAGCCGAGCATCCCCGACAGGACACTTACCCTCACCCCACGCCTCTCTGTGCTGTTACTGTTTATCTTTAAAGTACGCGACTTACTAGCTTGTAACAAAATATAAAATATCACACTTTAAAAATGAACTTGATTGCTTCTTATGGTGCAGTAGCCACAGAAAAAAGCAAGAAGGTAGAAAAAACTGCATTAAAACATGGTCAAGAAGCCATGCCGTTGGTGTGGGGGCGGGCCCCCCCGGGCCACGCCAGGCCCGGGGCCCTGCGCCTGTGCGTGGCTCCGCACCAGCGGGGGGCGAGCTGGCCCCATCGCTCAGACCCCAGGAGCACCCAGCACCAGCCGCAGCACAGCCCGCGCATCCCTGCAGCCTCTCACCTGGCTTGGTGTACCGGGGCCAAGTGCTCTTGGGGGTCGTCAGCCACGTACACTTGGGGTACACGCGCTGTCTCTGCCGCGGCCTGTGGAGAACAGGACATGGCCCAGCTTCGCCTGAGCGGCCTGCCCTCTGCCCCGCTGTGGGAGCAGGACCCCGGGGCCAGGCGCGGAGGTGAGGGGTGGTAACAACGTGTGGCCGCTGCCAGGGGAAGCCGCGAACTGCGACCTGAACAACCAGACGACCAGAGAAAGAAAAGCAGCAAGAAACTTGCTGTCCGGCAAAGTGGCAGGGAAGGCGAAAGGAGAGAGTTGAAAACCTAAACCAAGGACACAAGAACGGGAGGGAGCCTGCAGGCCCCCTGTGGACACACGGGGGGCTGCCCCTGGGGGGCGGCCTCTGCGGGGCCTCCTTCAGCAGGCACGGTTGCATCTCCTCCCTTCTCCTGGGACCCCAACGCAACCACAGGTATGAAAAGCGGGGAGGCCTGGCAGCGCGCTGATGTCAGCACCAGCACCAGTTTCTGGGAGGAAGAAAGCCCGGCAGGAAAGCCGGGTGGGCAGCAGGGAGGCAGCGGCACAGCTCTGCAGGCCTCGGTGCAGACGCACCCCCACCTCCCGCCCCGCCAGCCCGCACCAGGGCTCTCTGCAGGCGGCAGACCTCCCCGAGCCCTGGTCCCACAGAGGAGCTTCGACTCTTACCAGTGATGTTTTGTTTCCCAAGCTGAGTGATGAGCACGTGGGTGTGTGTATGTGATTCTCTATACTTTTTTGATAATCTGAACTACTGCATTTAAGAAAAACACGAGTACATAGGAACGGGATGATAAAGCGTGTTTCTGCTCCCAGCAATAAAGTCCAAAGCTGACGGGAGAAGACAGCCGTGGGAGAAAAGCCTGGCCGGACTGGAGCACACCCACCGGGACAGGGCCCGGGCCCACGGCACGGGGCCCGGGGGCGGTCCCTCGGACACCGGGACTGTCCCGCCTGTGGGGTCTCAGGGACGCCCAGCCCTGCAGGGACCTGCCTGCGGCGCAGACTGGACGAGGCCGCGCTGCCTGTGCTGGGAGGTGGGCCGGGGGCGCTGGGGACGCAGAGGAGCGGAGGCCGGTCACAGAAGGGCACCCGTGGAGAAGCCGAGGAAAGGCAGCGCGTGCAGAGACCGCAGTTCGGAGGGACCGCCAGGGACGAGGGGCAGGCTCCCGCGGGGCAGGGGAGGAGCGAGGGGCAGAAGGGACGAGGAAGCCCTTCGGTAGGACTTAAATTAAAAAAGTAAGTAATCATAAAACAACAAAAACCATCCATGTAATTACTGTTAACTAATTACCAGCTTTAACTCACACAGAACAAAGACCAGGTAAAAATGTCAAGAAATCGCAAAGACAGACCAAGCCGACGCAAACACGGGAGCCGGGGCGGGGGCAGGGCGTGGCCAGCTCAGGGCAGCCCAGGTGACCCAGAGGGACGGTTTAAAGCAAAAGTCATTTCATGCCCTGGCTGGCGCAGCTCAGGGCACTGCTCGCAGACCCGCAAACCAAACGGTCGATCCCCGGTCAGGGCACAGGCCGGGGTTGCCGGCCAGGTCCCCAGCAGGGGGCGTGCGAGAGGCAACCACACATCTTCCCCTCTCTCTAAAATTAAAAAACAAAATCTTTTAAAAAAAAGGAAAAAAGAAATGCTGGCACAGATGCAGGAGGACTGAAGCCAACACACAGCCTCACGCTGTCCCCCGGGTGTGTGTGGCCCCCAAGCGCCAGGGCGGTGGGGACGGGCGCGACGGTGACCCTGGGGAGGTGCAGGGACCCAGTGACCCGTCCTGAAGGGCCGTCTTTTGGGGGTTGTCAAAGTAGACAGTTCTGACTCGCTTGAATTTTTGTATAAGAAGCATTTAGTTCTATAATCAGAAAGAAGGTGTACTTGAAAAGACAACGCTTCTATTGGGGTGAAGGCTCCCCAACACCTGTCCTCCCTCAGGGAGTCCCAGGGCCAGACGCTCACGCTCAGCATTTCTTGCCTCATCTCCCACGGGGCACCAGCCGCTAAAAACTGTTACAGCAACAGAGATCAAACTTGTCCCCGAATGGAACTTCAAGTAAGTTGTGCTGCCAACTGAGAAGCAAGAATGAACCTGCCTCAGCTTTCAAGGCCAGAAGCCCAGAATTTGAGGAATGTCAGAGCCTCTGCTACAGAAGGCAAGGTGGAACTCTGCCGGCCCCTGGCCCGGCCCAGACCCTCCCCGCAGGCCTGGGCCGCAGGGCCTCCCGGCTCCTCCGCCTGGGCTCGATCTTACCTTTGTTCCCCCAGGACGGCTCGGGCTCCAAAGTACCTTTTCAGCTCTGTGTCTGGATTCAGGTGTCTAGAGAATTTAAAATTTTAAAGAAAAAATGAAATTGAGTTCTTTTACAATGATTCTGGAAATTTTAGAAAGTCACACAAAACCCCCCGCGAGGAAAACAGCTATTTTGGGGTCCAGGACGATGTGCAGGTGAGCTCTCTGTGCACCTGCCCAACCGAGGCGGCGCGCAGGCCGGGGTCCCCACGGACGCAGGGGCAGCCCCTGCAGGGGACAGGCCCTCCTGCAGCATTGACAGGGGCGCGACGGGCAGCGGACACCCGAGGACGCCCGCGCTCCCCACACACGCAAAGCCAAGGGAGAAAGCGCCTCGGACGCGGACGAGCCCCCGGCCCCCTTGCTCCCCATGTCCAGGAATGGACTCCTATCGCCGTCTGTGAGGAGAGTCAGCCTTCCTCCCCTTCCTCCCCTTCCTCGCCGCGGAGCCCGCACCCGGGGGGGCGGGGGGGCGGCACCTGTGCTCCACACACAGCACGTGCTTCTTCGCGCTCAGGGGCTGCGGGCTGGGGCGCTGCGGGCCACCGCCGTCCTCTATCCTCTCCAAGATGCGGTCGATGTCTTCCAGCCCATTTGCCTAAAAGCCCCAAAACCACATATTGATCACCATCTTCACTTTATTTTAAATGTTGCAACAACCCATAATACAGGATTTATGTTTACAAAGAACCACCATTGCACTGTTTACTTCCTGAGAGACAGGAAGCGTGCAGCTGAGAAGAGGGGGCAGTCCTCGCAGGAGGAAGCCCTGGCCGCACAGAACCACAGCACGCACGCGCGGGCCGATGAGTCGGGCCCGCGGCTCTGGTCTCGCAGGCCCGCTCGTGTCCTCGGGGAACTGAGCTGGGGCTGGAGTTCTGCCTGGACAGCCACGCAGCTGCGACCTCTTTTTTGGGACTAAGAGAAAGACAGGGAGGCCCAAGGGCAATGTGGAAAAATACTTTCTGAGGAAAGACTGGCCCTACGGGCATGTGCACCTCAGCCCCAGACACGTCCACGCTGGCGCCGCAGGCCGAGGGTGGCTCTGCCGCCCAGCAGCAGCATTTGGGGGGCACAGCGGGGTTCTAACCCTCAAGGAATGCAATGAACAAACACAGAAGCAAAATCTGGTAAGTAATTTCCCCTTTTAATTTCTCTTACCTCTAAATCAGCTATACTCCTGTAACTAGATAAGAAATCAAAGTATCAAATAAAAACAAATCGCTTTCCTTTCTGCAACAATAGTGCTGTCGCAAACGTGGTGACGTCCCTAACACCTTTCCAACTCTCTGTAAAAAGTGTGGCGAGCACCAGCCCCACAAAGGGACACAGGACAGGAAGGGCCAGGACGGGCGCGTGCACGGGAGAGCGGCGACAGCAGGGCGAGCGGCCGGGGCGGGCTGGCGGGGATGGGCGCCGCGAGAAGGCTCCACCTGCGCAGCCCAGGCCGCGGCCCGAGTGCGTGGCGCACGCCCGCAGGTCTGCGTCACCTGCCATTAAGACCTGCGTGTCCCGCAGGGGGAGCACATAAGAAGAGAAAGGGCCAAGGGACCCAGTTCTAACCTTCATACTTTGTTTTATTATGTGACAATGAAACCCTGAGGATATGTTTGCTTCAAACAAACAAACTGCTTCCAGCAACATCCTGAGAAACAGACAGAAAACAGTGGACAGGCTATCAGCTGGACATACCAAAGTTTCTCCTGTAGTATTTTTCTTATTTTTCTGTTTCTTTTTCTTCTTTCGTAGTTTGCCACTTGCATTAGCCTAACAAAAGAAGTACATCTTAATCAGTGGAGAGAGAGACGATGGGATCTTCAACCCTGACAACTGAAGAGGAAGCTTCAGGGGACAGTGACACAGGACACAGGGCTGGTGCTGTCCCTTCCACTTCCTGGATGTCCTGTGATCTCACCTACTTCTCTCAAACAACAAGCACCTTCCCCTGCCCGCCCCCCCCACCCCCGTCTCCCCGCCTGTGGTCCAGCCTCCCTCTTCTCACGCCTCGGGGCTCCCGCTGACCTCCCAAGACTCACAGGGTGCTGACCTCTGCCCACTGACCCTCTTCTTTCACCCTTCACTGGGTCACGCACTCTCCCTGCCACACTCAGCCACTTGAAGACCAGGCCCCGCACCAGTCCCCACAGCCACGCCCTCTGCCTCAATACCTGTCACACCTTCGCGGGGCCCTCTCCTGCCATCGCAGTGTGCAGGTTCCTTGGGGCGTCCCCACCCTGGCCCCACAAGTTCACCAGGGCTCCCCAGCTGTAGCTGCCAGCCCACCCCCGTCTCCCTCTCGGCCAGAGGCCCCTGGGCTTGTCCCGGGAGCCCAAGGGGCCACACAAGCACCTGTCGAGTAGGTGAGCGAAAGGTCTCCGGAGGGACATGCCCACATGCCGTAGGGGACGCAACACTAGCAGGACCTACGCGTTTCTTCCAGCTGCGTCCACCCAGGGCCCGGCCACCTGGCCTGAGCTCCAGACGCTCTGCTGAGCGGGGACACTCCCAGACATGAGGGAGACGGAGCTCATGCCGGGGAGACTGGCCCGGGGGACCCGAGGGCAGCAGTCCCGACAGCCACCAGTCCTGCAGATTTCATGCTCATCTGAGGAGGACTCCCCAGGAGGTTTCAGGGCAACCGAGCGATTAACAAGACGGAATTCAGAGGACAGCAGAAGCACAGCATGTGCCTGGGCACGGCTCGTCCCCACACGACCCCGCACCTGCTCCGCGGGTGCTGCGCTGTCCGCCACCTCTCCATCCTTCCGGGGCTCGGCACCGCCACTCTGGGACCTCCTCTTGCTCCCCGACACCGCGGCGTCTGGGGGCCGACCGTCAGCCCTCTCTCCGTTCACCACAGGCCCTTCCTCCAGGTCCTCGATGTTAATCTGCAGAAACAGCGGGGAGGGAAGCCGTGGGCATCCGGTCTCCTGTGCAGCCTGGCGCTGCTGAGAGGCACCGCTGGGTGGCCCCCCGAGGCCACACGGGGGCTGTGGCGGAAGGACCAGGAGCACACTGTGCCCCGCAGGCCACAATGCCACTATCTGAGCAGGTCCTGGCTCGGGGCTCCTTCGGTCCAGGGACACAGACAGGCCGAGGCACACGTGGCTCATGGTGTCCTGCCTTCGGAGCTGGCAGAAGGCAGACTCCCCAGACATCACATCTTACCAAGCGCTGCCCGCGGTGGCTGTGACTCAAGGGAGCCCCACACTCCCACCCCCCGCACAGGTGAATCTGAGGGTCACAAGGTGGTCCAGGAAGAACCCCCAGAACACTCACACCCTAAACACACACGCACGCTTTGGGGAGGTGGAGACGGGGCAGGGGGGCGGCAGAGGCGCCTCTGAGTTACTGGAAAGGCTCTGGCCCTTCAGCTAATAGACTAATAAGCAAATAAGAGAGGCCACCATGCGACAGATCTAATGGTCCCCATCTGGTTTACCCAAGTCCAAAAACAAACAAAGTTGTTGAATTTAGAACATCTGAAAAATATAAAGCTTAAAAAAAAAAAAGCCACCTCCTCCAGCCCCGCAAGCCTGAGGTAACTCTGAGGCACACCTGGGACCTCACTGTGGCCGTGACTCTTCCCTGACGGGAGTGCCAAGCAAAGGCAGCGTGGCTGTCCCCAGGGCGCCCGCGGCCCAGCTGGAGAGCAGCAGAGAAGCGCAGGCAGAAGCAAGTTCCGGGCCCTCCGCTTTTGCTGTTCACCAGTGGAGGTTTGCACATGGGAGGATACACTCAGGAGTGTGGTACGCATGTCTGCCTAGCAGATCTTTAGATCTTTGTTGTTAAAAAGAACACCTGATTGGAAGATGCTGGAATTCCAGCAAAACTGGGTGGGCCACCACACCACCAACGAGAGGGTGATCCCCACCCTGGACGCCTTCTTTTGTGTGGCAGCATCAACACGTCAGGGGCCCCGGTGTGGTCTGGCCGATCACAATCTTGCAGCAAAGGGAGGAAGCTGGCATGAGGCTCCTGCGGACATTTCCTCTAAACTTCGGGGGTGATGGCACCCACACTTTCCCCATCATTCCACTAAGGGTGCCACCGGTGCCTCTCGGTGAAGTTGGATGCTATCATCAAGTCATGCTCTCTTCCTTAAAAAAATCCTTTTCTTAGCCCCCTTTGGCATTTTAAGGAACTCAATTTCATAACGAGCTCTAGGCCAAGCTGTACCTCAACGGAAAGAACGGTGCTGGTTCTGTGCACACACTAGGCGCTCCCATGGTGCAGGACACACAGGTGAGCAAAACACGGGTTACCTGCCCACGCAAGGAGGTCAGGGAAGCGAGAACACCATTAGGAACAGAACGCCCACGCCACGCGGCTCGGTTGGAGCGTCGCCCCACACACCAAAAGGTTGCAGATTCATTCTCCGGTGAGGCACACACTGGAGGCAACCGACTGATGTTCTTCTCCCTTCCTCTCTCTCTAAAAAGACACAGCACCCACAAGCAAGATTGCAGACGGAGACCAGCGCTAAGGAGACCCGGGTGGGAGTTTATCCTTTCAATTCACATCTGCTGTGAATCTCCTCTGTGCCGGACACCTAGCTGGCGAGGACGCAGCGATGAGCAAGACACCACGTCCGGGGTGTGAGGAGTAAAGGAGAATGTGTGTAAAGACCCCTCAAGTGCCTGGCGTGGAGACGAAAATCAAGGAAGAGCCCCCACGATCCTGAGAGGGGAAGCCCTGCCCGCCGGGCTTCCGCCCCGCCCACCGCGCGGCGGCCCCGCCTCTCAACGGACGGCCACGCCCACTCCGGAGCAGCTAAGCCCACTCGCCCCGCCCCTAGCAATGACAAACCCGAGAGGGCCCAGCTCGAAGCCCCTGCCCCACCTCCTAGGCCGCATGCCCCGCCCACACCCTTGGCCCCGCCCTCCCTAGTGCGGCCAGGACCCTAAATCGCCCCGCCCCGTGACGTCACTCCCTCCCCCCAGCCGCGCGGGTCCGCACCGCGCAGACCCGCCTCGCACGCGGGGTCCCCGCCGCCCCCACCTCAGGCATCGCAGCTCACCAGCTCGAACCGGTTGTTGACATGGACACCCTCCTTCCCCGCGCCCGGGAGGCGCCGGCCACCTGGCCCCCGCTTTGGTCCTTCTTCTTCCGCATCATCGTCATCGCGGAAGCCAAACTGCAAGGCGCCGGGCCCGAGGGGCTCCTGTCCGCGCTGTTCCCCCCTTAGCCTCCGGAGGGCCCGGCGCGACATAGGGCCCAACGGCCACTGAGGTCTGGGGACGGGGAGAAGACGAGCCGAAAAGAGAGCGGCCGGCGCGCCTGCGCACTTACGGTGCGCTGGCGCGGGGCTGGCGTGTGGCGTCTGCGCGCTGCGGCTCTCCGGGACTTCCGCCCCGTTCCCGGTGTCAGCACGGAAGGTGCAGGCCTGTCCGGACGTGTTCTCGCGCGAGTTGCGGCCCCTGGAGGGTGTGTCCGAGTCTTCGGGAGGCGTGCCCGCGACTACTGTCCGGCTGGGACGCGGGAGCGGGCTGCACGGGCTCCCAGCCTGCTGCTCTCAGGACCTAGGCCTGCGGGCGGACGCGCCGGTGGGGCCAGGTGAGGGGGCGGTGCGCAGGTGCCGGCTGGGGGGACCTGGACTCCGCTCTGCCCGCCCTGACCGTGACGCCTCAGCCTGGCTCCGAGGCTGCAGACGGGACAGCTCCCGCGTTAGCAGTAAGCGCATCCAAACCTAGCAGCTCCTCGAAGCTACGGAATTCCGAACACACCCAGGGACAACCCCCGGGCCGGGGAAGACTGCAGCCGAATCTGTCCTACCTGTGTTCTGCCGCCGATGCGCTCCAGGTGACGTCCTGTACCTCTAGGTGTGGGAAACTATGGTCTGCAGTGGAGACTCGCCACGCTACCTGTGCGTCGTAACCTCCCGGGAGGTTTTTCTAATACGGATGAAGGACCCAGCCCTAGACATTTCAGGTGGGGCACTGACATTTTAAAAGCCGTTTGGAGATTGAAGTGTGCGGGCAGGACCGAGAACCCTGCACTGCCATCCGAGTGCAGGGGCGAGGCGACCTGCTGTGGCAGCGCTGAGCGTGGGGACAGCTGTCACTATGGAGCCTGGCCAGGCCCCGTACCAAATTCTCACCTCGTCCTGTGAGGTAGGGGTCCCCCTTTTACAGGTAAAGAAAGTGGGGTTCAGAGAATAACCCTCCCAGGTACAACCTGGATTTGCATTTGTGTCTGTGGTTCCAAAGTTCACATGAGGAAGTGTAACATTGGAAAATTGTAACAGTAGGAAATTGTAACCCAGCCCACTGTTCTTTCAACATTGTTTCTGTAAGTGCTGACTCCGACTAATATGTAGCTTAGAGATGAACACCGTGTTTTGAATGAGAATCCTAGGAACTAGTTTCAAAAGATACAGAAGCTGACCTTCAGGCATCCCAGCTCTGGGAGATGTGCTGACCTTCAAGCATGGAGCCAGAATGACGAGAAGCCAGGATGACACACGCCGGACCGTCACTTGTCTTATCGGAATGGACTGTGTTTGTTTGCATGCGGAGAACTTTACAACCCCCTTGCCAGATCTCTTTGTTCTGTTCCCCTCTCCCTGCTTATAAAAACCTCTGCCTCCCCTGAGAGGTGGAGACGGGCTTTGAGACGGAGCCCCCTCTTCCAGGTGGCCAGCCTCTGTGGGGTGACCACTTTCCTTTACACCAGCTCCTGCCTCTCAAGTATTGGCTTTCCTAGCGGCCGGCAGCCGGACCTGCGTTCGGCTACAGAAGGCCACTGGCAAGGACGGGGGTGTGAGCGCGGTCTGTCAGCCTGTGCTGGTCACTGGGATCTTAAACACTGCCCACAGGCTGGCCACTGGCTGCTGCCCCCAGCTCCCACAGCCTCAGCTGCCCCAGCCACTCCCCCAGAACCCCCTAGAAGCCCCCCGCCTGCAATCCACTCCTAAATAAAGGGTTATGCTCAGCACAGGAGGCTGTCCGGACACCACCTGCTGTCCATTCTGGTTGGGCAGAGCTAGGCTAGTGGGTGAACAGATCCTGTGTCACTTGCTGAGCAAGTGGTGTGACCACTTGGTACAGGCTTGGTCCCTCGCCTGTGGGTGGCCACTTGGGGAGCCTGAGGGGCCTGGAGCCACTTTCAAGACAGCTGTGTGGCCCCAGAGGGGCAACATCTGACCCCATCGGAGCGGCCCCTTCCCCAAAAAGGCACCTTGGGCGTGAGTCCCTGTACCACCGGATGTGTTAGAGGAAGTGACCTTTGTCGGGACCTCGGTCAGAGGAGGGAATGCGGGGCTCAGCTCGGTGAGCACGGCACAGCCTCTGGGCCTGCGGCTCTCGGGGGGCAAGCCCAGCAGCCCAGGGACAGCAGCACCAGTGACACCCTCTCCGCTCAGCCTGGCTGAACAGGGCGGGCGTTTGTTGTCTGTGGATGGTCCTCCCTTTCCAAGGCTTCCCATGTCCTCCTGTGGAATTGGCACGGTGGCAACGGTGCTCGCCCCCCCCCCCCCGCCGCCCTGGTGCCTTCCCCTTGCTGGCTGTGTGTCTGGGAGCAACTCCTTCCTGTCCTGCCCTCTCAATTTTAAGTAGGACCGGTACTGCCCCTGCCTGTGAAGCGCTCAGAACAAGGGCTGGGAGTTGGCTACTTGTACTGGCTGCAGTCACTTTGTGTAACTGAATGTCCTGGGCCCCAGCTGATGAGATCATTCTCCCCTGCCCGTGTTGCAAGTCACGTGCCTCGGGCCCCCTGGCAGGGCAGGCACTGGAGCCTGGTGCCCAGTAGGCCTGGGTTGAGGTCCCGGGAAAGCTGGGTACATCTTTAGCAAAATTCCTTTAACGCTTTGAGTCTGTTTCCTCGTCTGCAGGGTGGGATGACAACAGACGCCACCGCCCAGGCACCCGTGGGCAGGCAGGGCACACAGGCGCCCCTCCAGCCGCTGTCCCTAAGATCAGGGTGGAGGCGTCTCCACCCTGCAAACCCCAAAGAATCTGGGGGACGAGGGCCCCCAGCCTGGCCGGGGGCAGGCAGCCCTGCTGCCCCTGGGACCAAGGCGCCAGGTTATGAGGGGGGCGCGGAGAATGGCAGTGGGCATCTGACTCTGCCCCAGGGAGCCGCTGCCCCCTCAGAGCCCTACTTCAGCCCTCGGAGAAGACGCTCCCGGCGGTGGCTGGATGGCCGCTAGTTCACGCCCCGGACAGGAGACTGTGAGACCACCTTTATTAGGCCACGAGTGGCCGTGAATACAATACACATTAACAGGCCACTCCGGGTGACCAGGCCGGAAGCATTGCGGGGGCGTGGTGACGGGCGGGGCCTGAGCTCGGCCTCAGGCCTTCCGAGGGGAGGGCCCTGGGACAGCCGCCTGAGGAGGGATGGAGAGCAAACGGGGACAGTGTCTGCCCAGGTCCCCATCACCGCCCCACCCCCGTCAGCCCCCCACCCCCGTCCTGCCCCCGGGCTGCCTTCCTTTCCCTCCTGCGTGGCCCAGCCCATCCCAGGAAACCGCCTCCGGGGAGGGGCGGGAACTGAGCCTGATGGGGGTGGGGCCGGGGTTGTATATAAATATATAGGCTGTGTGTGTGTTATATAAATGTATCTATATATGTATATATGTACATGCACGCGCGGGAGGCCGCCGGCAGCGGCGCCCCGGGGTGAGGGCTTCCGGCCCGGTCCGGAACCGACCCGCCCCTCCCCAGAGGCCGGCCCCGAGGCCCCGGGAACAGGCTCCCACCGGGTGGCGCGGGTGGCAGGGCTGTCACTTAAAGTCGAGAGTCCAGGTGCTCGGCGCATAGAGGGACTGGGTCTGGCGGGCACGGCGAGGCGTGGCGTTGAGGGCGTCCACGCTCTTGCGGCTCGAACGCACCACGTCCGCCACGAAGCTGGTGCAGTCGCTGCACACGTCCTTCAAGACGCAGCCCTGCGTGTACATGTGCGGGAACTCCTCCTCCACGCTCTTCCACCTCGGCCCCTGCAGCGACCTGCGGCGGGGCGGGGCGTCAGAGAGGCCCCACCCCCTGCGTCAGGCGCGCAGGTTTTCGGAATGAACGTGCGGAGCGAAGCGCATCCGAGCAAAACCTCGCCTTCAGAACCCTGGGTCCTCACCGCCCGGCACGGTTTCGATGCCACGCTACTCAGCCCCCAGGGCCCTCCCCGGCATCTGCGTCCGGTTTCCTTGGGGCGTCCCAGCCAACAGAAAACCCCGCCCCCACCCAGGTTACCGTCAGCAAAGAGCAAAGGCACGCACTGGAAGGCGTCTCTCCTCTGCGTCGCAGGGGCCCTGGCAGCTGCCGCCCTCTGGGGACTCTCAAAGCCCAGCGTGTAGACGGGGATGTGTGCAAACTTCTTAGAAGGCATCTTCATCTGCGAACAGAGGCGTGTGGGCGGTCACAGGTTTCCCCAGAGGCAGCCCGGCACGCGGCCCCTGCAGCTGTCGGGCCCCGCCCGCACGCCTGGCGTCTGGAGGCACGGGCCCCTTGCACACCCGCGCAGCCACAGCGCTCACACGCAGGCACGGAGCGTGCCCGGCGCGCTTCACACCACGCAGGGCCCAGCATCGCGCCTGCAGGCAGCGGACGGGCAGGATGGGAAACCAGGGCCTGGAAACACCCGCACGAAAACCCTCCAAAGCAGACGCTTGTTTCTGCGCCGGCGGGAGCGGGGCGACACTTCTCCAGTCGTGGCCCATTGACCGCGGTGCACCCCTGTGTGTGCAGAGGCCTGAGCAGTTATGAAAAGACTCCAAACACTCCAGGACGTGGTAGGGGCAGAAGCTAGGACTTGGGGGGGGAAGGGAAAGCTTCTTGCCACCCTCCTGTTAACGTGGGATGTTTAAAAACAAAAACCAAAACCGCACAGTCTTGGACAGTGTAGGAACAGGCTCTGCCTGGAGGGAGGAGGTAGAGGCGGTGTCACCTGACGGGAGGCTGCAGAGTACCTAGGACCAGCCCCCCAGGCACCAGCGCACGGGACACACCTGTGGCCAGCCCAGACCCCACGGAGACTCACCTTCACGCTGCAGGACGTGCAGACGGCTCTGGAAGGGAAGAGGGGCACGTCAGCCGGAGGCAGCCCAGGAAGGAACAGCTGCTTCCTGGCAGGTGCCCCAGCAGCACACCTGCCGGTCAGCCCGCGCCTGCCTTCGCTGGGCCCCTGGTTACCTGGTGGTTTACTGTTTTGACTCTCAAATCTCATTTTCTTTTTCACTTGGTTCTACACCCAAAATACCCCTGCCCCTCGGGCTCTTTTCCGGAGCACCTGGTCTGGAGCCCTTGCTTACTGCTCTGGCTTGCGAGAGCCTGAGGCCGCTCAGCACAGCGACCCGGAGCCAGGGGACCGCGTGGGGTGGGGGGGGCTCAGGGTTAGGCCGTGGCTTTTTTTTTTTTTTTACCTCCCACACCCGGTTTCGGAAGTCAATGCTTTTTTTGGTAAAAATTCAAACATTAGAGTTGTAATTCAGACCACCCGGTCCTCTCCTCTAAAGCCCTGCCCTCAGAGCAGGCCCCGCGGGAGAGGCAGCCTCTGTTCTCCCGGCACACGCCTACAGGAGCAAAAACACACGTTTAGATGACAAAGACAGCAGCGCCTCACATACGCTGTTCTATGAAGATGGGTCAGGGGCTCCTCCACATTAGCACAAATTGTCCAAATTCATTTTTAAAAACAAGCAGCCGTGTTCTCTTGCATGGAGGTCGCACAGTTAATTTGCCGTCCACAAACGCCCGGGTTAATTTTATTTTCTCTCTGTGGTCCGTGAACACACGCTGTATGACTTGAGTCCTCCTACATTTCTGAGGTTTGTTCTGCGCCTCCGGACACGCTGTGCAGCAGGCGCCGCTCCGGGCGCACCTGGGGGGCGTGTGCTCGGCCGCTCTGTCCGCAGGGCGGTCAGACCCTCTGCAGCCTTGGCTGTTTTCTGCCCACAAGTTTTACCAGCTCTTGAGAGGAGGGCACTGAAGTCTCTAATCACAACTAGGCACTCACCTCTCTTCCATGTCTCTAACCTTTCTGAACATAAGAAATGCAGTTCAAAACTTTTAACATCCTTATCGGCTAATTTGTACCCCTGTGTCAGTTCTTCATGATTTCGATGATTTTTCTCATTATAGGTCATGTCCTCCAGCTTCTTGACATGCCTCATAATCTTTTATTGGATGCCAAGCATTTTCTCTTGCTGGGTGCTAGTTACTTTTTATTCTTATTTTTAAATTATAGTTTATTGATGATGCTATTGTAGTTCTCCCAATTTTTCCCCCTTGGCCCTCCTCCACCCAGCTCCCCTCCAACTCCCTGAGGCAACCCCCCACCTTTGTTCACGTTCATATGCACCTTTGCTCGTGTGCATATACGGTCTCTGGCTACTCTTTCTTTCCCAGGCTGTACTTTATTCACACCCCCATAACTATTCTCTAACGACATGTTTAACCCTCGTATTTAACCCTTGACCTTTCTGGAGCTCCACTCTGGGAAGCAGTTAAGATGCTTGCGAGCAGCCTGGCCCTTTCAGGTCTTGCGTTTGCGGTTTTTCAGGCCCAGGCAACGCTCAGCCGGGGCACTTATCGCCCGAGTGGCACGAGACCTGCCTGTGTCCCACTCGGTGGCCCACGAGTTACCTGCCCACCGCGGCTGTGGCTGGGGAGCTAACTACTGCGGGTGCTGTTCCTTTAAACCTTTAGGGGAGGGTCAGTAAGCTTTTTCTGCAAAGGGTTATATGGTGAATATTTTAGGTGTGGCTAAATGACTAATGTATAAAACTCTATTAATACAAAACAAGCAGTGGCCACGTCTGGCCCATGGGCTAGAGTTTGCCCGTCCCTGGTCTTTCAAAGCCTTCAGTAGTTTCCTCAGAGGTTGGTGTTGATCGACACCCCGTGGAGCACTCAGCGGGGGCCTCCTGCGTGTGGCGGAGGCCTGTTCTCTGGACAGCCCTCTCCTCTCTGGCGCCCTGGGGCCGGCGTCTCCGGGTTTCTCAGCCCAGCTCCTCGGCTCCAGGAGCTGGGCAGGCGCTGACTCGCGGCCTCGAAACTCGGGCAGTGGCAGCAGACCAACCTCACTTTCTTCTCCCCATGTGTTGCCTGATGGCCAATGTCTTCAAAACCATTGTTTTCTCTATTCTGGTTTTGGTTTTTGTTCTTGTTTTCTGGTTGTTTCAGGCAGAAGGTGCCTGTTACCCCGCCTTCACTGAAAGTGGGAGCCCCTTCGTTATTAGAATTAAAATTAAATTCAAAGTGCTCAATGCAGCTCCTTAGTTGCATTGGCCATGGTACAAGATGGGACACCTGCCCCCGCCCTCATCGCACGGGTTCGGTGGGCAGTGCTGGCCACAGGGCGCCCTACCTCCTCCTTCCCATGTGCACTCACAGCCAAGTGAACTCACCTTTCAGGAGACTCACCTTTTGCAAAAGAGACAGGTGGGTGGCCAGGAAAACAGCGGGAACTTGGTTCGGCAACAGCAGCAAATCTGTAAGAAAAGGCCTCGTAAAAAATCAAAACTATGAACACGAAAATGGTAATAAATTCACAACCATCAACAATTGAATCTAAAAAACAAACGAAGCGAACAACTAGCATAGGCGCAGACTCACAGAAACGGCGCTCACACGGAGGGCTGTCAGCTGGGAGGGGAGGGAGGAGAATGGGGAAGAGGTGCAGGGACTGAGAAGTACAGCCTGGTAGGTACAGCAGGGGCGGGGGAGGGTCACAACGGTACAGGAAGTGCAATAGCTCAAGAACCTATATGCACGACCCCGTGGACGTGAACTGGGGACGGGGAGCTTCCTGGAGGGAATGGAGGGTACAGGCTGGACGGGGGGAAAACTGGTCCAACTGCGATGACATAACCAATAAAATATATTTTTTGAAAGAGAGAGAACAGGCCTCATCGGAGCCCATTTTTGTCCAGAACTCACTGGGTCCGGCCCCGTCCTCCCTGCGCGCCCCCGCCCCAGGGCGCCTGTGCCTTGAGGGGCCGTCTGGGGCCCCGGCTGCCTCACCTTCCCCTTCTTCAGGCTGCTGAAGAGCTCCCTGTTCTGCAGGAACTTCTCCATCTCAGCCTTGACCAGCACGCGGCGCACGCCCATCACCTCCTCCACAGTCAGGGCCAGGCTCTCCGCCGGGTGGCTGAACTCCTGGGGGGGGGCAGGATGGGGCGGGGGTCGCAGCCCACTGAGCCCGCCTTCGCAGGCCTTTGGGGAGCCCCCTACAGTCCTCTCCCCTGAGGACCCTGTCGTCTTCCTGGCCTCAGGCTACCCCACCTGCCCAGCGGCTCCTGCAAGGCCGAGCCTGCAGCCCAGCCACCGCCCCCGAGACCAGACCCTCGGAAACTGTGGGAGACAACAAATGCTTGTGGCCTTCGCTGCAGCGCTCGGGGAGGGGGGGGGATTCTCCGAGCAGGGAGAGAGAACAAATGTGCGAGGCGGGGGAGGCACGGCCTTTTGTTGGGGGGGATATCGATAGCAACGCTGCCTTGCGTTCGCCCAGCACTTACACTTTTCAAAGCATTTTAACATCTGTCCTCGCTTGAGCCTCTTGCTAAAACGTCAAGGAAACAACACAGAGCACCCACTGATGTCTGCACGTGCCAGCCAGGTGCCCACGCGGTAAAATCCCACCCTGAAGCTCAGGCCGAAGTATCAGCAAATGTCAGACCAAATGTCATAGCTGACAAAACCAAGGTGCAGGGAGAGCCCGCAGTGCCGTGGATGAGCTGAGGGCGCCGCACCCCGGAATAGCGCTCCCGGTCCCGTCGGGGAGCCTTTACGGCACAGGGTCTCTCCAGTGTCCCAAGCACAGAGCTGGGATTCCGCGGGCCGGCGGCCGGGTAGGGGCGGCGGGGGTGAGGCGGGGGGGCGGGCCAAGGTCCTTCCCTCTCCCCTTCCAGGGGCCGCAGCGCCCAGAACGCCCAGCAGGGGGCGGCAGAGCCCCATCTCCTCTCGCCATCCAGCGCGGCGCAGCACAGGGCAGCCGCGGCAGACGCCGCTGCGGTCGCCCGCTTGGAGCCTTGTCCTGCGCAGGGGTGAAGCTGAGCACTCGAGAGGCACCCGCCCCAGCCACCCTGGACAACAATGCCCCTCGCTCACCAGCCACAGGTGATTGGCGTCTGCAGCGGCGGAGGCCTCTGGCCTGCCTCCTGCTGAGCTCGAGTCGCTGTGGCGGGAGGCGCTGGGATCAGCCTGGGACTGGACGCTCACAGGGGAGGGACCTGCAGGCAGAGTCCGGAGGCCCCGTCAGAGCAGCCCGGCCAAACGCCCAGGGGACAGGGGAGATGGCCTGCCAGGCAGCAGGGCCAGGGGGCAGCTTCACGGGGCGGCAGGGTGACCAAGCGGAAGGGCGAGCAGAGAGCATGTCACCCACGTCACAGGCCCATGCCGCGCAGCAGGCCCGAGGGACCCCCGCAGGGGTCTGAGCCCCACGAATGAGCCAACGTCGGGGGCCCCATGGCAGCCACAGTGCGGGCCGCACAGGACCTCCCTGCTCTGAGGCCGCACTCCTGCCTTCATCCTGGGACCAGGGGGACTGGGGGGGGGCGGGGGGGGAGCAGGGGGGCCGAAGGCAGACGGGCCTCTACCACGGGTCTCTCAGCCTTCCGGACGGCTGGCGGGGACAGCGAGGACGCGCCGGCCTGGCTGGGGCCTCTTCGCCTCGGAAAGCGAGTCACAGCTCCCAAATGGGCCCGCCCTGAAAGTGGCCACAGGCCGCGCGGCCTGGAGGGCAGAGCAGGCGGCCTGGCCAGGTCTGGCGGGCTGACAGCCCGCTGTCCCGCTGGCCCTTGCAAAGGCGGGACTAAGGGTGGGCCCGCCCTCGTGATGGCCATGGGGGAGGGGACTCTTGAGAAGCAGGGGCGACATCAGGCTCCAGGTGGCGTGTCTGGTCACTGTGGGCCATTTCCATCGAGAGCAGCAAGACTAGAAGGACCTGTCCATCACCTGCCCACGACCCATCCGTCGGTCTGTCATGCCTCCTGCCACCGTCGTCTGTCCGTCTGTCCGGCTTTCCTTCTGAATACTGGCACGCTACTGTCATTATTTCTGGGCGATGGGATTGTGGGGATTTTTTAACAGTTTTTCAAAAGTGTTTTACAATGAACACAGATCACTAAGTTTTCAAGTTAAACAAGTGGGGTACGCCTGCCTGAGCCGATGTGGGCAGTCTGAGCTTGGACTTTGAACAGGGTGAGCTCCCCATACCCTGCAGGTGCTCCTGCTCTGGAACCTGGGGACCCAGGCCACGGGACAGGGCGCCCACGGGACAGGGCGCCCACGGGACAGGGCACGGGGACGGCACTTGCCCTGCTCCTGGGCGCCAGGTCGGCACGTGTGCAGGCTTCCCGCGCGGGCCCGGGGCGGCTCCACGCCCGCCGGGGGCTGAGAGGCCGGCTGCAGGCCAGAGGCCCCCTCTGCCCGGAGCTGGACGAGGTCGTGCTCTGAGAAAGAGCGGTCCCGCTTCAGCGTCACCTCCCCACACGGAGACTCCTCCTCCTGCGGACACAGCAGACCAGCCCTCCCCTCATGACTCCGCCCCCAGCACCTCCTGCCCATCCCTGCACCCGGCCACGCAGGCCATGGGCCACCCTCCCTCCGCTGCCCGGTCTGACTGTTCTCTGGGTAGTGGAAGGCAAGTGCCCCCCCAACCAAACCGTTCCCTGCAGCCTCTAGAAAGCCCTGGAGAGCACAGGTCCGGCAACAGGTGCAGCCCCCTGAGACCACCACCCGGGCTGCCCGGCTCAGTGCCAGCGAGGGCCGGCAGGGAGCCACGTTCAGACACGCTGGCTTTTCACATCTCCCGGGGGCTGCGTAGCCTCCCAGCCTCAAGGTGACAGCCCTTTTTGTGCTATGGGAACAGGGGTCTCCAGGCCATGGCCCCTGTCACCCTCTGATCCCCGCTTGTGCCCAGGGCAGGACACCAGCGTCCGCAGAGGGCGTGGCCAGAGGCCCTGAGCAGCGGTGGCTGGAGGCTGCGCCTGGATTTGCTCAGCCCCTCCTCACTTCCCCGCCCCTCCCACTCCTCCCTCCCTGGCATCTGCTCAGGGTCCCCTGCGGCCTGACCTCCGACGTGTTCATCTCCTCCATCTCGGCCAACGTGGGCGCCTTCAGCAGGACCCGGGGCCGCGGGCGCTGGGCACAGCTCCCGGCCTCTGTGAGGGACAGGTCGATGCAGGAAGTGGACTTGACATCCCCAGAGCAGGCGTTGAGGATGCAGGGCAGCGAGCCGAACCCTGGAGGGACAGGCAGGAGGTGAGGGAGGGGGTAGGGGTTGGAGGGGCGGAAGGGTGGAGGGGATGGGAAGGAAAGGGGCCCCCCTCGCTCACCGCGGCCACCCCAGCGCTCGGCCCCCACCGGGCGCAGCCTCCGTTCCTGTTTGATCTCCTCCAGGATCTTCTCGTGCAGGGTCCTCTGCTTCTGGGGCAGGGGGCGGAGCCTTCTCTCCGAGACCTGCAAGGGTGCAGCAATGCAGGGTAGGAGGGCGGGGGGGTGTTGGGGGGGCACAAGAGAGTTGGGGAGACCCACCAGAAGCCCGCACAGCAGGGAGCAGATGGGCGTCCACTGAGCTCCTGGGGGGCCCCTCCCTCGGCAAGAGCTCCAGGCTGCCCCCCACCCAGTGGGAGGCAGAGGGCAGGTGTTGCTGAGGAGCTAGTACCTGCTTCAGGGGAGGCCGGGAGCGGATGAAGTCCAGGATGAGTTCGTGGGCGTCCTTCTTCACCCTGGGAGGGATGTCCCCATCGACCTGTGGGAGGGCAGGGGGACCCAGGGCCTGAGACTCCCCAGCGCTGTTGGCTGGGGTGGCCTTGGGAGGAGGTCCCCCCGCCCTGAGCAGGGCCCGGCCCTCACACCCTCCTGTGTGGCACCCCCAGGTGATCCCTCATGCAAAACGGGGGGGCGGGGTGGTCAGGAGAACGAGAGGAGCTCCCACACTTAAAATTCTTAGACCGAGCCCTGCCTGGGGTGGCTCAGCGGGTCGGGCAGCGTTCATCCCGCAAAGCGAAGGGTCCCCAGTTTGATTCCAGGTCAGGACACGTGCCTGGGTTGGGGGTTCGGTCCCCAAACAGGGCGCTTCCAAGAGGCAACTGACTGGTTTCTCTGTCACACTGATGTTTCTCTCCCTCTCCCTTCCCTACCCTCTCTCTAAAACTAGATAAATAAAATCTTTTTAAAAAGAAAATGAATTCCTTAGGGCAGTGACGGCACCCGGCAGGGCCACCGGAGCCTCGCACTGGGCAGTCCCGGGGCCTCAGCTCCAGACCCTCACCCTCCAGCGCAGCCACATCCCCGCTCCCTGCCCCCGGCGCGCTGCGTCCCCAGCGCGACCCCGCGAGCCCGGGCCTCACCGCCGACTCCCGTGGGACCCGGCAGGGCGGCCGGCGGCGGCGCCCACTCACCATGACCTTGCGCAGCTTGTAGTTCCTGGCGCGGATGTCCTGCATCAGCATCTCAAAGGGGGTCAGCTGGAACTCGGTGGGCAGCGGGTTGAACTCCTGCTCCTGCACCTTCTTGAGCTTCACGCCGTGGCGGAGCTCCCGCATGAGCTGCACCCAGAGCCGGGCCTGGGCGCCGGGGTGGGGGAAGAGGGCCCTTAGTCCCGGCAGGGCTCCCAGGCCAGGCCCCCCCAGGCGCGGGTGCTCGGGGCCCCGGGGAGGGGGCCGCGTCTTACCCAGTCCGTGTGCCCCAGGTTGTCAAGCTCTGCCAGGGGCTGCTCCGCCTGTGGCTCGTCCTCCCGGAGCTTCTGCAGCATCTGCCGGGGCAGGGGACAATGGTGGGCGGCAGCGTGGGGTGTGGGCGCCTGCCGGGGCGTTCGCCGGGGCCCTGTCCTCGCCACGTGGGCTCCTATCCCACCAGCGAAACAAGGGCTCGGCTTGGGGACTCAGAGCAATGGCTGGGGACCCTGAGCCTTCGGCCGGGGGACCACACGGGCCACGTCACGTCCCATCGCCACCTCTGGCAGCTTCCCCCGGGCCAGTAGCTCCCACGGAGAACCTTCTCTCACCTGACCGACGGCCCCCGATGCGGCGCGGGGCCCTCCACGCAGGGCTCGGAGCCCCGCTCGCTCACGTTGTCCCTCAGGCCTCAGCCACCCTCAGGGACGCCTCTCCTAGCCTCTCCCCTCGGGACACCCGGGCCACCTCTCCGCACACCACATGGACCCAGCTGCAGTTCTACATTTATCTATCTGCTTCTTTGACTGCTGTCTGTACTGTGGGCTCCGGGAGGCCAGGCCGCGTGTTCTGTGGTTTTTCCCTCACGCTGGCATTCCTGTCTCCCGCCACACAAGTGGCACAGGCCAGGTCTTCCATGGTGGTTGGATGGATGGATGGATGGGGGATGGGGGGTGGGGGGTGAGGGCGTGAGTTACTCGGCAAGTCCTGGGAAACAGTCATGGGCATGTATTTTACGAGCTGGGAAGAACGCCACCATCGCGGCCGGGGCCCGAGGAGGTCCCGGGGGCTGTCAGGCGGCGGCCGTGCTGGGGACTCGGGAGGGAGCTGCCGGGTCTGCTGCCTCCACTGTCCTGGGCGTCACAGCAGCTGGGGCGTCTGTTCTCACCGACCCCCCCCAGAAGCACCTGCCCTTTAGCACACAGCCTCCCCCCTCCCTTCTAAGACAGAACCGGTTTCCCTGGCTGTAGCCCCAAGCTACTTGCCAAACTGCTTTGGAACGCTCTAGAAAGCACTGCCAAGTCTCTGAGAAGCACAAAGTGTGTGATTCTAAAAATAGACCTGTGTGTGACCTGGTGGTCCCTGTGGGCAACGGCAGTGAAGGTGCATCTCCTGTCCTTCCTGGAGCCGGGACGCTGTCCCCAAGGGCCGCCTGCCCCCGCGCCTGCCAGGCCTGCCCCGCCAAGGGCCCCCCCCCCACTCCGCCGCCAGCTCCCGGGCCCTCTGGTGGGCCCACTGCCGGAAGCCCAGAGCTTCGTGCTAAAGAAAAGGCTTCTGTCGTCTGGGTCAGGAGTCGATCTAGCAACAGAACAAAGGTTCAGCACCCGCTCATTGGAGCACTACAAGGACATCTCCAAGGCGCGGCGGAGGGGTGCGAAGGGATCAGCGGGGGGAGGCCAGCAGGGGCCGAGGCCCCGACCCCCTTGGGCCCCCGCCTGGGCTGCAGACAGGGGCCAGAGGCTCAGGCGGCGACTCTGGCTTGTCCTGCGCTGAGTCCCGGGCATTCATTGGCCAGGACAACCCTGAGAGCCTGCTCCTGCCAGCGCGTCGCACACGCTGCCCGGAGCGCTTCTTGGTGGGAGGCAAAGGGACAGCACCCGTCCCGGGCCAGGGTGGAACCGGGGGCCAGTGCTGGCTAGTCCCAAAAATACCATCTTCTGCCGCTCATGCAAGAGAGGGAAGCTTTCGTCCCCAACTTCTCCAGCCTGTGAGCTGCTGACAGGAGGCAGGGGTCCCTGTGAGCCGAGACCCCCATTTCAAGGAAACCGCAGTTTCCTCCAAGGCGGAGGCTGGGAGAGGGGAGGGGCAGGCTGTTCGCTCCCGGCTGAGACCCCCAAGGGGCGAGGAGCCGCCGAGAGCCAGCGTAGGCCCCAGCTCTCCCTGGACCGGCTGTGACCCAGGGCCAGGGACACAGTCCCTCGGAGCCGCCAATGCTCCTCTGTAAAAGGGGGGGGAGCAACATCGCATCACCAGCAGCAGATGCCTGGGCAAGTGTCCCTCGCCTCACTGCCACCGCCCACACCGAGCGCCTCTGTGGGCCCCAGGCTGCAGGGAGCCGGGCTGCCGCCTTTGGCGTCCTGTCTGCAGATGGAACCAGCAGCTGCCCAGGTCAGCGGGAGGCAGGAGGAAGGGCACCGGGGAGGTTAGCGACGCGAGAGGCCGCAGGAGCGGGGTCCCGGGGCCCAGAGGCTGCCAGGCTTTGATGTAGCTCTATGAGCCTCAGCTCCCTCCTGTGCAAAACGGGGTAAGAAGGTGTGAGGGGCCCCTTAAACCTGCGGAGGCTCAGGACAGCGCCCAGAGGGGATTTCCACGCCCTGCTGGACAGACAGGTCAGAGCAACCCACACCCCGAGGGGGAACAGGCAGCCAGGCCCTAACCATCCTGCACCCCAGGCAGCACCTGGGTCCCTGCTGCCTTCTCCTGCGACCCCTCCACTGGCTCACGTGAGACCCGCCCCTCGGCGAGCTCCGCCCCACCCCGCCCTCCTCGCGCCGGCCTGGCTCACCTCCTTGGCCTCCCGGACCCGGGCGAGGAAGGCGCGCAGCTCCAGCGTCTCCACGAAGAGCGCGCGGCAGACCGCCTGGTAGTGGGCCTGGGCGCCGCGCGGGTCGGTCAGGCGCGCCGCGCACAGCCGCATCGCCTGCGCGAAGGTGCGCACCGCGCGAGGGCTGCCCTCCGCCTCCTCCTCCTCCTCGGGGCCCACGTAGCCCTCGTCCGCCGCCCCGCAGCCGCTGTCCTCGTCCTCACAGTCGCTGTTGGCCATCAGGTCGATGAGCTGCTCCAGCTGCGGGCTCAGCTCCCGCTCCTCGCTCTCGTCCAGCCCCCAGTCCAGTGCGCGGTACACGGCGAAGCCCAGCGACTGCACCATCTGCGGGACAGGGCCAGGCGGCACCGCCGGGAGCCTGAGTGACAGGCCCCGAAGGTGCAAAGGAGACAGCCAGCGGCCGGCCACAGGGGCACCGTGAGACCACCGGAGCAGGGCCTCACCGCAAAGCCACTGCCGAGGACACTGGCCAGTTCTCACCGTCAACCAGGCATCTACCACGCGGCTGCAACTCCTCGCCCAGATATTTAGCCATGAGAACGGTTCTGGGAGGCCCACAGCACCCACCCCCGGAACATCCGCACACCTTCCACGGCGGATGGCACACAAACGTGGCCCGTCCTCCCAGCGGAACCGGGCAGCTGTTCAAAGGCTCCAACCGCTCCCGGACCCCAGTGTCTCACGCCCTAAACTCATCGATGGGGGTCAGCCCCACCCAGCCCCAACCAGCCCAAGGCCTCCGCACTGCCTGGGTCCCTTTGCATAAAACTCAAGGCAACATAAGTCTCATCTGTAGCCACAAAATGCCGCTCAGGGTGCCAAGCGGGGCTGGGACGGGGACTGGGTGGGACAGGGACTTTGGGCGATGGACGAGGCCGTGTCCGCGCGGTGAGGTGGGAGATGCCTTCGTGGGGACGTGTGGAACCCGAGTGTAAAGTATACCCCAATAAACTTGATTACAAATGCCAGAGACACCCTAGTGAAATGTTACCTTTCAATGTAACATAATCCTACATTGTAAATCTGAGGAGAAAGGCCAGCATACCCCACACACGCTGCTGGGACAAACCGCTTAGCTATGCGCGACAAAACCTGACAGCCGGGCTCATCAAAAGGTGACCTCCTCATGTAAGTATTTTAAACTGCATGTAAATCTCAAGGTGTGTAAATGTAGCCTAAGAGAGAAAAACCTAAGAAATAACCGCACCTGCGTAGGGGGAGGGGCGTGGGGGGAGCTTCTGGGGGAAGAAGCCTTGGTTCTGGTTGTATCCACAACGCCGTTCTGTTTGCTGCGTAGAGGCTTGAAATTCTCCTTAAGTTTCTTTAAAGTGCATTGGCACATTAGAGATCTGTGAGTCTTACAGTCAAGAGATGTCTTGACGCAGCAGCCCTCGGTTTTCCTGGGCAGGGCACCCACTTTCACGGCCACGAGCAATGCCCGCAGAGCGGGAGCTCCGCGGGGGCACCCTGTGTCCATGTACCGCCCGCACCCAACAGCCCCCGCCCGACAGGGAGGCAGCCCCGGGGGCGCGGAGGACCGGCGGGACGCTGCTCCCCGCGTGCACAGCGCTCGGTGCGTGCGTGCACGCACGTTTCAAATGGCTCCCCTGTTTTCCCTTTACATCAGTGACACAGGAGACGCGCACGGAGGACCCCAGCTCTGCTGTGTGAGGCGCTGTGCTCGCGGCCGCCTCGCCTCGCCAGCACGCACCAGGTGACCGCTCGGGTCAGGGGCAGGGCACAGGGGCACGTGTCCGGTCCCTTCACTGCAGCCAGCAACTGGCCGAGCAGGGGCGAGACTCCGGTCTGTCCGTGGCCTGTGCTGACGGCTGCGTGACGGCGGGCAGAGCCACGCGCGCGCCCTCGCCGGCACCGTCCCCTCCCCCGCCGCCTGGCCTCCGAGGCCCCGGCCTCTCCTCTCCTCCTGCGGTCCTGCCACCTGGGACAGGTGGTGAGCACCAGCCTCGGGCAGGGGACAGGGTGTAAGAACAGGGCTCTCTGTCCTTCAGACACGCCTTAGAAAACCCCTGGACCTGGAGCAGCTTGGGAGTCGGCCCGGCTCGGGGGACTGGTGGGAAGAGAAGGCCCAGCCCGTCCTGGGAGGCTGACTCATCTCTGCGGAAGGCCCAGCCAGGGCCACACCCTGGGACCCTGGGTCCAAGGGCACAGCCCCAGGCCTAAAGGCTGCTGGCGCCTGACAGGTAACCTCAGGGCCAGGGGCCCCAGGGCAGGGGGCTAAGAGCCCCCCGTGCCCTCCAGGAGACTGGGCAGGCAGGAGCGCCGTTCACACAGACCCCCATCAAGTCTAGGCCCAGACACGATGCCGGAAGGAGATGGCAGGAAAATAAAACCTCAGGGCCAGTCTGGGTCTGCCCCGCAGGCCCTGCAGGTGGCTCTGGCCAGGTCTGCCCAGTGGAGCCTGCTCTGCCACATGGGCAGGACAGACAGACAGGTGGACCCGGAAAGCGCCCTCCCGCCAGCGAGCACAGCACCAGCCTCTGTGCCTCTCCCTCCCTGTCCAGGCCGCTGGCCTCTGCGAGCTCCGCATCAGTGAGAGGGTTAACGCCACGCAAGCTTCTTATCTGATAGCTGCTCCTGAAAGCCTCTGTGTGCCCCACACAACTGGATGGCTGGTGCTTGCTCTTCCATAAGGAGAAATCTGGGCAGCTGGCCAGAATCCCAGGACCTGCAGCCCTGCCTTTGGGCGGAGGGCCAGCCTGGGGCCAGCCCGGGAAAGAACCTCGGACGAAGGAGCTGAGGTCCTACCATGGAGCCGTAGCAAGCATCTAGGGCACAGGACAAGTTCCCTGGCCACATTTCCCGGGGTGGGCTCTCAGGTTAATGCACGGGCTTCCAGGCACAACCGCCCAGACTGGAGGCCCCCCCACGAGGTCCTCGGTACAGAGCTCGGAAGCTGGTCACGGCAGGGCTCCTGCACCGCGGGAGGCGTGGACGCTGGGCGCAGCCATGCGGCCATGAGGCAGGGCAGTGTCCCTGGGCCGTAGGCAGATAAATTCCAGGAAGTTATGAGCAGTGAAGGGACCAGCAACCACGCAAAGCAACGAAGATGGGTCTTGAGAACACACCGTTGTTTTTCCCTCCCCAACGTCCAAAAAACTACACAGGGTGGGGCAACAGTAGGGTTACAGTTCTTTGTGTGGAAAATAATACAAAAAATGATTCATAACAATCCAAGCATAAACACTTAGCACTCACAGCGGTAAGCCCGCCTTGGCCAGCCCAGCACCCGCTCCCAGCACCGCGGGCACTGTTTGCTCGGCCGAGGGGGCTGACCCTGAGGTTGTTAAGAGTGGCCTGCAGCTTTGGGATGGTTTTACTATTGTTTTTAAATCCTCCACAACAGATGAGAGAGCCTCTTCCGGCCTGTGCTCACTGCCCCCCTCCCCCCCGCCCTCGGTATAGCCTGTGTTTAGTATATAAATGTGTATTTGCATAGACCTTTTTTTAAAAAAGGCGGTGGAATGATAAACATCAAATTCAGGACAAGTCACTCTGGGGGCAGGGGAGCAGGAGACACAGGGGTCTGAGTTCTGGGTGGGGTGGGGGTTGCCAGGCATTGCTCAGTGGGCTGGCTTCCTCTGCGCCCCCACACCTTGCCCACACTGTGTGCCCAGAGGCGACCCCGTGGAAGGATGGGGGTCAGGTACCATCGCTTCTCCCTCCCCTTTGGGGCCTGGAGGCTCATGGGGCCCAGACCACCCAAGGGGGCTCTCCCCTCCCCCACCCACCCTCCGGCCAGGATTGCTTCGCCAGCTCCCAGCAATTAAGCCCTTGGAGAACCTTATCCTGTCCTGCCCCACAGAAACAATGGTATAATGATACATGTAAGTTATAATATGTGTCAAGTAAACTTAAAAATTGTTTTAAAAGTACCTGGGCTTCTGAGCTGGCTGGTGACACCACCATGGTTGCGGGCTCTGCAAGAGAGAACAGGGGTTGCGTCAGGGCGTGCCTTGCCCCGCAGACCTGAAGAAGGCGGCCACCTAGCCACCCTCCACCCCGGGAACAGACGGCACAGCCCCGGACCCTCCGTCACAGCACCGGGAAGCTCACAGTGGGCCCAGCCTCCAGCTCCTCAGACCCACGCCTGCAAGCCCCCGCTGCAGGGTGCGCGCCTGGGGGCGGGGCCCTGGGAGCGACGCAGGCCTGGCCCCGTTGGGAGGACCCGCACGCAGAGCCCCAGCCACTGGGCGGGCTAAGCCGGCGTCGGCCCCCACTCCGGATCTGGGGGTTCCGCCGACGGCCAGCACCGCGTCAGAGCCAGACCCCCCAGAAGCCCAGGTGCAAACCTGGCCCTGTGTATTGTATTAGCTTCTCACGGAGCATGGCACTGAGGGAGCATGTGGACGGGTAGCCACTCCGGCGACCCCTATACACCCCGCGAGGTGGGTGCTTCTGGTACCCACCTCAGAGGTGAGGACACAGAGGTGCAGAGGGCTGGACTCGCTGGCCCCACGGTGTCACAGGTAGCATGGGGCGGTGCAGGGGGACCCAGATTCCGCTCCAACGGCTCCTGAGCCTGCCCCCAGGGCCCCCCAAGGTGCCGGGCTGGGTGAGCCGGACCCAGCGCCCCACCCCCACCCCGAGCCCCGCAGCCTCCCCTGAGCTCAGCGGGCAGCGCTGCCTGCGGAGTGATCTCCAGCTGCCTCACATTCCTTCTGGAATGAGGTGGGGCATAAAGACACGACCATGAAACTGTCTGCTAAGTGAACCTGGTCACATGAATATTCTCAAAATGCCACCAAGCTCCGGGAAGATTGCCGAGATACGGGACTTCGCGCTGCCTGGCCATGAGACTCGTGGAAAGTACCCGGCCCAGGATCAGCGGGCTCCAGCGAGCAGCCCGCTGGGTACCGCGGAAGTTCACGCCAGCGACTGGGTGGGGGCCGTGGGAGAAACCAGGCTCAGAACAGAGGTGCTTCTTGGGACAGACCAGTGCCTCAAACTATCCCGATGACCAGGAAGGGGTGCAGCCAGCCTTCAGCCTGCTCGGCTGGAAGCTTTCCGGTCAGAATAATTTTAATGTTCTTGTCGCTGGCTGAAATAGTTCAGATGTTAACAAAAGCACTTGCGAGTCTAACTGTATATCGAGCTGCAAGAACTTGGGCAGTCTCGGGTTTGGGTGGGCAAGCTGCCCCTCTGTGAGGTCTGGGGCGCTGGAGGCTGTGCCCGCCTCTCTGCAGGGCCCTTTGACATGGTTTATCAAGGCTTCAGCCCACGCCGCCACCTCAGGAGCTCTGGGCCATGACTCCCTCTTCACAGATGAGGACACTAAGGTTCAGGCAGATTGAGAAACGTACCCAAGATCATAGAGCTAAAAAATGGCTGGGCTGGGACCCCCCACACCAAGCACTGCCAGACCCCTAAGTCTCCCCTCCCAGTCCACCTGGACACCCAGGTATACCTGAGTGGAACCGCCACAGCTCGTGACCAACGTGGTCACATAGCACTGTGCCAAGTGCCATTTGCTCCTTTAGAAAACCGTGCCAGGGAGGGCAGAGGGCCCAGGCAGAGGCAGGTGCAGGCAGCGGGACCGCGGGACGCATGCCGCATTGGGGTGGTGCTGGGACCAGGAACCAGGACACCGGTGCCCTCCGGACGGGACCTCTGTCCCGCCGGGGACAGGATGTGCTGGGGAAGGAGGCCTCCCAGTTTCTTTTGTACGAAAAAACAAACGCGGAGAAATCAAGAAGCTCCTGAGTTTTCTTTGAAGTGATCCTCTGCCGTAGCAGAAAAGATGGGAGATTTCATCTGTGAGGACTCTGCAGCCTGGGGTCCCCTGGAGCAGCTTCAGGCAGAAGTGCTTCCAGGACCTGCCCAGCAGGTGGGGGGTAGGAGGGGGGTCCCCGGCAGCCTCGGCCCCCACCTGCCCGGGGCGGGGTGGAGTGAGGGGCACGCTCAGGCCGGGGTCCTACCCGCCTCTGCCACCGCGGCTGTGACCCTGGGGTCTGCAGGCAGAGAGGGCACCTGCCCAACCTCATCACAGAACACGCGAGGCACGAGAGCCGACACCACCCCGCGAGGACGTGGAGAGTGGGACCCGCCTGGTAACAGCAGTGACGGGACCCCCAGGGCCTCCTGCCCGGGGCTGCTCAGGCCGGGGGTCAGGGCGACGAATGGCCAGAAGGAGACCCCGCGCATCTGGCACGAGGCCGGCCCCAGGCGGGGCCACACTAGGCTCCACGGGCGGGGCCCCCCTGGGTCTTAAGTACTGACAGTCGCTGAAGACTAAAGGGCAGAGGGGCCTCCCAAGCCCGGGGGGCTCCTGCCCCTCACGTCTCAGGCTTGGAGCGGCCGTGCGGCCGCACAGCAGGGGGAAGACCAAGGCCCACCCATTCGGGCTGTGGGATGTGGTCCCCGCTCAGTGCTGGTGGGCAGGACAACCGCCCCACAGGTGGCCGCCGGCCACGCCTCTCAGAATTGCACCCGCCCACCTCCGGGCACGACCCCTAACGACCACTCACGGCCGCGTCCCTCCTCCCAGCGAAACTCTGCAAACGCTCGGTGGACGTGTCCACACGGGGGCCACCGGAAGGACGGAGGTGCCCTCTGTAGTGAGATGAGCGGAGGCCGCCTTTGAGGACGGTAGCAGAGGCAGCCCCGCCTTGCAGGGCATGTGCACTGCGCCTCCTGCAGAGCTTCCTGAACTGTGCGTGACCGCGAGCGAAGCCACAGTGTCCCCTCCTTGCGCACCACTCAGAGCCGGGGGTCGGCGGGAAAACAGAGCCCGGAGTCAGACAACCCATGCGTGGTGGGGCAGCTCACTGACTTTCCCAGAACCTCCTCTTATAAAACAGGGCTTCACCCACCGCACAGGTTATTGGGAAGATTAAACAAATACACGCCGAGAGTCTCGTGTCCAGTAAGCTGTCAATAAACGCTTAGTTTCATCATCAGGAAACTAATTTTACAACGTAAGTCTCGGGGAGTGAGCTGGTGAAGGCAGGGAGGGGAGACGCCCGCTCGAAACCACGGAACTGGTGTGTTTGTTTAGCAAACACAGAGAGCTCTTTGGGTCAAAGGCGGCCCCCACTTCCTTTCCGCCACCGCCTCAGGGTGGCTGAGATCACAGTCACCCACAGGGTTCCCTCCCTGCGAGCCAGAACCCCGGGCACCAGGAGCCGAGTGAATGCCGGCGGGAGCAGGGGCCGGGATGGGGAGATGCGTGCGGGCCAGCGCGGCCCACACCCGAGGCGGTACACACGCAGCCTCTGCGCCTCCACCGAGCGCCGGCGCCCCTGCTCCCAGGGAGCCTCCACACCCAGCCCCCACCAGGCGTCTCTGGGACAAACCCAGGGAGGCCCCACTGATGGTCACAGCAGACGGGCAGCGGCCCAGACGTGACAGTTCCAATGGCCTGTCCTTCTGCTCGGCCGAGGACGGCTCCCTGGAGCTTCCCAAGCGGGTTGAGGGGACTCTCTCCTCTGGCTCGCTGTTGCCCCACAGAGCAGCCGGGAGACGGGGGGACATGCCCGAGGCTACCGGGCGGAGAGTCAGCCCCTGCTCGACGGGGTCTCCAGACCACGGCCAGTCCCCCTCCCTGACAGCTGAGTCGCCTGGTACTGGAGGTGTTCCAGCAACAGCGGGGGGCCCCTTCTTAAGGTGTGGCCCCGGGGACCGCCACCCAGGACACTAGTGGCCCCAGAGCGGGACCTGGGACCTGCTGCCTCAGCATCGGGGGAACCTGTCAGACGTGCATGTCCGCAGGCCCGCTCCCGGCCGAGACGGCAAGGGTCCCCTGGCTCAACACGCCCACCGGCGCGAAAACCGCCCCCGGAAAGCGGTGGGACTGCAGTTCCAGGGCCAGGTTCTGCCGATGCTGCCAAGGAGGAAGTGCCACCCCCCAGGGCTCCCCTCCACGGTGGCCCCGGCCTGTCCCCGTCCCCGTCCCAGGGCCCACACTCAGGGCCTGCGACCCTGCCGGAGACCCGGGCAGCAGAGGAAGCGAGGGCGCAACACCTCACCTCTGACAGCGAGTGTGAAGTAGCCCGTGTGGTAATTTGTCACCGTGGCCCCAGGGAAACACGCACACCCTGCTTTCAAACTGCCCCACCGACTCCCACTATCTGTGCCTGCGACGCCAGGGCCCTTGAAGGGGACAGATGTGCCGGCACTGAACGGACGCGGTGCCAGGCGGAGGTGGGGACAGCGAGGGCCCTTCCTCCCGGTGCCCTGGCCCCCGCAGGCTGACCTGCCCGGTCACTGGGAGTCTCCTCCAGGCGGCCTCCCTGCAGGCCAGGCCCCTCTGAGCGGCCCAACGGGATCCAGGGGAAACCCAGAGTCTTCCTGCAGCCGATACTCACGGGCACGTTTGCTCAAATGCCCACATCCCCAGACCAGACCAACCAGTGCCACAGTGCTGCCTTTGTGGGGCCACTGGTCGCGGGAGCGGGGGCGGGGTGGCAAGGCCAGGGCCCCGAAGGCGGCAGGAGGGCTGGAGTGGTGCCCGCCATGAGCCAAATCTCAAGGTGTACAGCGGCCCCAGGGACCCCTTCTCAAGAGCTGAAGCCTCTCCTGAGAGCACAGGGCAGGGCCCGCACACGGCGGGTGGGCAGGTAGTCCAGCTGAGGTGGCCACGCGGGCTGAGCGTCTCCTGGGGGCGCCCGTGCCGGAGAGCAAGGCCTGCCAGGGACTGCGCTCCTGTGAGGCCACCCCTGCTCAGGCTCAGAGGCGAGACTAAGCCGGGAATGCGATCAGCAAACACACCCAGCTCAGCCACAGCCAGGGGGGCCCTTCCCAGCGCCCGCACCTCCCCCACACACTGCGGCCCGGCCCTCGGCACGTGGGCCACCCCGGCCCCCTGCCCGCGCCCTGAGCTCTGACAGGGGAGCTGCGTGTCCTCCAGATGGAGGGCGTTGTACGTCGTCGAGAAGTGTGCACAGGGGGCAGCAGCCCACCCTGGTCAGGGCTTGCGTGTGTGACCCTGCACCCACGTGTCCGCGCCCGTGTGCATCTGTGTCTGTGTGACACTGTGCGTCTGTGTGTGTTCGTGTGCGCGCACGAGGCAGCACATGGACCCAGGGTAGAGGTAGGCTCCCTGCCGATGTCCCCTGGCCCGCCTCCCACCACCCCAGCACAGGCCGCCTCACCCCAGTCCAGGGAGGAGTGGGGGGGCCAGGGAGGTGCCCAGCCCGCTCTGCAGCACAGCTCGGCCTCCAGCCTCGGGGCTGCAGGGAACGGAGTGGGAAGGCGGCTTCCGGCCCCGCGGGGCTCACGACACAGGGGTGCCCAGCACAGCGCAGGGCAGGCGGAGCGTCTGAGCCTGGAGAGCCCTGCGTCCACGCAGTGCAGGCTGCACAGGGGCGGCCTGCAGGAGCTCACCCTGGAGACCGCGGAGCTGGAGGGTCGGCTGCCTCAGACCCGCAGGCAGGGAGGAAGGATGTGCAGGAGGGGCCTGGCGGGGCCGGTGCCCCCGGCAGACGGGTCATGTGAGGCACCCAAGCGTCGAAGAGGGAGCCTGGAAAAACTTTTAGCATCAAAACACACCAAAATAAACCCAGGGAAGTGTGGCAGTGCATAAATCAGCAGAAGCAGAATGGAGGCACAGGGGGAGAAAAGGGGCGAGGGGCGGGTGGCCGCGAGGACACCGGCCGCAGCCGTGGGCGCCCAGGGCCTGGGAGAAGGACGCTTCCCCAGCAGACGCAGGCCACGAAGGCGGGGGTCTCTCCATCCCAGTGGCAGCCAGGCGCCGCATCAGGTGGACAAATGCCACTGAACGCACTGCGGATCCCGGTCCCTGACCGCGCTGCGCTGGGGACCGGGCCGTCTCGGGCACCGGCTCGACACAGGGGCCTGGGGAGCTCCTGCCTCGGTCCCAGACACGGGAGCCTCTCCTCTCGGCAGGCTCGGCCACGGCCTCCGACAAATACCCTCACATGGTAACGCATTTCCATTTTCCCAGTTTTGAGAAGAGGGGCTCCCAAGCGTTATGAAGAAGTCTCCCAACCAAAGATGAGGATGGGGCTTCTGGTCAGCTCCCCCACCCAACGGGAGGGGGCCGGGCCCCAGCCGGCATGCGGGGCACTGTTAGGCCTTCCCGCAAGGATGGCGGAGGTGGAGTTCTGCGGCTGATTGCAAACATTTACTTATCCAGAGAATGTTTCCCTCATTGCTATTTACGGGAGAAATACCCACGCAGTTTCTAAGGCACTGACTAATCACCCCGCAGGCCCCTCGAACTCTGGGGAGACACCTCTGGCAGACAGTTGGTCTAAAGTTCCAGCTGATTCATGGAAGGTCAACAAGGACAGAAAAGAAAGTTTAGGTAATCCATTTCCCTTAATCTTGAAAAGGCAGCAAGTCATAACCTCATCCACCTTTATGAGACATGTTTATGAACAGAAGCCAAAGATCATAACAACTGGAAAACTCAAAATTGGGCTCCCTGATGTCATAGGCTGGTCCCGCCCCACAAAGCTCACTCAGCATAGGGTGGTTACATGTGATCTTTGAACCCCAGCCTGGATTTCCAGTCGAGGATTTCTAGTCGAGCTGTGAACGTGCGGACAGCAGGAAATGCTGCTGGGTCTGCAGTGACCAGAGGGAGGGGCCGATATGTCCCCGGGGGCTGGTGCAGTGGCCAGCCCCTGACCAGCACCTGCTCGGCATGCCTCAGAGGGCACCAGCGAGAAACACAGTGTGACCCCTCAGCACCAGAGGGTCAGGGTGCATCTCTGTCCTAACCAGCTGCTAGGATTGGGGGCAAACTACTTACCACTCTGTGCCTCAGTTTCCCCATCTTTAAAAGCAGAGCAGTGCCAGGAGCCAGACCTGGGCTACGTTGTCTCCCAGGGTGGGGAGGGCCCGAGGGATGGAGTTTTAATCAGGAACATGCAGCCTCAGGAGAAACAGCCTTTGCGAATATCTAACTGCAGGCCCCGCAGGCCAGAGGAGGTGTGGGGCGCGCGTCCCCTGGCCCATCTTGGAGGGCAGCGTGCTGAACGCCGTGCCCCAGCCCTGCCTCCGCCCGTGGGGCCTTGTGAGCCTGAGCCGCCGCTCCCCGAGAGTAAAATGGGGGCACCACTCGCATGCCAACTCTTACAGTTCTCACTTATCAAATATATCAGTGCTTTCTGTGCAAATTAAAACAGCTGACACGGGTCCCACAGCAGAGGGGGTGGAAGCAGTGCCAGGGATGAGCGGGGGGCACTCAGCCATGGTTCCAGGGCAGGGGCAGCAGGACCCCCGCCCCCGTTGCCAGAGCAGCTGCGCCTTCCCTGGCTGTGCCCTGGTCCACCGGTCCTCTCTGACGCCTGCCTGCAAGGATCCCGCACACCCACAGCCCTGGGCTGGAGCGGGCCCAGCCTCCTCCAGCTCACACACCCCTCTGCGCTCCCCACCGGCATCAGCTGTGGGGTAGCTGCTCCCGCGCTCTGGGCTGCACTCGGTTCCCCGGGGAGAAAACAACTTTTTTCTTAAAGAAGCAAAAGTCACCAAACTCACCGTGCTAAATAGACTTCAAATACCTTTCAAGGGCTTAATTATCGGTTCTTATTGATGATCAAGAGCAGAAAAATTAAGCAAGTTGTCTCCTAAGTATTATACATTATCCCTGCTTTTTACTCAACGTAGGGCGCCAGGAAGGGGGGAGGCAATTCAGCAGGAATTTCAGGGACGCCCAGCCCCTCCTCCTCTCTCCCTGCACCCACGACAAAGACCCCAAGAGGACATTTGTTCCTTTCCTGCGCAGGGCACCGGCGCCACAAGGGTTCCCCAGCGTGAATCCCTGGGAGGCAGAGGCTAGAGCCTGAAGGCTGAGGGTCGGAGCGGGAGGACCAGCCTGGGGCCGGCGGGGGGGCGGGGGGGCGGGGGGGGGAAGGCGGGGGGCGGGGCTCAGTCCCCCCAGGCAGGCGCTCAGCGCCAGGCCAGAGCTCCTGTCCTCTGAGGGCAACGTGCTCAGCTGCAGGCAGTCCCCTAAAGCACCTGGCCTGAGGTTACGAGGCGGGTTCCCGATTGAGGGGACAGGGAGGGAGGTCCCCGTCTCAGTAGAGTGGGGAGCGGAGTGGGGGGTGTTGGCTGCCAAGCCGGAGAAGACAGGGCCGAGAAGGGCCTTCCGGTCCCGCGGAGAGAGAAGGCGGAGAGGGCTCAGAAAGGGACGCCGGGTCCCGCAGAGACAGGGTGGGGAAGGGGAGCGCGCACCCGACCGGGGAGGAGAGAGGGAGGGAAGGGGCAGGGGTCGCCGCCGCTCCCCAGGACGGACGCCGAGCCGGCCCCTCGGGCCCCCGCCCCCCGGCCCGCCTGCGCCGCCCGAGCGCCCAGCCACACCCCCGCCGGCCTCACCCTCCGCGCCGGGCTCCAGCCGCGCGCCGACCGAGCCGTCCCTGCGCAGGAGGATGTCCGCCGTGTCCCGGATGCGCCGCCGGCCGCCCGGCGCGCCCCGCAGCCCGCGGCAGCACTGGAAGCACACGGCCCACGCCTGCTCTTCGTTGATGGGTTGCTCGTACGCCTTCAGCACCTCCTCCAGGGACAGCTCCCACGGCTCCGGCAGCCCGCCGCCCGCCGCCCGCTCCGCGGCTGCCGCGCCCGCGTCGCAGCCGCCGGCCCGGGCCATGGCCGCCCCATCATCGCCCGCTGCGCGCCCGACCGGTTTCCATAACAGCCGCGCCGGGGCAGCCGACGCACCCGCCGAGCGCGGGGGGCGGGTCCCGCGCCTCCGGCCGCTGCTTTGTCATCCTCGGCGGCCCCGCCCCGAGCGCGCGGCGCAGGTGAGCGCGGGGAGGGAGGGCCGCGACTGGGAGGGGCTCCGGGGAAAAGGGCGCCAGGGGCGCGGGCCCGGGGCGGGGGCGGCGCACGGCCGCGGTAGGGGGTTGGAAGCGGGGGGGTGGGGGAGGCGGGGAGGGGCGCGCGGGGCCGGGCCGAGGGGAGGCGGGCGCCAAGACGCCGGTCTGCCAGCCTCGGCGGTCCCGGGAAAGCCAGACGGCAGGCGCCCACGCCCGGCCCTCGCGCGCGTACCTAGGCCGGTGCCCAGCCCAGACCGCACCGCAGTGACGGCCAGGCCTCGGCGCGCTGGACGCGGGAATGCGGGGGGTGGAGCCGGGAGGACCCGCCACGCGCGCGCACACGCAAGATGCCCGCAGTGGCCTCTGTGGAGGTGACTGTGGGCGATGCGAGCGAGGGAGACCTCCCGGTGTGAAGCTTGTAATGTGTGACCCTTTCCAGCAGGACGTGTGCCCGCGTGAAATACTCCGCTGTCTCCAAGAAAAATGAACCGAGTCTCAGTTCACTGGTGGGCGGGCCGCACTGCCCTCGGACAGCGGCTATGCCTTCATCCCCCGCCCCTGGGAGGTGGCACCCCGGGGCTTTACCCAGGCTAATCCCGGGACCCCCTCAGCCACAGTGGTACATGGTCAGAGCAGCAGCCAAATGCAGCTGCAGAGTAAATGGCAGCCGGGTCCCCAGCCTGGAGCCGCTGCGCAGCACCCAAAGTGCAGGTTCCTGCAGATTTCTCCTTGGCTGGGGTGAACCCGGAGTCCTCAAGCTGCCTGGGGACTGAGGGCTGCGGGGTGCGGCGATTTCGCCTCATTGGAAGGAGACTTGGGTGGGGTGTAGGCTGTCATCCGGGGCCTCTGCGTGTTTAGTCTTCAAGCAAAAAGGAGTTTGATAAGGACAGATCGCGTTCAAAGTTTCTGGATTCGGTAGCAGGGCAACTTTTGGGTCTCCAGGCTTACGCAACAAAAGCAAGTGTTGGCTCGTGGGCGATGGGGCCCGTGGAGCACGCGCTGCCTGCGGAGCGAGCCGTGCAAAGCGGCTGCGGCTCGCGCGACTCTCCCTGCCTAGTCCTCGCAGGTGCAGGCGGTCGTCCCGAGGGAAGGTAGACACTTGAGGGTCTGCCTCAGAGCAGCAGCGGTTTAAGGGAAGTCCTTCCAGACTCTGGCCACACAGGTCAGTGTGACCGGGGGCACTGTCCTCCCCTGGCTCTGTGAGCTCGTTCCTGACGACCCGCGCCCCCGTCCAACACCCTGGGAACGAGACTTCTGTCTGCAGCACCATCGGTGAAGCGGGCGGTGCTCCTGGCGAGGCCGCTGGCCGGGCGCCCCTGCCACAGGCAGGGATGGGACCGAGAGGGCGGCAGTCGCCCTGATGGAAAGCTGGCGAGGTGACAGCGAAAGGTGCCTTCCCTTCCGACCCGTGTTTCCAAACAAACAAGCAAAGCAGCTTCCCTACCTTCAAGGGGCCTCACACTTGCCTCCCTGACGGTGTGGCTTCAGGGTCTGGTCTGATGAGCAAGCGCCTTGTGAAGGGCGTTATGGCCCCTTCACCTGCCGACCCAGTGGCCCTTGCGGTCATCTGTGTGAGGGTACAATGCCATGCATGACCTGGCATCGATCGTTTAAGGTTTTAAAAATTAGGTTTCACATATCTCTTGGTGTCTGAAGTTTTGCCCCCCGGCAGTGACCAAAATGAGGAAGCAGAAGCACCAGTCACCTCTCCAGACACCCCGAGAAACTGTGTCTTTTCCTCTCAGGTCATTTACCCACACATCTCCCCAAAAAGTACCACAAGAGACCTAGAAATGGCCCTACGGTGACAAATAAGCCCGCTGTGACCTCCGAGGGGCGGCGGCGGCAGAGGGACTCCAGCTGCGTAGCCCGGACTCCGCGGCAGGAGAAACCTGGTCAGACTGGCCCCCGGCCTGGCAGCGGAGGTGCCGGGTCCTGGCTGGTTGGTGGGAGCTTTGGGCGCCATGGTAAGTTCCACCCTTAGTCACCAGCCAGGTCAAGACAGTTATTTCCTTCCTGCAGCCGGGCCCCACGCAGCGCCCACACTCTGTTCTTCTGACTGAGTGAGGAGGGCTCTGCCACGAGGAGCTCGTGTGGGTAAACGCGTGGCCGCCCAGGCTGCCCACCCGGGAAGCCTCTAACACGCGAGCACAGCACAGGCGCCGGGTGGGGGGAGGGGATTATCCCTGTTGAAAATAGCACTAAGGTTAAAACACATATCTGTTTGTCCAAGGAGTAAGATCGGAATCAGAGATACGTTCGTTCTTCCATATTTGAACTTGCCAGTTGGATTTGAGAAATAAACCGTGTATTTCCGGCTGCTAAAAAGGCCCAGCCCGAGAAGTGTGGTAGAATCGACCAAGGTCAATCATTAACGCGGCGTGGAGAGCTTTGGAGCTAGGCCATTTCTGCAGTTGCGGGATCACCTGCATCTGCTTCTAAAAATGTGTTCTTTATGCTTCGTTTCCAGCACACGTGAAAACCGCAGGGGCAGGACGTTGCCGCTCACTGTTAGTGCTGTGCTTGGGGACAGAATAGAAGCCTTTACCGAGTGAGCACATTAGCACATTAGCTGCCTGGGTGGACATGTACTTGCTGAGCACTGGACGCGGATGTCTTAGGCTTGGGGCAGACCAGTGAAGACCCAGCCAGCACCCTCCCCACACCTGCTCTTAGGGGGAAACAGCACCGGGAGCACCTTCCTGACGGGTGGGGGCGGATCCACCCCCCCCTTAGGTGCTTGCTGAGAAGGGAGCCCTACTGGTTGTCGTTCCCACGCTCTGTGGCTGGGATCGGGCCGCACCCCGGCGATGCCGTCAGAGTGCTGCGCGGCTCCTGGCTGCCCTTGGCCAGAGATTCAAAGGCTCTGGGAACTAGACCTCTGAGCCTCTCTACAGACTCAGGAGCGAGAGGATCCTAATTTGAGGCTCCTGGAGGCCACGAGGGTAAAAGGCGCTGGGTCCCAGGGCACTGTGGGCGGCAGGCGCGTGATTCCGGCAGGGGGAGGCAGGGCACCCGGGTCCCAGGGGCCACAGGGAGGACACTGTGTGGGTTGAGACAAAGGTCGCAGCGAGTCACGTACTTTGGGTGTGAGATCAAAGACCATTTGAGAGGCCCGTGGGTCCCCCTGGCTGCAGGCTGACCGCTGGGCTGTGGAGGCTGCAGCGCGAGGCCCTGGCCCCTCGCTGATTCCACTCCGGAGCGAAAAACAGGTCGGCTTCCCCCAGGGGACCCATGCGCAGCGTGCAGCCAGGCCCCCGTTGCCAGGACTCAGGAGCCCCTGAATGCCTTCTTTGTCCGGCTCCCCGCAGCCAGGCCGGGCTCAGCGGTCCGGAGGAAAAGCTGAAATGTGAGAGGCCGGGGTTTTGTGCTTTAGGTTTATTTTGGGAGAATGATAAAGGCCACGACTCCCAAGGGGCGCTCACAGAGCCAGGCTGGGCCTGCTGTCTGAATGGGCGCCCGGGGCAGCTCCCGGCGAAGGGCCCGGGGGCGCCTGCTGCAGGTTTCTGGGCTGGCGGAGGAGGCGAGGGGGCGGGGGTTCCCGAGCCAGGCCCCGATGACGGGAGGAAGCCCCGGACGAGCACCACCGACGGGGGGGCTCTCCTGTGTGGGGCAGGACCAGGGGAGCGGGGCTTCGGGGAGTTGGCGGTTCACCCTGAAATTCCTGATGGGAGTCGAGAAAACACGGGAGGACCCCGTCTGCTTCCCACGGAAGACCCTGGAGGTCACTTACAGAGTCCGAAGGCGTTTGTTTTCAGCAGGGGACACAGGGCGGGGCGCTTCCCAGGTGCGGTGCTCGCACCCCATCGTGAGGACCACTCCCTCTCCCAGCGCCGCCCCCCGCCACCTGCCGTGAAGCCCGTTCACGGCACAGCTGACACCTCTGTAACCCTGTAGAAACGACGACCAGTCCCTGTTGGCTAACTTGACGTGGTTTGATGTTCGCACACTGGCCCAGGTGCGGTCACTGTCACGTGGCCTCCTTGTGACAAACTCGCACGTTCTCTCTCCACAAGCCGCCCACCCCGTCCTGCTCTGAGCGTCCCTCGCTGGGGGCAGGGTCTTGGTATCAGTGCGTGCCTGTGTGCAGCCTCTGTGTCCTGCTGGTGGCCATGCACACGGCTCTGCAAGGACAGGGCCTTGGCTCAAGGGCCGCTGTCCCTGGCATCTGGGACCCTGTAAGAGAAGTGTGCATGTTGGCCTTCGAACGGGGCACCTATAGATTCTAAGAAACGGACTTGCTGGGTCCCTTAGTCAACGTTGTCAAATGGCCTCCGTAAGGGCTGTGAACAATCCCACTGTTCTTCGATTTTTTTTTTTAACTTCCTCTTTGTTTTCCACTTTGGGTAATTCCTGTTTTGCTCGGCCCACTGACGGAGGCATTCTCTCTCTCTGTTACCACGTTCTTGTCTCTTGTAAGCCTCCTCTGTCTGTGTGGGGCCTTTTCTCCCAGAGACGTCAGCATATTAAGCATAGTTATTTTAAATTCCCTGATTGTTCCCACATCTGGGCCACGCCTGGGGCTGGTTCTGTTACTTGTCTTGTCTTTTAAGAGTGGGTTGATTTGGCCCTGGCCAGGTAGCTCAGTTTTTTGACACAGCAAGTTGTGGATTTGTGGCTTTGATCAGGGCACATACAAGAATCAACCAATGAATGCATGAATAAGTGGAACAATGAATTGATGTTTCTCTCTCTCTTAAAAATTAATACAATTAAATAAAAACATTTTAAAAAGAGTGAGTTGATATTTTTCGTGGTTTTTGTCTCATCACTTTTGATGGAATGTGCAACGTGTGTGGACCAGAGGAGTCCGAGGTAAGTTGTGTTTCTGTGTCTTGTATGCAGGGCACTTCCTGCCCTGTCCTGGTGGCAGGGGACCCTGGGCTCCAGCCTGTTTCCCCCAAAGGCCCCTCTGACCCAGCACAGAACACCTGGGCGCGTCGTGGTGACATGTTTGGTGATTCTAACAGCGGGGTGTCCTCACTTCCCCTTCTTTGGAAGCGGAGCAGTAACGCTGTGTGATGCTGGACGCTGAGAGCAGCGCGGGTGGGGGCACGTGGGTGTGGTCCCTTGAGCCACCTGCCTGCCGGGCCCGCAGCGCCACCTGGGATTTGACACGTTCTGGATCGGGCCAAGTCTTCTGCTCCTGTCTGCGGCCCCTTCCCAGCGTCCTCTCAGTACTGACACCTTCCTGGGCTCAGGTTCAGAAACTCTGGACTCTTTCTCACCTGGCAGGTCAACCTTCAAAGCAGGAACAGCCCATCTGGTTACGTCCCTCTCCCTGCGCGACACCACTCTGGGCGGAGCTTCCCGCCGCCACCGCCTCCCCGTCTTTCGCGTGATAGTCACCGGAGTCCACCTGACGGGGCTCCGGGCCCAGACTCTGCCTCGCGGGGTCGCTTCCGAACAAGCTGCCTGATGCGGGGCTTGCGCCCTCCAGTGGCCACGCGCCCGCGGCGCCGGAGCCGAGGTCTTCAGGCCGCTAACGAGGGCCACGTGGACGCCCACCTCGCCTCCTGCCCCACCCCCACCCAATAACCCGACCTCCTTTGTTTTTCTCAGCGCGCTACGCACGGTACTTATTACTCTATCTGTCTCCTCCCACTAGGCTGGGAGCCCCGCCCCCGCAGGGACGTTGCCTGCTTTTCTCACAGGTGCTCCCCGGGGCCTGGGAAAGTGGGGACCTGCGCTCTGAGACACCCTCAGGGAATCTACTGCGTCAGAGTTACTCTTGGAGTGACACTACTTCGTGGCTTAAAACACAGAAATTTATTTTCTTACAGGTCTGGAGACCAGAGTCTGAAATCAAGTTTCAGGAGGTGTATGTGAGTCTCAGGTGCGTGTAAGGCAGGACCGCGCCCCCCCCTCCCCCGGCGCAGGGGCTGCGGGGGAAGGACCTTCTGCCCCGTCCAGGCTGTGGGGCTCCAGGTGTCCGGGGCTGGGGGCGCTTCACACCAGCCTTTTCTCCCTCGTGTCGTCGTCTTTTCTGTCTCTAATGACACGTTCACTGGATTGAGGGCCCACCTGGGTGGGCCAGGGTGATCTCGTCTCCAGATCCCCACCTGCTCGCAGCTGCAAAGCCCCTGCCGCAGGGCGCGTCGCCGCCGCGGTCTGGGTTGGGACGCGACGCCCCTTTCCGGGCCGCGCGGGGCGCTGCGGGGGCGGAGCCAGCGTGCTGCACGCTGGGCGGGAGGGGCGGCGGCGGCGGCGGCGGCGCCGCGGTCTGGGTTGGGACGCGACGCCCCTTTCCGGGCCGCGCGGGGCGCTGCGGGGGCGGAGCCAGCGTGCTGCACGCTGGGCGGGAGGGGCGGCGGCGCCGCGGTCTGGGTTGGGACGGGACGCCCCTTTCCGGGACGCGCGGGGCGCTGCGGGGGCGGAGCCAGCGTGCTGCACGCTGGGCGGGAGGGGCGCCGCCGCGGCTCTGCGCTCCAAGGGAACGAAAAGGGGGAAAGCCGGAAAAGCCAGCTATGAAGCGTTCCCTTGATGGAGTGACACAACCATTATTTTTGTCAGAATCGGATCCTCAGGTCCTCAAACACGCGTGCTTTTAACATTCCGTGTTCTGGAATCAGGGTTCCACGAGCGACTCTGTACCCTGGGACCAAGGACCTCAGCCGGGAGGTCAGGGCTGGGCTGCGACACAGCACTGCCTTCCCAGCCTGCGTGTCTGCGTGGTCACGACTAAAGGTCCTGTGCGGCCACACACTGAAGAGTGGCCCCGGCTGGTGCGGCTCAGTGGACTGAGCGCCGGCCTGTGGATTCCCAGGGAGGGCACACGCCTGGGTTTTGGGCCCGGTCCCCAGCTGGGGGCGTGCGAGAGGCAACTGATCAATGTTTCTCTCACACACTGATGTTTCTTTCTCCTTTCCTTCCCTTCCCTTCTCTCTAAAATAAAAAGTTTTCAAAAATTAAAAAGCCAATATCAATGTGTGTGTGGTCTTGACCCAGCAATTCCACGACTTGTAACTCATCCCAAGGCAATAGAGACCAGTCTGCAGTCTCCACGCGGGCCCATTTGAAAGGAGTCCGGCTCCCCAGCGGGGAGCGAGGGGGATGACTCACACTCCGCGGGGGGCCTCGCGGGGGGCGGGGGGGCCTCGCGGCGGGGCCACTAAAAAGGCTCCGGAGAATGGGGTTGCTCCATTCATAATTCAGAGGCACCCATGAATTATCATAGATGAAAAACATGATTACAGTGCAGCAATGTAAAAAATTGCAAAGGACAAAGCCTGAGAATATATACAGTAAAATATCAATGGTGGTTGTTTCTGGATGTGATTTTAGGCAAATTAGTGATTTTCTGTACCTGTATTTGTCAATAAGCAGCCCTCGCTGGTGAGGCTGTGGATTGAGCACTGGCCTGTGAATCAAAGAGTCGCAGGTTCGATTCCCAGTCAGGGCACAAGCCTGGGTGGCAGGCCACGTACCCACTAGGGGCGCATGAGAGGCAACCGCACAGCAGTATTTCTCTCCCTCTCAGTCCCTCCCTTCCCTCTCTCTAAAAATAAATAAATAAAATCTTAAAAAAAATAAAATAAGCATGTTTCCAGTTCTGTAATGGGGGAGAAAGTCCTTCCCAAGTTTGAACAAAGGTCTCCCATCTCCCTTCTGTGCTGAAGTGGGGACATGTCAGGGTGGTGGAGGCAGTTTTCATGCTGGGAGGATCCCACCTTCTAGACTAAGCTGGTGGGCACTCGGTAACCCAGCAGGCTCCCTCCTCACGTACGCCTGGGGCAGTATTCGGTGTTTTTATTTTAATCCTTTTTTTCTATTGATTTAAAGAAAAATTTTGGAGAGAGACAGAAACATCGATTTGTTGCTCCACTTACTGATGCACCAACGATTGATTCTTGCCTGTGCCCCGACCTGGGACTGAACCTGCGACCTTGGCGTATCCGGATGATGCTCTAACCAGCTGCGCTACCCGGCCAGGACAATCTCTGGGTTTTCAATTGTTTTCTGCTGCTGAATCAACTCCCTTCTTTGTTTTGGGTCTATCTAACTAAATTCTCTTTGCATTTCAAAACAGTCCCTTGGCCACCTGCCATGCTGGTCAAACCTAGGGCAGGCAGGCCGACTCTGGCTTCTCTAAGAGCTCAAAGTCCAGCTGGGCCCCTTGTCCCTCTCAAGGCAGCTGCTGTGACAGGACATGGAAAGGGAGGGAGGGAGAAAGCCCTCTCCTCTCCTGCCTCGACCCCCGCCCCCCCCCCCCGCTCGGCTCAGCTTTACTGGAGGGGCCCCTCAAGTCTTTCCCGAGCTGCTTGGCCCCTCCCACACAGTGTCCAGTCTCCAGTCTCCGGGCATCTGTCTGCACAGCAGGGGCCTGGGGCATCAGCATTTTCAGGTCCCCCTGCTTCTGTGTTTGATGATGCCATTGACGGGTCACTTTGCTGGGAAGAGCGGAGGGCAGTGGGATTTAAGTGCATTGTGTGCGTGTGGTGAGGCTTTGCGGCTTTGTCTGAGTTCCGTGGCAGCCACTGCACAAGGACGTCAGCACAGACTCCCCAGTCCTGCCCGCCCCCCTCCCCACCATCCCCCGCCGCCCCCATCTCTGTTTCGTGAACTGCTGCAGGAATGGGAGCAGCCCCATCACGCCTTCGAGCCCGGCCATCTTCTAGGAAGTGTGTCTGGAAGCACAGATGCGAGCTGTTGCCAAACGGGGGGCTGTCCAGATGTTGCCCTCGGAGGTGGAGCGTTTAGGTCGAAGGGGCGTCCCTCCTCACTGTGCCTCAGCCCGCCCTCAGCTCCAGATGGAACACTGAAGATCACTCTTGACCCTGGACCCAGCGCTTTGGACTTTCACACCCCCTGGGAAACGTGCTGGCATCTGCCAGGCTGGTTTCACAACCGGAGAAGCTGAGGCTGGAAGGTTTTCTTTGTCTTGTTTTCCTCCTGAGCGGTCCAGGTGCAGACGGGAGAGGGTCTCATGCATCCCACCCCTCCATCAGCTCCTGAGGAGGGGTCACACCACAGCACAAAGCACGTTAGGCCACATCTTCCTCCAGCACAGCCTCTCAGGGTCCAACTGTGGAACGTTGCTGTTCTCACAGGAAACTGAACGTGGGCCCTGCCCGCCCAGCTGCGGGGGCGGGGTCCTCGGTGCGCCCCAGGGTCTGTGCCTCGACCCCCACCTCTGGGTGCAGCCTTCCTCCAACTGGGGGTGTGCTGGGAGTTTTAGAAAGCCCTTTTATTGCTTCACCTGGTTAGAGAGATTTGTGTCTACGCTTTGGAATTTGGCAAGCTTTAGGAGAACGCAAGTCTGATTTGATTGCTAATTAAAGTAATTAAAATAATCAGATCTCTGTCCCAGTCAGCAGCTTGAGGAAATTGAGAAAAGCTCTTCTCGGAGTGACTCATGGTCACGTGGAAAGGGTTCTCTAAAACTTAATAGTCTCCCTGTCACATAACCTAAAAGGTGCCAGAAACAGACAGCTCTTGGCGGGGCCTGGGGTCTCCATCAGAGGCATGGCCCGCGGCCAGGCCAGCCGGAGGGGCGGGGGGAGGGGCAGAGCTGCAGGACAGGCTGCCTCGAGAGTGCTGGCGTTTTTAGGAGCCTGAGCCTGTCTTCCTTTGGCTTCCTCATCATCGTGGAGTGTGAGGCGCTGAGAGAATCCTTGTGGGAATCCACGGGTTCTGAGTTGGGGTTCACGCCCCGCACCTGGCCGTGTGTGTTTCTCAGCCAGGAAAAAGAGTGAGGTGGTGCTGAGCGCGGCCCGGGCAGCCGGCCCAAGGGGCAGGGAAGGGGCACATGTAGCCGGCACAGGGCAGCCTTCGTGAAGGGCCGGCCCCTCAGTGCTGGGAGCCGCAGGGAGGGGGCGGTGCGTGTGGCGCCCCTCCTGGCCTCTCCTGCCCCCAGGGCTTTGAGGAGCACCCCTTGGCACCTGCTTGTATGGAGTTTCAAGATATAAAAGCCTTTCAGTCATTTTCCAGCCGTAGGGCACGGGGGTCAGAGACACCCTTGCCCCCAGTATTTCCTGGCACCTCAGGCAACGTCAAGGAAAAATTCTTCCCACTCTTTCCTGGTTCTCATCCAGTTCCACACACAGTGACATGAATTAAGGGGCGTCCCCAAGGGCGGGGCAGAAGTGTCTGGAGAGGGACGAGGAGCAGCTGCGGCAGAGGCAGGAGGAAACCTGGGCGCTGAGCCTGCGTTGAAAGGTGACTTGACTCTTTCAACCCCCCGAGATCATGGAGACACATGTTGGTCCCTGCTCGTTCCTGGCCCGCAGCTCCCTTGCAAGTCCCCAGGTGGAAAGAGCACGAGGGCCACCTTCTGCGCTGATGGGGCACCTCTAGGCAGCCCCGAAGGCTTCCGGAGGAGGCCGGTCCCCAGGGAGACCCAGCCGTGCAGCCTGGAGTCTCAGCCCCACCCCCATCCTCCAGGACAGGGCAGGGTTGGGGGCTCGAAACAGAGTTCTTTATGGATCATGCTCACAAGAAGAAGCCTCTATAAAATCTCATACTTATGGGGTGGAGAGAGTGTCCATCTCGGGAAACGCGTCCACTCTGGCTCTGCGGGGACAAAGACTCCAGCACTCGGGACCCTCCCGGACCTTGACTTGTAATTGGTAACTGTTTCCTTGAATTCTGTGTGCTGCCCTAGCAACCTAAGTGAACCGGAAGAGGGGGTCTTGGGACTCCCCACTTTGTTGCCAAATTGGGCAGAAGCTGTAGATCACCCTGGGACCTACGACATAGAGCTGGCGCCCGAGGAGGAGGCCGTCTTGTGGGATCTGTCTCTGAGAAGACAGTGGCAGGCTGTAGGGTGCCCAGCGGGTGTCAGAATTGCTTGTTCTAGGACAAAACTTCCACATGTTTGGGGACCAGAAGGGTCAGAAGTGAAGTGTCCTCTGTGAAAGTTGAGGAGGCACAGAAGACAGACTCACGTAGGCGGGAAGAACTGGGGTTTCTCCTCCTTTGGACACTGGGTTGTGCTTCTAATTCACCTGTCTGAAGGGCCAGAGGGCTCGGAACTCCTTCTGCGTGGCTCTCACCGGCTTGTCTTTCCAGGTGTGCGTAAAGAGTGGCAAACGGTAAAACCTGTCGAGACAAATCCAAAGCACCCCTTCTGCGCCCAGTTACGAGAAAGCCTGTCCTTATCTGATGGGCTCCCTGAAGTTTGCCCTGGGCCCCAGGGAGCCCAGCCGTCTGCTCCCTGTTACGATCCCCGCAAGTATGAGCTCAGAAATTAGAGTTTGATCACACACTCTTTATTATTTGGCCAAGTTTTTACCTGCGCAGGGGCCACCTTTCCCTCGAAAGGAAAAAGGCGCACCGCTGTAAGGGTACACGGGTTTTTATAAGCAGAGCAAGCAAGCAAGATACAAGGGCGAGAAGTGGCAGTTAGCGATAGGCAGCTTCTTTCTTTCTCCCTTTGCTAATTAGGTTCAAGGCTGTTACTGGGCCCCCTACTCTGTCTTTCTCTGGTCAGGATGTTTATCCGAGGCAAGGCTCAACCGTCGCCCCATGCCTCCTCCTCATTCTTGTCGACTCTGGCCCAGCTGCATGGGGGCTGCACCCTGATATGTTTTTCTTGGTACCAGTTTCTCCCTTATCCTCAGCTCTGACCCTGCCCCTATCGGCTGTTTATCTGAGTCAAGGCTCAGCCGCTGTCCTATCCTGCTACCAAGGGGGGCTCTAATTCTTCCCTTCATCTTGGGGCACTGTCTGCTCTAGTTTCTTGTTTCGGCCCAGGCTTGACCTAGTGTTAAAGCCTGGCCCCTTCACTCCCCTTGCCCAGCAGGTCGTCAGGGAAGCCCGGTGGCCCTCTGTCCACTACCGCTCCCCAGCCCTGGGCGGGGCGTGAGTTGGGCTTGGTGGCCTCAACTCTCCAACCCTAAGCTGCCCTCACTTTGACTTTTAAGAAAATGTTTTGTATACTTCTGTGAGATGGTCACAGGAGGAGATACAGAAGCTGCTCAGGGGAGCAAAGTTTATTACATTCCTGAGTCTTAGGGTCGCATGCGGGCAGCCTCAGGGTGGCCAGGAGGCGCGGGACAGGAATGAGGGCGTTGCCTTTGTCGGGGTTTCCCCGGGAAAGGCTAGGCTGGGCGGGGGAACAGCCAGGATGGGCCAGTTCCCAGGTGTCTGGCACCAGACCCGGCAGTGACTGTTCCCTGCTGGGTTTGGGGCCATTGGGGCCAGACGGAGCAGGTCTGGCCCTGGACCCGCGGGCTGAGAAATCACGTGCATGCTCCCCAGCCCTTTACTGTCTCTGAGAATTGGCTAGCCCGGGACGGGCAGTCTCTCCTCGGCCAGTAAGGCTTTTTAGGATATAAAAACCTAATACAATACCCACAAAATAAAACATAAGCAAATACAAATATTAAATACAAACTCTGCATTCGTGTAGTGGACTATAGCACAGGAGGGACACGGGTGAGCTTCAACTCCGCACGTGTAAGCCGGAGGGACACCAGGCGCTGAAGGCTCCCGCGGGGCTCCCCGCCCAGGGAGGGCCCTCCCCGGGCAGTTCTGAGCCCCGCGTTTGCAGCTGGACGCTGGCGCTGCGCCGTCACTCCGGAGCGTGCGGTCTCCGAAAGGTGAAGTCAAGTGACATTAAGCGTTTGGTTCCTTGGTGGTACTGGCCGCTTCACGAGCTACTGTGTTGGACGGAGGGGACACAGCCCAGGTCTGTCCTTGCCAGGCAGCGCCCGCAGGGTGATTTCCCCGTTTTCGGATTTACACTCATGGTTTGAAGGACACTGCCCGCTGTTTTTGGCGGCTCTCTGGATTTGGGTTTGTCCGGGTGCTTCCTCACGACCAGCTGTGCGTCATTGTTGGCAGCAATAACGCGTGATGGATGCCGCAGTTCTCTCGCAGGTGTTGCCGTTTGGAACCCGCCCCGCTAATCACCAACTCCAAGCCCAGCGCCGCCTGGTCCAGGTGTCGCCGGTCGTTTCCCTCGCTCCCGCCTCCACCAAGATGGCCGCCGCACGAGGCCTCGCCCCGGCGGGGGTGTGGCCGGGCAGCCTCTAGCCAATGGGAGAGCCGCGCATGCCGCCAGCCAATGGGAAGCCAGCGCGGGCAGGAGGCACGGAGCTGCTTCAGGGTGCCGCGCTTTCGGCATGTCGGACTCCAGCCCCTTGGACTCCTTCTCAAGCCCCGGGCCCGGGGGCCGCAGGAGGACGTGGGCCGAGCTGCTGGGTACGCGCGCGCGGGGGCCGTGGGCGGGCGGGGGCCGGGCCCGAGGCCCCTTCCCGCCCGGGCCTCCGCCGGCCTGACCTGGGGAGGCCGGGGTCCTCCCCCACTCAGGCTGCCTTGAATCCACTCGCGCCGCGACCCGCCACCCTCCATTCTCCTCCCTCCTAGTGACCCTACACGCCGAACTCCGGCCCCTCCCCGGGTCGCCGTGTGTCTGGCGTAGGGTTGGGAAAGGCGGCCCTGGGAAGGGGGTGCGGCCCCTGAGCGCCGCGGGCTGCGGCGTGTGTCCTGGGCTCCGGCCCGGCCTCCGGCCCTCGGTGGGTGTCGGCCGCTCGGTCTCGGTGGGCGCGGGGCGTCGCCAGGGCCCGCCGCGGGGTCCCTGACGGGCGCTCCGTTGTCCGACCCGGGCCCCAGCGGGCAGGGCCAGGAGGCAGAAGCCCGGCGCGGAGCAGGGAGAGCACCTCCGCGCGGCCGCCGTGCGGCTCCTGAGACGCCACCTGAACCTGGGCCCCCTTCTGCTGGAGGTGAGGGGCCTGGCTGGCGGCGGCCCCGGGTCTGGGTGGGGGGAACGGGCGGCTGTCCTGCTCGAGGTGCGTTCCGGGGCCGTAGGAGGCCGCCGCCGCGCGCTGCCCGCTCTCTGCCGCTTCCAGGGGGGAGGCCCGCCGCCTGCGAAGCTGCGTCCCGGCGCCTGGCCGGACCTGCGGACGGACGGCGGTGACCTCGGCGCGCTCGTCGGTGAGTCCCGGCGCCCTGCCTCCGCCCCTGCCGTCCCGAGCCCCGGCGGAGCCGCCCCAACGGGCCCGGGAGCGGGCGGGACTTGCTGGGGCGCCTCTGCGGCTTCCCCTTGAAAACAGCGCCCGAGCCGTGGGGGCCGGCGTCCCCCGGGGCGCGGACGGCGGGATCCTTTTTTTTTTTAAATTCCCTTCGGAAGTCAGGTAACCTAGACCGCGGCCCTGGCGGGCACCCCGCGCATCGCCGCCGCCCCGCGCGCGGCACGGCTGTGCGAACGCAGACCCAGTGTCCCCTCGGACATCGCGCCGTGGGCTGGAGCGGGCCTGTCTTTGACGCTGAAATGATTAGAAAAACAGGAATGCACTAAAAGAGGCTTCTCTAGTTCTCCACTCACTGTGCTCCTTGAAAAAGTTGGTAAAATTTAAGAGGAAATTTTATTGTTACAGAAAGAGACGTCAGTTTGTTCCATGTATTTACGTGTTGATTGGTTGACTCTTGGGTGTGCCCTGGCTGGGAACGCACCGGCCTGGACGGCGCTCTCACCAACTGAGCCGCCGGCCAGGGTGCGGGACCGGCTAGTCAGAAGGCGTCCCCGAGCCCCCTCGTTTGCATCCCAGAGCTCGGGCACCCGAGCCGGCAGCTGGGGGGCCTCCGGCGCTCTGGTGTCTGAGCTGCTTCGGTGGCAAACTGCTCACTGGAACGCCGTGTGCTCCCTCGACAGGTCATCTTCTGTGCTGCTACGGCTTAAAAGAAGGCGTTTTAAACTACAGGTCTCCTGTTTAGTTTTTGTCGTGCGTCTCCCTGTTCTGTGTTGTCTCAGGCTCTGCTTTGCGGGACCAGGCCTCGCGGCTGGGGGTCCCAGTGGCGGTCCTGTCCAGCCAGACGGTGGCGTCCGGCTTCGTGCAGATCTGTGAGGCGCCCGCCGAGCCCTCGCGCGCGGTGCTGCTGGGCCCGGAGCAGAGGGTGAGGCCACACGATGCAAAAACTGCTGCTCTGACTTCTCAGCTGTTGAGGAAAATGGAACGTTTGTTCACTACTGTTCTAGGTGTTTCCCCACTTTTTGAAAAGTCTTTCCTTTTCAGGAGAAACTGTCTTCCTTGTTAGAGATCGCTGGGCATTTATTGGAACACAGTATGTTCTCCCGCCTCTCCTTCTGCCGAGAACTCTGGAAAGCGCAGGTCAGCATGAGGTTGCAGCTCTGACTCTGGGGTTCTTCCAGGCAGAGTTCTGTAGTTTGGGGGGAGCCACCAGAACCCCTGCGTTCCTCTTAGAATCCCACCAAGCACCTCCACTGTCACAGAGTGGGAAGGTGTTGAGCAGGTGCCTGGGGGTGGGGAGGAAGTGCCGCCAACACCGTGTGGGTGAGTGTGCACAGGGTGCAGGCAGCAGCAGGCGGCTCTCCGGGTGGATGGGAGAGGCTCCCTGGGAAGTCTGGGGGGTGCACGAGTGCAGGAGGGGTGCGGTTTCCGGGAGGCGGGAGCCAGCGGAGCAGGGGGACCGCGAGGGGCGGCGTATGTCCGCGTGGGGGGAGGGTAGGCGGGAAGGGGGCCATGCGGAAGGGCTAGCTTTGTCCCGAACACTGTGAGGAGGCCATGAAGGATTCCAGAAAGAGACTGGCGTGTCCCTTTGTGTTTTGGAATCTTGCGTTGGTCATGGTGGAGAAAGGTCTAGGAATGGATGAAGCCAGAGACTGGGCAGGTCCTGTCGGAGCCTCCAGGACACATGGCGGGGTCAGGCAGGCGCGGGGACAGATGGCAGCGGCTGTGTCTGCAGGCTCAGTGAGTTTTAAAACTGTAGTGGATGGAGACACATTTCAGGCTGTGCTGTTCCTGTGCTTGGATTTTCAGTAGAGCTGGGTGGGTAGGAACGCAGGCTGCGCGTTCTGCAGGAAAACACGTCACGAAGGACTCACAACACAACGCTGTTTCGCTCCTCAGGATTCTTTGTTGCTGGAAGCTGTGTGGCGTCTTCACGTGCAGAACATTGTGAGCCTCCAAGAGCTGCTGGAAAGGTAGTGATATAGCATTTCCTTAACGTCACATGACTTACTGTTTGTGCCGTAGTCTTGTGTGAGTTACGCATCAAAGCCAAAAACCGCGTGGAGAAGCTCCCGCCGCTGCCCTTTGAACAACATGGATTTTTCCCCAGTCAGTGCATCCGGCCTTCTGTATCCAGGGGCTTTGCATCTGTGGATCCCACCACGAGGTTCAAACCAGGGTTTTCGATCTGCAGCTGCGACTCTGCGGGGGTGGAGGGCTGGCTGCATGCAACCTGTGCCGTTTCGCATGATGGACTTGAGTGTCGGTGGCGAGTCCGGGAGGTAGCCACCCGCACACACTGAGGGGTGACGACTGCGTGACGTTCTGGGGGAGTCCAAAGCTATTCAAGGGTCAACTGTGTTTTATTATTTAAAGGAAACTTCTTTTGTTATTGAAGTCTTATGTACACGCTTGGTAACGTTTTCTTTGTAAGCTATATCATGTGATAAAATGTTTTTAAAAACTAAAAGGGTATGGAGGTAAATTTGGTTTATAAAACGTGCATAAGGACTTTAAGGACTTTTATTCCCACCAAGACTCAGAAAGGGGATTTTACACAAAGGCGCAGCCCATGAGGATGGGAGGGGGTGGGAGAAGCTGTACCGGGGAAGAATTTAGAAGCAAGAGGTAGGTGACTGAGCAAATGTGAGGTGGGCTTGTGCTAAGCCGGCAGTGTGGGAGGCAGGGAGCCAACCCAGGTTATTCTCTCTCCCGGGAAGACTCCGCGATGGAGGGGCCCAGGTGCCTGAGGACGTGGGGCTGAAGGAGAGACTCGTGGACTGAAAGCAGGTGCCAGAGGCACTTGAACCGTAGAGGGTCCCTTCCTTGCTCTGGGCAGCGGGCAGCTGCCCCTCCCCCGCCAGCTGAGCAGGAGGCTGGCTCTGCGCGTTCTGTGGCTGGGAAGGCAGCCTCTCGTTTGGGGGATTGTCTAACAGACGTGAAAATGCTGTTTGAAACCAGTAGAGCTATTACATATGGGCCACATCTGGATTTTAGTTGGATCTTATTCCAAAATCACTGTGGTGAGTCAGAAGGGAAGACAATTATAAAAGCACTAGAGGGAATCCTGAGACAATATCTTCGTAATCTTGAAGTGGGAGAGGCCTGAATATTCCAGTTACAAATAAAGGACTTCAGGCAGTTCCCAGAGAAGATGGACAGATGGCCAAGCACACAAAGGGGCTCAGCACCCTCGGTCCTCGGGAGGTGCCCACCTGACAGGCAGGACCGGCAAGGGCTTGCTCCTTGGCTCTGCAGATCCCCCGCGTGCCCTGCGTGGCCGATGCCCTGGTGACAGGCTGTGGCTGCTGCCGTGCCCCTTGTCTGATTATGTCATAACCAAACTCCCCTCGCCCCAGCCATTCCCAAGCAGCTGTTCCCAGTAAGAAGCTGCTTGAACGGGGGTATTTTTCGCTATGGTGGCAGCACCGCTGACGGCTTTCCTGCCGTGTGAGCTCTGCCTGCCTGTGCGGGAAGCTCGGGCGGTTGCTTGCTCGTCCTAGGTGGCCTGAGCCTCTTAGTGAAATGAGAGGGAGAAGGTGGCCTGGCAGCTGTGGGGTGGTGGAGCCAGGTGTGCTGTGTGCTTGTCCCCAGCACCGAGGACACGCAGGTGGTGGTGGCGTGGCTTGTCAGGAACCTGCGCTGCCTGTGTGAGCAGATGGAGGAGTCCGGTCCGCACGCCGCCGTCGCCAGGGCCATGCTCTCCGGTAAGCGCATCGCAGAGGCGGGTCGTGGGCAGGGCTGCCGGCCGTCTGCTGTGAGGGCCTGCGAGGGGCGGGCCGGGCCGTGCGCCAGGGCCAGGGAACCTCCCAGGAAGTCATCCTGGGCCATGGCCACCGCGCTCTGTTCGCATTCTGCTTGGGTTGTGTGAGAACGTGGGTGAGTCAGCCTGTTGCCCGTTGTGTGAGGGGGCCCGTAGCTGGTGTGTTAGGTTAGAAGATGTAAGTTGTCACCTGTTGGATGAGGAGGCACACGCCCCCATGGGGTGGGGGGGCAGGAAGTGAACGCCGGGGCGGGGCTGAGCGAGCTGTGTTTCTCCCCCACAGAGGACGCGGTGCAGGAGACAGCAGGTGGAAGCCCCTGTTAGTTACAAGGTGGCTGGGGACAGAGTGTGTAAGTATTTCGCTTTTGTGGTTTTCAGATTTTGTGCAGATGTTTGTTTTGAGGGGATTTCAGAAAGACTCGGGTCCGAGAAGAAATGCGGAGGCTGAGCGGACGCCCCAGGTAGGAGGGCCGGCAAAGGGCAGCAGCACAGAGTTGCCGTGGTGGCCCCCCCCCACCCGCCACGGTGTCCTTCCTTGGCCGTCCCTGGGCCAGTGGCTGGCCTTGCTGGGATCATGGATGCCCCCGTAGCGTTCCTCCCGCATCCAGCAGGTGTGGGGGGAGTGGCAGGCCAGGATCTCCCCCCACGCCCCCCGGGCTGGTGCTTTCAGACAAAGGAGGGCGCTCTTTACTGGGCACAGCCGAGACCCCTCAGCAAGACTCTTCCTTGCGGACAGCCTCCGGGCATCCGGACACGTGGGAGGCCGGGGCGGGCGGGACGTCGACACTCACTTCCAGAAAGTCTGCTTTCACTCTGTGTGGTCTCCTTGTGGGCGTGATACACAGACCCAAGGGAACACTCACAGGGCGCCTCCCTGAGAAGCCACTGTGTGTGCGGCTCGGCCGCAGCGAGCTCTCCGTGGGCTGCCGGTGAGCCCGAGCGAGGGTGGCCTGTCTGCTTGCAGGTGGCCGTGGCCGTGCTGCGGAGGATGCTGCTGCGTGAGTGCCCCTCCCCGGGCCCCGACTGGGCGGCTCCCCGCTCTCCGTCCGTCTCGGTGTTGTGCCCCTTGGCAGGTTCCCCCGTGCAGTCTTAGTATCAGAACATGGGTTGTGATTTGGCATAAACTTACCCCCCACTTTTTCTCCTGGCTCAGTTATTCCAGAGCTGTGAGTGGTTGGTTGGTTAATGGTGAACTTGGGAACATTTCAATTCCTGCACACTTTACGGGCTTTAAAAGCGTCAGCGAGAGACACATTGAAGCCTGAAGGCCTTGTGCCGTCGGGGCTGGGGCAGCCCAGGGAGTCTGTGCCTTGGACGGGAGGGACCCTCCCCAAGGGGCCTGCCTTCAGCAGAAGTACGATCTCAGGGGGGTTTCTGACGGGCTGGGCCGGGGTGCTGACGCCTGTCCTCTGCCCCCACGGCCGGTGTCAGTGGCACTTGAAGCCTTGGCTGCCGGCGTGCAGGAGGGGTCCTTGGCGCACAAGGCCGCACAGTGCTGGTAAGTCTGGGGTCCCCGGGGTGGTTCCTGCGTCGTTGGTGGTCCTAGGTATTTTAGATACCAAAGTGCTGACAGGTGACTCCTGACACTTGCTCTGCTGTTGTGTCAGCCTCAGGAGAGGTGGCTGCAGGGGAGCCCTGGAGCACCTGGTCTGCCTGTGCCTGCCCCCCGCCCCGCCCCAAACCTCGGGCCTCTCATTCATCCAGGCCCAGACTCCTGCCAGCCACAGGGTGCCCCTCCTCCTGCCCCGCCCCGCCCCACCCCGCCCTCTTGGCCCTCGCGGGCTTTCTGGAGTGCGTAGCCAGTTGCCCCCACCCTCCCAGGGCCCCTGCTGAGAGCCTGGGTGGCCCCAGCTTGGCCACGCTGTCTGTCCCTCTCTGTGTGGCCCTGGAGCTGTGTGTGGACACACGGGATTGGACACTGGGCCTCGGACCTGGGGATCTCCTCGCGTTTCTCTACTCTTTATTTCGCTCTGGTTGTCCACCAGTACTTTATAGCCCTCAACTGTGCTGTATAACTCAGTGCTTACTTTCTTTATCTTTTATCCTCATCTGAGGACATTGTTCTCATTGCTTTTAGAGAGACAGGAAGGGAGTGGGGGAGAGAGAAACATTAACATGAGAGAGAAGCATTGATCAGTTGCTGCCTTGTGAGCACCCAGACCAGGGACAGCTGACCAGGGACAGAACCCGCAACCTGGGAGGTGTCCTGAGCCGGTCCGGACCGGCCAGGGCTAGTTGGGAACTCTGTTGAAGCAGTGAGAACACTGCTTTGTTCCCTGCGCTCTGTGCATTTTTGCAATGCCTGGATAGCTCAGACTCGTGTCCTGAGCGTCAGATAATGGTCATCAGTCTGTTCTTTAAAATTTTAAAATCAGTTTCTAATACTTACAATAAGAGTGGAAGCCTCCTTGACAGTCTGGGTGGCACGCGGGGACCCGTCCCCCAGGAAGGGGCGGGCCCCACGGGGCCCTGTGTCCTCCCTCTGCCCGCCCTCTGCATGACGCGTCCTCACCGTGTGTGTGGACTGTGGCGGTGCCCGCAATGCTGGGGCCCGTGGCTGCCTCCCGCGGGGACGTGGCAGGGCTGACCCTGGCGTGCACCCCGCCTCAGCCCCAGGCACCTTCCTCCTGAGCTGTCAGTGCTGCCCTGCTCCCCTGAGGGACGGTTGTCCTTCCTTCCTGCTCCTGCCACGGGACATCGCTGGCTTTCGGAACAGTTGCTGGGTGTGAGCACCTGCGTGTGCCGGGCGCTCTGTATGAGTTTGGTGTGACCCCCGCCATCCTGACTCCATCTCACAGAAGGAGATGCTGAGGCTTCGTGGCGTCGGCAGCGTGCAGGGGCCTGGCCCCCCCTCGGGGCTGGGCCTCCAGCCTGCCGTGGTCCTGCAGGCCCAGCCCTTGCTGGCCTCTGGGCTTGTCTGTTGCCTGGCTCTTGCTGAAGCCGCACCCCCCAGGATTCTGTTTCAAGCCTGTGGCACACTCGTCTGGCAGAGCGGGTTTCAGGGTGACAGAAGGGAGGGTGGCCTGTGAGCCCCTGAACTGGCAGCTGGGGCCTGACTGTCCAGGGCTGCTTTGCTGGACAGAAACGCCTTTACCGAGCTGCTCATTTGTGTGGACATTTGGAACCTGGCGTGCATTTCCTTTCTGCTCCGTTTGCAGGTTCAGTGGGTTCAGCGGACACACGTTTCGCAGCATAATTTCGACAGGTTCTCCCAGGAGGTTTTCCAGGCACACGCTGACGCAGGTACTCACACACCAGCCGGTGCTGAAAGGTGGGTCCAGGGCCCGTGTGCATGGGGGTAGGGGGGCCTTGTTGATGCGCTCGGGCACTCTGAGGTCACGGAGGACACTCCCTCGCTACCCGGCCTTTCATTTGAAAGGCGCATTCTTACAGAGGGAATTTAGAATGAAAGAGGTGTGGAAAGAAAAACTCATCCTTCTTGTCACCAAGGTAGAAATATCTGTAGCACAAAATCTGTTTTTTTCTAAATAGGTTTTTAAGAACATACTTACACTTTTTAAATCACTAGGTTCTGTTTCAAGGTGTCATGTATTTTAAGAAAACCACGTGACTACTTGAGAAAATGCTTAACGGTTCAGTGCTCTTGTCACCCTTGACTAATGCACCTGCTTTGGCTGGTGTCACCCCTTGGGACAGACTGAAGGGCGCACCTTGCCCATGGAGCCCTCGCTGTGCTGAGGTTTACCCCAGGAGGGTCCCCAAGGGGGGCCCAGGCTGCTGTCTTCCCGCACCCTCCCCCCACCCCCTGCACCTGCTCCAGCCCGCCACCCTCTCTGTAGCATCCTCACAAGTCACTTACTGGCAGCTACTGTTTAAAAGTAGCCAAGCTTAAGTGCAATTGATGGGTTAGAGAACATTTATAGCACATATAGAGGATCACCAGCCAGTAACTGGACCGAAGAGCTATTCCATAATAGGAGTGGTTAACAAACAAGGAAATGGTGAACTTCACTAATTGAAAAAATGCAAGTGAGAACAAGGAAATGTTTTGACATTGCAGCTTTAAGACACAGCTTTTTGATGGTTGCTAGCTGACATTTTTGTCTGTTCTTCCTCCTGGTGAAGTCTCCGATGCTGTTCACATGCAGAGGGGGTGGAGCTTCGCAAGGACCCACCCTCTGCTCACTGGCCTGTATCGCAGGGTGAGTCGCGGGGTGGCAGAGGGCCCCTCGAAGCTCTTCGGCAGAGCTCTGTGGTTTCAGTCCTCGAAGAGCCAGGCCTGCATTCTGCACACAGCCTTCGGCCAGTGCTGACCGCTGCAGAGCGGGGAGGAGCAGGCGGGTTGCCCCCAGTCTGTGCTGTGTCCCTGGGAGGTGGGGCGGCCCCCGCTGTCCATTGGCGGTGGCCCGATGGCCCGCGCGCTGTGTTTCAGCTCTTCGTGCTCCTGAGTCCCGAGGAGCTGGTGGGCCACTTGCAGGAAGTCCTGGAGGCGCACGAGGTGAACTGGCAGCATGTGCTGTCCTGCGTGTCCACAGTGGTGGTCTGCCTCCCGGGAGCACGACAGCTGGTGACCGGTGCGCTTCAGCGGGTGTCCTGGGGGAGGGGGTGTGCGCATGATAGGCATATCATTGTCAGCTGAGCTTGCGGTGAGCCTGTGTGCGAGTCATGGCCGTCTCAGCCGGGGCAGAAGCCCTCCCCTGCCCGAGAGTGCCCTGCGCCCTCGGGCTCTGCCTGCTGCCGCTGCACCTCAGCCTCACGCGGCGGCTGCTTGGCTTCCTCTGCAGTCCCCGGTCCCCTGAAATCGGTGTTGGGCGTGTGAGTCATAAGGGGGGTGCTAGCTCCCCAGCAGAACCTGTGCGTTTTCTTTCTCCCGGTCGCTCCTGCCTAGACTGGGTGGCCCGTTTGCTGACCCGTGCGTTCGAGCGCTTTGACCTGGACAGCATGGTGGTCGTGTCCCTGGTTGTGCGCCAGGCCGCGCTGGAGGGCCCCTCCGTGTTCCCGCCCTACGCAGACTGGTTCCAGGTGCGTGGCCTCTGCTGGTCCGTGGGCGCCCCTGTGGGTGGTCGGCATGTCCCCCTGAGGGAACGTGTTCCGGGGTCGCCTCTGCAGCCCTGCGTGCAGGGTCGATGGCTGTGCCCTCAGGACGCCGAGGGCCTTGCCTGTGCTGGCCTGTCACCGCCTGCCAAGAGCCCTGCCCGGGGGCTTTGGTCACCGCTGGGTGTCCCCAGGCTTTTGTTTGTTTGTGTCCTTTTACTTTTTCAAATCAACTTTATTGACCTATAACTTATAAAAAATAAAATGTATTAATTTCAGTGAAGGGTGGGATGTTTTGACAAACGTTTATGCGCATGTTCAGCGCTTGAAGGTCTGTCTTAGTCTTCGGTTTCGAAGAACGTCAGTGTGCACAGAGCAGTGCGGTGGTGCATTCGAGCCTTGGGGGTTGGGAATGGGGTTCTTGGAAGGAGAATGCATGGCTGTGGTTTTCCTGATGACGAGGGAAACTGCCCCTCCCGAAGCGGCCCTGCCTGCTGCTCCCAGCCCTGTCGGTGGGTGCGTGGCGTGGTACGGGAACGCCCTCGCGCCTGCCCTGGGGGTCATTTTCCTCCTTTCCAGCCTTCAATGCGTCGTCGAGGCTCCCTCTCCGTTGGGTGGGTGCTGCCGAGACACGAGAGCCCCCGTGTGATGGCACCCCTGTATCTGATGGCGTTGGCGCCTGTGCTCCCTGGCTGAGTGCTCTCCTGGGCTCCAGCAGCCACTCGGCGTGCAGGGGGCTGTGACTGGGCCTGGTGGCAGGGCCTGTGTGGCTCGGGGCGAGGTGTCGCGTTCTCTGCTCCTTCACAGTGAGCTCAGGGCCGGCGCATGTCAGTCTCCCCTCAGTCACCCCTGGTGCCCTCCAGTACTAGAAGGCCCTCTACTGTGCTGACCTGTGGGGGACCCGGGGGACCGCCAGTTCCCCTGCCCTGGCCGTGCCCGCGCAGGTGCATCTGGAAGTCATGCGCGTCCCTGAGGAAGTGGCTTCTCTGTGGGAGGGCCGGACCCTGGGGAGAGGCCTCGTCACGCCGTCGGTGAGCTGTGCCTTTGACACTCGCCAGACACTGGGCCTGCCATGCCAGCCGCTTCTGTAGCCAGGGCTCCCCGTGACATTCCAAAATGTCCCCAACTAAACGGTTTTGTGGTTTCTCTTTCTAGTAGCAGTTTCTGTCTTCGAGGCGCTGCGTTGACAGGTCCCTGTGTGGACTGCGGGGCACCCGCTGCCCCGCCTCACACCCGTCTCTCTCCAGGCCTCCTTCGGGAGCATGAGGGGTCCCCACTGCAGCAGCAAGAAGGCGCTGGTCTTCCTCTTCAAGTTTCTGTCCGACCTCGTGCCCTTCGAGGCCCCCCGGTACCTGCAGGTGAGAAGCGGGCTGCCGCTGCCTGTGCTCACGTCCTCCTCCGTCCGAGGACGGTGTCCCTGAGCCGGTGCCCACGGAATGATGTGAACCCCGCAGCCAGGTTGCCGGTGTGCCCTTGGGGGAAGGGCTGGTGATGGCAGAAGACCAGAGGCCAGTCCCTTGTCCATCCCTGGGCAGTGGCCGTGCAGGAAGGTGTCCCAGCCCTTCGGTGAAGCAGCTCCGAGAGCTGATGCAGGAGGGGGATGTGAGTGTCATACAATCCCGTTTTTGGTTTTCAAGAATGACCAATTTTTATATTGAGAAGAATCCGGAAGGGTGTACCCCTAACTGCCAGAGGCCACTACTTCTGGGTGTAGGAAACACTATTTTTTACATGTCTGTATTACTCTTGTAATTAAAATGTAATTATTTCTGTGATCCTTATTTAATTAGGTACCTGCCCAGCATTTGTTTTGGGGGATAGGGCACCTGGAAACTGATGCTCACGTTTTTTTAATTAAGAAATTTGAATTATATTCTAAAGAGCCCAGGTGAGGTAGTAGTTAGAGGAATAGAGCGAGCTGTGTGCCCATGACAGGGTGAAGCCCAGAGCGCTGCTCACGCCTCTGGTGCCTCCCTGCCCCCCTTGCCCGAAGGCGTGCCCCCCGGTCTCCCTGGGCACCCGTAGGAAGCTCAGCTGGCAGACTTTGAGACGGGAGGATGCCTCACGGTCAGAGGCCTGCCTGCCAGTGAGGTGCCCTCCCTCCCAGGACACAGGTGGGCGTGGGGGCGCACGGGGTGCCGGGACCGAGGGGCCAGCGCTGCCACAGCGCCCTTGCCTGCCCGCTTCTGGAGGGGCACCCGCCAGTGCTCATGGCTCCTTCACCGGGGCTCCGTCCATCCCTCCTCCAACTTTGGCCTTGGGGTCTTTGGCTAATTCGCTGACGTTCCTCTCATCCGCATAAGTGTCTTCCCCCAAAGTCAGGAGCAGTTGACAGGCTGATGTCCTGCTGTGCCATCTACTGCAGGTGCACATCCTCCACCCGCCCCTGGTTCCCAGCAAGTACCGCTCCCTCCTCACAGACTACATCTCGCTGGCCAAGACGCGGCTGGCTGACCTGAAGGCAAGTCCCGGCTTCCCCGCCGCCCTTTGGTCTTCCCTGTGGTCGCCTGTGCCTGTCTGGTCCTCACGCTTTTGCTCCCATCTCCCTGCAGGTTTCTGTGGAAAACATGGGGCTCTATGAGGATTTGTCTTCAGCTGGGGACATCATAGAGGTAACCACCTCAGTGCGGCTCCTCGGGCATGTCCCGTGCTCACCAAGCGCAGTCTTGCTTCCTGTGACTCCCGAGTTGAGTGTTTGAGCCTTGTCTGTCGGGGACCCGGTGTGTCTGGTGCAGTTGGATTGTCACAGCTGCCCCAGGTGCTTGTCTTGTGACATCCACACTGTTCAAGCAGGAGCAGGCAGCCCCCACGTCTGGGAAGGTTGTCCTTCAGGACCCCTCTGTCCACACGGGTCTGAGTGGAAGAGGCGGTCTTTAAAACCATGGGGAGGTGTCATGTGTTTTAGGAATTATGAGAAGAAGGGTTAACTGTGTTTACGTGAACCAGATGTCTGAGGGCCATATGGTGCGTGTATTTTTTAAAGATTCTGTTTTTAGAGAGGGGAAGGGAGGGGGGGAGAGGGAGAGAAACATCAACATGTGGTGGGTGGCCTCTCTCACGCCTCACACTGGAGACCTGGCCCGCAACCCAGGCCTGTGCCCCGAGTGGGAATTGAACCAGCGACCCTTTGGTTCACAGGCCAGCACTCAATCCACTGAGCCTCACCAGCCAGGGCAGTATGCGTATTTTTTAAAGACCTTTTTACTTAAAAGTGAGCTGCTGGAGAGCTGTTATAGGTGCTGCTAAAGGGAATGTTTTAAAATGTCATTGCATTTTTCTGTTTTAAGATTTATTGCTATGTGTTTTTTTTAAATATCCAAAGTTGAGCCCCTCTTCTTTCTCACCTGAAAAATACTTGTCTGGAGCCTTGTAAGGCCCTGGAGGGGCAGCAGAGAGGAGAGGCAGGGAGGGTGCCCAGAGATGGGGGTGGGTGGTGGTCTCCCAGAGGGGCCGCGCTGTCACGGGGCTGCTCAGCCTGGCTTGCTGAGGGCAGAGAGCCGTCGATACCTCCCTGTGGTCCTGCATACTCCTGTGTGCCGCACGTCGACCTCGGGGCCTTTCCCCTCAAAATGACGAGTCTTTTCTGAAATCTTCTGGTTTTTTTCCTGTCCTCCTCGAATGGAGTCAGCCCCAGAGCCAGGCGGCCCAGGACGTGCAGAAAGCCATCCAAGTATTTGAACACACAGGGAAAATTCCTGTTGCTGTCATGGAGGCCAGGTGGGGTCATGCTGCTGGGGTGGTCCCCTCCCCTGCTCTCAGAGCCACATGCAGCAGGGTGGTCACGGTCGTGGGGAGACCCCAGAGTCCGTGAGAATGTCCCAGGGGTGGTCCTGTGGGGGGCTGGTGCAGAGCCCTTGCCATGCTGTGTTTTCTTAAGCCCGCGGCATCCCCAGAACAGGCAACGGGTGGAGCGGAGCGGAGCCCGTGCTGTTCAGAGGGACAGTGGTTTTTATTAATGCATCATTGGTGACCAGTGTGAAGCCAGTACAGAGATTTGAATGGCGAAACTGTTGACTTTGGCGTGATCCCAAAATTTAAATTCTGGTTGCTACCACATCAGGGAGCTTTATTAAAGTATTGCTTCTAAGAAACATGGTCCCAGCTCCCGGGGTTTCTAGACCAGCTCCGAGGGGGTGCCCGTGTCGACCTGAAGTGACCCCTGCAGCCTTGGATTGACTCAAACCCGTGGCCATGCCAGGGGCAGGGCACAGGTGGTCACAGCGCAGACCGCCCTGTGCGTGAGCTGGGACTTGGCAACGTGATGTAACATCGTAGCCACGAACTGAGACCGTCTACCTGGAGCCACTCTTAGTGGACACTGGCGTTTTGTCATATTCGCTGAGATGCCTGGTTCTTCTGCTGCCTGAGCCTGTTCTTCTGTGTTGCAGCATATTCCGGAGGCCCTACTATGTGTCTCACTTCCTGTCAGCCCTGCTCACACCTCGAGTGGTCAGTACACTTCTTCATGAGCTGGGGACTGAGGTGGTGGGGAGCCAAGGACTTCCTGTGTGTGTCTCACTGGAGTCCTGTGTTTGCCCCACAGCTGCCGAGCACCCCTGACTCCCGAGTGGCCTTCATCGAGTCCCTGAGGAGGTGCGTGCTGTCTGTGTCAAGTACAGTTCTGGCAGTGCAGAGAATTCTGGTTATTTTGTAGAGATGTGTTTTTATCACGTGTATGTTTGTTTATAAAATTTTGGTTCAAAATTGGTTAAGGTTTTAAAAAGGAAATTTGATTGTATCACCACTCAGCGTGTAGGAGTTTGATCCGGGAATAAATAGTGCTATTGGTACAAAATCATTGTGAAAGGAGTAGTGCCAGGTTGTTTTTTTATTGATAGATTAATTTTTTTGGTATTTTTCAGTCTTTTTATTTCTAGTCTTAAATGTTTTGTCAAAGTTAAAAATATAGAAGTAGAAAAAAGACTCAGTTCTATAACAGTGCCCCCCCCTTCTCTGGAGGCAACTATTTTAAACTCTTAGCTGATTTTTTAATTTCTCTCCACAGCTCTGGAATCTTTTTTTTTATTTTTTTTTATCTTAACGATTTTACTTTTAGAGAAAAAGGTAGGAAGGCGGAGGACAAGAGGGGGAGAAACATCCATGTGTGGTTGCCTCTCGCATGCCCCCTGGTGGGGCCCTTGCCTGTAACCCAGGCCTGTGCCCTGACTAGGAATCGAACTGGCAACCCTTTGGTTCACAGGCCAGTGCTCAGTCCACTGAGCTGCACCAGCCGGGGCTCTCTCCATATCTTTAAATAGTGTTTTTGTCTTGCTGCCGGTCACTTTTTCTGTTTTAGGAATTATCAATTGATTTTCCACTGGAAGAAAGCCAGTTCTTCACCCTCATTCAACACGAGTAGTTTTCCTTCATGTTATAACTCCTTTTTTTTTTTTTTTTTTTGCTACAAGAAGAATAAGGGAGCGAGACGGAGAGAAACAACAATTCTGAGAGTGAAACATTGATTGGTTGCCTTTCATAGGCACCCTGACCAGGGACCAAACCTGTGACCTTTTGGTTTGTGTCCGGATGCTCAGCCAACTGAGCCACACTGGCCAGGGCTTTATTCTGCTTTTTAAAGAGACATAAACACTGCTCAGAGCTGACCATTAGGATTTGGGTGGCTTTTCTTTTGTTTTCCCTGTAGTTCATAATTGTCTTTGCTTTATCTTGGGTTTCCTTGGACATACCGCGATTCCCCTGCCGGTTGCCTGGATGCCCTCTCACCCCGAGTCAAGTGTCCCGTAGTCCGTCTGGAGACAGCTCTCGCAGAGCCGCCTCCGGGCACAGCCACCATCCTGCGACCCCGGGACGCCCCCTGGGGTCGCTTTGGCTTGTGCTGACTGCCCTCTGTGTCACAGGTCGTCGTCTTGGTCTGCTCCTTGGTTTGGTGGCACACAGCCTGTTGACACTTTTTTTTTTTTTAATTAAGAAAGGATAGATGGGAGGTAAAAAAAAAAAAAAGACACGTTATTGAACCCTCACATTCTACAGATAGAGTAGCTGGATATGGAAATCTAGGTTGAAGGTGGTTTTCCCTCAAATTTTGGGAAATATCGCTTTATTGACTTCCGGCTTCTATTGTTGCTGTTCAGATGTTGGAAACTGTGACTTCTGGTTCTTTGCCCTGTGTTTGTCTCTCTGGAGATCTGTAGTGTCTCTCTCTCTCTCTCTCTCTCTCTCTCTCTTTTTTTTTTTTTTTTGGCGGCGTTCTGCAATTTTATAGCAATATGTTCTGCTGTGGGTCTCATTTCATTTTTGGCTGGACACATAGTGGGCTTTTTAATCTGGAAATCTGTGTCCTTCAGTGCTAAGAAACTATCTATCTGAAAACCTTTTGTTATGAAAAATTTAAGACAAAAGTAGAAAGAACAGTATCCATCGCCCAGCTCTAGTATTTGCCAGCACATGGCTGGTCATTTCCCCTGTAGCCTCAGTTCATCCCCCGGCCCACGTCCCAGGATGCTGTGAGGTGACCCAGACATGGCTGTTCCCCGCTCAGCCTGTGCCCTGCAGGCGTCCTCCTTTCTGTGTTTTCTTCTCGGAGCTCCAGAGAGCTTGTCAGATAGACTCCCTGGATTCTCTTCTGATGTTTTTTCTTTTCTGATGTGTTTTACATACCTGGCGTTTCAGGTTTTTCTGTCTCCTTTCTTCAGGTTTAGCTGCTGGTTCTTCTCGCGAGGATTTCCCTTCTGCCACCAGGCGCTCTTTGCGCCTGGGGTCTGTGCTCCCACAGCTGCCGCGTCCGCTGCGCCTCTCCGGGTGCTGCTGGCAGGGGCGTGCGAGTGCTTCTTTGTTTACAGCTGTCTGCATTGGTTTCTATGTTTTGAGTTAAAGGGTCTCCAGCGCCTGGTCGGTAGGGGGTCCCCCTTGACGCCCACTCTCCAGGCTGTGCGCCCTGGAGCACAGCAGTGCCCTCCTGCTGCACGGCTCCTGTGGGGCCTCTGATCTTGCAGGCCTCCCCGCTGCCCACGCGGCCCCTGCCTGGGCCACCACTCTCGTTCCTCCTCTGAAGGCAACTCCGTGGCTCTTGTCCTTGGACTCGTCCCTGTGCCCTGATACTGTGCCGGCTGGGGGTCCAGGTTTTCTTTGCAGGTGCTCCATGTCTTTACCACAGGACTTACTCTATAATTCTTTGTATTTTTAATCACATTTGAGTGTTCTTGTTAGTGTCATTTATCAGAAGTAATGTAAGTTCACTTTAGAACTCAGAAATTACTGAAACTTGAATGAGAGAAGTTAGGGTCGCTTATAATCTCTCTGCCAGGAAGCCCCTGTTGGCAGATGTGCACGCATGACCTCGTGAACCGGCAAGGGCATTCCCACAAGCAGTGGCTTTTCTACAGCAGGGTCATGACGCACAGCGTCGTGCAGTCACACTCACTTGGTTCTGTGCTTTGGTTTTTGGTGGTTTTACGAACTGTCAGCTTGGGAATCAGCTTGTGTCGCAGTTGACTTGGTTTTCGTGTTTTGTTCTGATCCAGAGCAGATAAAATACCCCTGTCTCTGTACACCGCCTACTGCCAAGCCTGCGCTGCTGCTGACAAGGAGGAGCCGGCAGGTACGGGTCACGGGTCACGGGTCCCACGGGTCCTCGGTCTCGGGATGGGCCGCTGACACCACAGTCAGCACGGTCTGGCTAGGCTGTGCAGGACGTGACTCGGAGCCTGCCCAGCGCTGTGACCCGTGGTGGGCCAGGAGGGATGGGACCTGCTGCCGTCCGTGCACGCCCGGGGCCTGGAGGCCCTGGTGTCACCTGGAGGCGCGTGTTCCTACAGCGGGTGCGCCACACGAAACCCGCCCCCTGGTCCTGCACCCCCGGGGACAGGCGCACCCCCTGCCGGCCTGTCCTGGGCTCCTGCTTCCCGTGCAGGGGACTCGGACCTGTTATGTTTCCTCTGAAGCCTGTTGCGGGGGCTGGCCGGGAGCAGCGTCCTGACCATGGGGACAGTTTGTGGGTTGGGGCGGCAGGGGGGGCTTCTGGCTCTGGGGAACAGCGACACGGACCTCGGTCCCATCTCAAAGGCTGTGGAGGTGAGACCACTTGCTTGTGGCAGACCCAGTGGCATGTTCCTGGCTGCTGACCAGGCGGCTGCCAGTGGCGCTGCAGAGGCAGCTCCTGTTCAGCCTTCTGGCATCTGCGGGGCTGCACAGGGCTTCCGTCTGCCAGGCGCCCCTCCAGCAGCCGGGGTGATCTCTAACAGGGGGACCCAGAGCCCCTCAGCAGGCGGGGAATGCAGGTCCCGGCCTTCCCAGCTCTTGGCCCGGGGCCGAGGCGGCTGCAGTGCTGGAATGCCTGATGCGGCCGGGCCCCGCCCCCGGCCCCCAGCCCGCAGCCCTGCTTCTGGGCTTCGAGGACACCCTCCGCTGCAGCGCGGACGAGGCGGAGCTCCTCCACGGGGGCCTCGGGTCCTGACGCCTGCTGTCGTCGTGGGGAGACTCCTGCGGCTCACCGCACACGGGGGTCCTCGTCACTGACACCCGATTGAACTTGCTTTGTTTTGAGAACACTGATTGTTTTTTGTTTAGTTTTTCACATCCTGGGGTGAGTAGTGACAGACCGGCATCGCGCAGAAGTTTGAGAGCTCGGGGCGGACCGCCCCCTGTGCCTCCGTTCCTGGCCCGGCCTCGCTCGCAGGGCTTCTCTGCTCCCATCAGGCACCAGCTTTTCTCGCTCACAGCGGTGGGGCGGGTAGACCCTGCTTGTTCTTACACGTGATCTTAAATGTTTTGAGTGTTGATATGACAGTGTCCAGCCTCAGGATGGTTCCATCTCCTCCCTCGTGGACAGAGAAACCACAGAAATAAGTCCATAGTCAGCTGTGTGTGTCCTGTCTGGCCTATTGTTAACCCCCCCGCCCCCCATCTCTCAGATGCAGCCCTGGGAGTGAAGGTGGACCCCAGCCGTGTGGAAGGCTCCCTGGCACGGCTCACAGCTGCACTCAGAGACCTCAGAGCCGCCATGGCCGACCCCACCCAGCACGATGGTGAGGGCGGGCCCTGTGCAGGGCGCAGCGGCTGGTTGCTCCCTCCTCACAGTGGTGGCTGGTGCTCCTGGGGTTCAGGGTGTGGTGGTGAAGCCTGCCCACAGGGCGGGCAGGCGGCAGGGATGTGGCTGCCCTTCAATGGGGGGGGGGGCTGGTCTCAAGCTGCTGTATGCCCTTGGCAGGAGGTGACTGCTCTGCTGTTGGGCATCTCAGTAGGTCAGGTGACGGACGGGAAGCCAGGCAGTGCTACTGGGTGTGGGGTTTTCTCATGCTAACAATGCCTGGGTGGCTGTGACCCGGACGTGGGGCTTCTGCTACACCTGTCTGAGCTGCGAGTGTTTCTGTGGAGCGGAGCACAGGCTACTCAGAACCCGAGGGGTGCACAGCCATCGGGAAGTAAAGCGCCGAGGCCCAGCACGCTCAGACTTCAGTAACGGAAAATGCAAGATCCGAAGTCACAGGCCATGGTTTTGTAACAGATTTTACTTCCTGTGAAGTCATTTTATTCCAGCCAGGAACACATATGCCTGAGAGCTCGTGGAGGACATGCTAACAGAGCCACCTTCGTCCTCTGTGTGCTGGGTGCCAGCTTGCAGGGCCCTGGCTGCCATCGTGCTGGGGGCACGGTGGGGGGCGCAGCCGTTCAGAGCTGTGCTCCCGCAGAGCGTGGCATCTGGGGACCCTGGGCCCAGCGGGACCCCAGAGCTCTAGCAGGGTGTCTGAAAGGTCAGGCCTGCCGCTCCGCCGGTGCCTCTGCCATCAGCAGACATGCTGGCGGCTGGGCCTCGAGCCTCCAGCAGACTGCAGTGTTGGAGAGAGTCGGCATGGGATTCAGATGAAGAACTTAAATAAGCAGCGAGGCGTGTGATGGCGACAGACGCATCAGGCCTAACGTGTGCCGGGCTTGTGGGCGGGTGGTGACGGCCCTCTGCCCTGTCGTGCGCTCCCCGCAGCCTTGTCACAATGCCGCAGCCTGCAGCGAGGCCCTGGGGTGCGATCAGGCTGGCGTTGGGATGTCTCTGGGTCCCCATGGGCCCCTCTGGGCGGCACCTCCCTGCGCCCCTGCTCGCCTGACTGAGCTCCTCCGTGTGCAGTTCTCTCTGCTCAGGTTGCGGTGGTTTCAGAGCGTCTGCGCGTGGCCCTGGGCCTCAGCGAAGACGACGGCAGCTCCGAGGCGGTGGAGCTCCAGCTCGGTGTCCGCGCTCCCAGGCCGGAGCAGCGGGAACAGCAGGTGCGTGCAGGCACCCAAGAGCACAGCCGCCTCCCCTGCCGCTGGGTTGTGCGAAAGAGCTGGAAGCCCTTCTCTTCACGCTTGTTCCGCTGCATAAAGTGTGTACCTGGAGCCAAGACGGTCAGGGGACTCAGTCCCAGAGTCAACCAGTCCACCTGTGTGGGCGACGGACGTGCAGCAGAGGCTCTTGGTGACCCCGGAGCCTGACATACTCTCTGGCCCTGCTCTGTGCTGTAAAACTTCACGACGACAGATTGTGTGACGGCACGCGGCCTGTCATGCCCCTGGGATTTGGGAGTGGAGATTCTTACACCAGGCAGCTTCCGAGTTGCCTGTCCGAGTGCAGGCCTGTCGACTGTGCACACGACCCACGGCCTGGCTCACGCACATTCCCCTGGGATGCTAGCCCCTCATTGCCGTCCTTCCTCGCAGGTTGTGGATCTCCTGCTGACGACGTTTTGTCAGAGCCTAATGGCAGCCTCCAGCTTGGCCCCACCAGACAGGTAGTCTGGGCGGCCTGGTGCTCGTGGTGGGCCTCCCCTGGTGGGGGGCTGTGCTGGCTTCTGTCCAGTGGGGACATGGCAGGAGGCGAGCATCGCCACAGGAGGCTGCGCCATTTGGGGAACAGCCTAGTTCTCGCTGAGGAGGGTCCCTGGAGGCTGTGACTGACCAGGCCTGACCTTTGTCTCCGCAGGCAGGGCTCCTGGGCCGCCCGCTTTGTGATGGCCACGTGTGGACGCGCACTCCTCCCTGCAGTGCTCGCCAGGCTCCGCCAGCTTCTCTGTCACCAGGTAGGGCTGCTGCCCCTCCCAACCCCCCAGCGGGGAGCAGGCTCTGCGCCTTCCTCCTGAGAGCAGCTTCCATCCTGCCCTAGGGCCCGGGCCTGCGCGCTTCACACGTGCTGGGGCTGGCTGCCCTGGCCGTCCACCTCGGCGAGTCCCAGTCTGTGCTCCTGGAGGTTCCTGGGGGCCCTCCCGCCCCCGCCAGGGGCCTCTCCATCCCCGAGTTCTTCGACAGTCTCCTGACGTGCGCGTCCAAGGATGCCTTGCTCTTCTGCCTCAAGTGAGTTCCGGCTGGTCCCTCAGTCACTGGTGCCGTCTGCTGACAGAAGTGGCAGATGTGCCCCACAAGGTGGTCACCGGTTACCGTTGGGGGATCTCCTGTGTGGGTGTTCATGCGAGAGTGTTGGCTTTGTTCATAAAAACGGGATCTCACACCGCAGTGCACTCAGCTGCACACGAAGTGTTGGCGCTGGCCCACCGTGTCCTGTGTGTTGCTCAGCGTCCTCCAGACCGGTGAGGGGCTCCGTGTTGCCGTGGGGCCACGGCCGCTGGTCGGGCCCCTGGCCCCCTGTGATGGGCAGCCACTGCAGCTATTTCTCGAGGGCGAGTCCCTGCCTGTGGGCGGCCGCGCCCAGACGCAAACTCGCCCTGAGGGCTTTGAGACCCTCCTTCTGCAGGTCTGGCCCCGTCCCGCCTGTTCCAGGCCTCGGGGCAGAGCCCCCGGGGCCCTCTGTGCAGGCCCCCCCGCCAGGCGGCGGAGCATGCGGGGAGGGGGGCAGGTGCTGGGGGCACAGGTGGGCAGGGGTGAGAGTGGCTGCCTGGGGAGGGCGGGGCTGTCCTGTGTCCGGGTCTGAAGGGGGAGCTCTTGACTGGGGCCAGGGTCAAGGTTCATTGACAGGGCTGACAAGAGTCACAAGGAGTGTAGGGAGCGAGAGGGACAAACACAGGAAAGTGTACGTCAGGCCACTGCCCGCCGGCTATCCATTCTGGGAGGCGGGGGTCCCGCCCCCGCCCGCCTCAGGGGCTTTCGGCCGCATTAAACAGTCCCCGCTGGGAGCCAGTCCTGTGGGTACCCTGGCCCCCACTTTCTCGCCACCGTCCTGACTTCCTCTGGGCCCAGGGTCAGTCTGTTCTGGTCGGTCCCTTTCTCCTCTGGGCCTCTGCCTGCAGTGCGGGCAGAGTGCAAACCAGACGCCGTGATGTGGGGGCTGCGGCCCCAGTGCCCAGGAGCTGAGGCCAAGGACCGTCAGGCCGTCCGGTTTGGAAGGCACTGGGGTCGCTTTGTGAGACTCATCGTCAGTTCTCTCTGCCCCCTGGTTTTTGTGGTTCACATTTCTGTGTTCAATTTCTGGTTTTGACTTTCAGATTTTGTACTGCAGCAATTTCTTACTCTCTGTGCAAGTTTTCTTCGCAGCCACGTGACGCTTGGTACAGCCGCTTGTCCCCGGGCCTTATTAAAAAGGTTGGTCTGTCTCCTGTGCTCCCGAGCCTCTGGTCTCACGCAGGAGCCCTGGGCGCAGGCTCCCTGCTCACAGGTCGGCTGCTTGGGCTGGACGCCACCGCACTCCTGCTCCAAGTGACAGTGGGGGCGCAAGTGACAACTGCAGACGCCCCTGTTTTTAAGGGGGCAGACCGACGTTACCAGAACAAGGTGTCCTATCAATACCCATGGGCCGTGTCTCCGTTCAAAGGGTTTCAGGTTTCCCTGGAGTCCCCCCTTCTTGTGAGAGCTTGTTATCCTTAAGAGATGAGAAATTTGAGTCCCATCCGAACCCTGAAATGGCAGTCAGGCAAGGGGCCGCTGCTCCTTTGGCGGAGACTTAAGGAGCGTCCCTGCTGAGGTGTGAACCTGGTTCTCGGTCCAGGCTCCATATCAGGGTCCGCTGAGCAGCTTTCGACGCGCCGCCCCCTGGGCCTGCCAGCTGGGTTGGCGTTGGGGGCAGCCGGGCCCATCGCTGGTGTCAAGGAGTTTAGTCCCTGGGGCCAGGGGTCAAGCATGGGACGGGGAGCAGCAGGGGCGGCCCTGGCAGCGAGTCCCCCATCACACTGTCCAGTCCCGTTTCCTGTGCGGTCCAGCCTGCACTCGAAAGCGCAGGGAAGTGGCTGCCCCCAAGGTGCGAAGGGCACACATGAACACGTCCCTGACAGGCTTCACTCACCCAGGGCCGCTGCCTGGCAGCGACACCGGCGCTGGCCAGGGCTGGGAAGGCAGCACCTGTGCGGGCCAGGACAGGGCTGCTCGCTGTGCCTGCGCATGGGGCGCCCCGCGCGCCTCCCAGGGGGAAGGCAAGGCCACCGCAGGTGATGCGGGGCCCCTGCCCCCCTGCTATTCTCAGCTAGGGGACGTGTTTTCAGAACCTCTGTAAGCAGACACACGCTGTCTCTTTCCAGTTTCATTTTGTTGTGCTCAGGTTGTTCTCAGAAGCCCGAGACGCGCTCTCTGCGGAGGACACAGCCCGAGACCCTCTCTCTGAAGAGGACACAGCCAACCTTCCCTGGAGGCCCTTGTGCCTGCCCCCGGCCGACTGGCAGCGAGCCGCCCTCTGTCTGTGGAGACATAAGGCCTTCCAGGAGCTGCTGAAGGAGGAGGAGTTTCGTGTAGGTCCCACTTTCCCTTCCCTCGCTTCCCACGTCACCCTAACTCCGACCTGGAGCCTGAGGACATCACAGGCGGAAGGTGGGCGCATGGGCAGCACGGGTGTGGCCTTGGTTGAATTTGTTACTGGGATTGTCATAGACTCGCGTGCAGGTGTGAGAAACCAAGCAGATGCTTTCTGCTTTTAGCCCAGCTTCCCCCACCAGTAACATTTTGCAGAGATTTCTCAGAGTAGGTAGAAGTGCACTTGACCGGCCAGGCTGCTCCAAGCCCAGGTCCTTAGCGTCTCGGCCGCTCCGGCCCCTGCGCCCAGTTCCTTGGCTTCATTTTCGTGACTTGTCGTTTATTTCTTGGGTGCTTGCCTGTTTTGGTCTTTAGAGAAAAACTTTTCAATTACTCTGTTTATTTTTACAACTCTTCATGGTTAACTATACTGTTGAAACAAGAGGAGGCCTGAGGTTCTGTTTAATGAAAGGAACAGTGATGCCGGGCCCAGCTGCACCCGCTGGCTAGCGGGTGCGTCTCCTGCACCTCAGGGCCGCCGTCCGGCCCTGCGTCACCACGGCCCTGCTCCTGGCTTTGCCTCGCGTGGGCCCTGAGCACATGCTGCGGCGTGTTGTCCAGCTCTGGCCCTTACTTCTGGGACGTGCTCTTTTACAAGCGACGTTAGGTTCTGAGGTTGGTCCTGGTTGATATGTGCAATTGTTGGGTTACTCACCAGCTGCCTCCTGGAACGAGAAAGTGAGTTGTTTGCAGTGCTGTGGGGCAGTGACCTGAGGGGTCTGCAGATGCCGCAGTGTGACCGTTCAGACCGGCACTGTGCTGGCATCAAACTCAACAGTACCGCTTATTTTTTGTTTAAGATTTTATTTTTAGAGAGGGAGAACGGGGAAGGAGGAGGGGGAGAGACATCCGTGTATGGTTGCCTCTCGTGCGCCCTCCCACTGGGTCCTGGCGGGGGAGCGAACTGGCCATGCTTTGGTTTGCAGGCTGGTGCTCAAGCCACTGAGCCACACCATCCGTGCCCTGGCCGAGTGGTTCAGTAGGTCAGAGCGCTGCTTCAACGCGCCGAGGCTGCAGGTTTGCTCCTCAGGCAGGAACGAGCCGCCTGTGAGTACATCAGTGACAACGCAACAGTGGCCGCGGTGCCCCTCTTAGCTGGCTTCACGGTCAGAGTTAACACAGGCAGCAGCTCAGTCCTTCCTTAGGGCTCGGGGCCGGCAGCCCAGTCGAGCAGCAGGAAGTGGTGTGAGGCAGGCCTGCGGGCCGTGGGGTGAAGGGGAGCTGTGCTCCCTGGGCTCTGTCCTCGCTGTGACACGCAGCTGGCCCTTCCCACAGTTCACTTACAGAGACTGGGTGTGGCTGGAGCTGGAGGTTCACCCTGAAGCGGATTCTCTTTCCGATGCAGAAAGGTAAGTAGTGTTTAAAGGGTCTTGCCCTTCAAAATGTTACATGGTTTTCTACGAGGTCTGAAAGTTTTTGAATTTTCTCATTATATCCTTAATTTAATGTTCAGTTTAACATATTATCTATGAGCACAATTTCATTTCTTTATTCGAAGAAAAATTGAGCTCTTGTTTGATAGATGCTTTTAGACTGTGGTCGCAGCGGGGAATGCCTTGTAAGTGGCACACGCTGTCCATGCGGCGCCTCGGCCCCCGACCCCCCGGACTGGCTGCGGCCAGTGGCCCGCACAGAGCCGACAGCTGTGTGTGCCCGGCGATGAGCAGCGGGCACGCGCCCTGCGGCAGCCCAGGCATGGCTGGGGGGCGGGTGCCCAAGGAGGGGCGGCGGGAGCGGCCAGCGCGCTCCGCGGGATGGGCCGGGAGTCTCATGCAGTGCGGGGCCGCGGGGGGCCTGGCCGGTGGTTCTCTGCCAGCGTCTGCTGGCCCTGCGTCCACCTCCCCCTTGGGAAGGGCGCACCCTGCCTGCTGAGGAGGCCCTGTGGAGTGCCGGCCATGAGGGGGGCTCCAGGGGCGGGGCGTGGTCTGAGGGCCCATCCCTGAGGCTGCCAGGAGGTCCAACGTGCCCCCCTGGGCGGCCAGGTGGGGTGCCGACGGCCCGTGGGTCGGCTTCTGGACAGAGCACAGATAATGAGAAAAGGAAAAGGCTGCGGTAACGAAACGGGCAACAAACTGTTTTTTCCAACAATGTGGGGTTTTGTTTCCTTGCACCAGCCAGCTTAGGGAGGGCTTTGCAGACGTGCCCATCTGCCCTCCGCGCTCTGCCCTTCCAGACCTTCTGCCTCTCTGGTGGGAGGGCCCTCGACCGTTTCGCTGCCCCTGAGCTCACCGCACATGGGTGTTGTGTTTGCACGTACTCTGGGGCTTCCTTCCTTTTCTCTCTTAACAAGAAGCCCTCTGAGGGGTCTGTGCAGATCTTTGGCAGGAAAAGCCTGAGCTGGTCCCCGCAGCTCCTTGCCCACGTGGGCACAAGTGGGAGTGTCCTGTTCGGGTTTGGCTCCTTCGCGGATGGAGCTGTGGTGCCTCAGCTGCGTTTGCAGTTTGTTCTCAGGCCTTCCCGGGGCAGCTGTCCACATCGTGGCCCCTGTGCTGTGGACCTGGGGCAGCTCGCAGGCACCGTGGGAGGATCTCCCAGCCCCCGTCCCCCACCTCAGCAGGTGTGGGTGGCCCCGAGGGGCTCCCCCCAGTGCCAGACCCCTGCCTGCACCCCCATGATTCTGTGCCCCTCCCTGGGGCCCTCTTCTCGCCATGGGAGCCCCTGCGGGCAGCTGCGCTCAGCACAGGCCTGGTGTTCGCTCTGCAGGCGAGACTTCCACCAGTGGGCCATCCGCGAGCACTTCCTGCCCGCGCCCTCCACCGCGGGGGGCTGTGACGGAGACCTGGAGACCGCGTGCACCGTCCTTGTCAACGGGCTGGTGGACTTCTGCCAAAGGTCAGGAGTGCTGATGTGAAAAAGCACCTTTCTTCCTCAAGGTTTTATTTACTTATTTTTAAAGAGCAGGGAAAGGAAGAGAAAGAGAGGGAGAGAAGCCTTGATGTGCCCAAGAAACGCTGATCAGTTGCCTCTCGCACACCCCCTGCCCATCGACCAGCCCACAGCCCAGGCAGGTGCCCTGACTGGGAAAGGACCCTTTGACGTTTTGGCTTGTGGTGCCATGCCCAGCCCTTAGAGCCCCACCAGCTGGGGCGAAGAGTCTCACTCTTAACTCTGGTGGTTCTTAGAATGTGTTTATTTCCCTCAGCCCAGTTTGTTATCCAAAGCACAGTTGAACATGTTTTGATAGAAAGTTTGAGTCTGTTCAAAGTGAAGGCACCTTCCTGAACCCTTTGTGTGCACTTGCCAGTTGCAACAACTTTGTCTTGTGTGTTGCCACTTGGAATTCAGGGACAGCGAGTGTGGAGCGTGGAGCAAGAGCTCTCCCGAGTGGGCGGCACTGCGGGTCGCCCTCCCCCGCCCCCGCCCTAGGAGTGCGGAGCAGGGGAAGCAGTGTCTGAGGCCGGGACGGTGGGGGCCCCCGTGCTGTGCAGGCTGTGTGTGCGGGTGTTTCTGCTGAGGGGTCTGCTTTTGTTTCTTCGCCCTCACAATTGCTGTGTAAAGGGTGAGGTTGCAAGGGTCCTTGCTTCACACTTTGGCTGATACCTTGCGTTACTCCTGCCCCAGGACGGAGTCCTGTCGTGACACAAGACAGGACAGACGCCCTTCCCTTTCCCACCGCCCTCTGTCCTCCGTGGGGTCTGCCCGCTGTGGCCCAACTCCTCCCACACCCTTGTAGCACCAACAGCGAAGATGTGCTTCCTGCTGGCGTTTGGAGGCTGGGAACAGCGCGCCTACAGACTGAAGTGTCCTTGGCCTCCAGCTTTTTCCCATGGGCTCTTGAGCTGAGCTCAGGAGAGTGGATGCATATTTTGTCTGGATTTGTCACTCTGGACTTTTCATATAAATGGAATCAATACGTGTCCTCTCTGTCTTGCTCACTCGGGATACTGTTTTTAGGATTCATTGCGTGGCAGTGTCTGTCAGAGCTTCCTATGGGAGGGTGGAGCATGTTCTGTCTGTCTGTCATCAGCTGATAGACGTTTGGGTGTTCACGCCTTGGCCCTTGTGAATGCCCTGCTGTGAGCGTTGGCGTGCAGGCTCGTGGGGTCCGGTGCTTTCCTTTTCTTGGGTGTGTTCAGGGAATGGAGTTGCTGGGTCATGCTCTGTGTTTGACTTTTTGAGAAACTACCAGACTGTCTTCCAAAACTGCACCCCTTTATGTTCCCGCCAACCCTGGGGAGGTGGTGTATTTTCTCCACCCCAGGTGTCCGCCTTTTTGATACTGTTTGCCCCGGTGGGTGTGCAGTGGTATCTTCATTATGATTCTAACCTGCTTTTCCTTGATGGCTTACTGATGCAACATCTTTTCATTTGCTTGTTGACTGTTCCTGTATCTTCGTTTGAGAAATGTCTGCTCAGATCCTTTGCCCATTTAAAACCTGGGTTATTTGTTTTATCTGGTTGTAAGAGTTTTCATGATTTCCAGATACCAGATCTTTAATCAGATATATCAGCTGCATGTGTTTTCTCCTGTTGTGTCATCTTCTCACTCTCTGTGTAATGCTCGGGTGCAGAATTCATCTACTGTCAGTTTCAGTTCTTACATTCAGTCCTTTAGTCCATTGTAGTTAATTTCTCTATGTCGTGTACGTTAGGGACCCGGCTCGACTCTGCGTGTGGGTGTCCAGCTCCCCAACTCCTTTGTCGGGGAGCCTTCCCTTCCCTTGCCGGGTGGTCTTGGTGCCCTTGTCGCACGCCAGCTGACTGCCCGGGTGACTCCCCTCTCTCGACCTGCGGGTCCCTCATCATGCTGGCGCCTGTCGTTTCGCACTAAGTTGTAAACTGGGGAATGTGAGTCCTCCGACTTGTTCCTTCCAAGGAGGCTCTGGCTGTTTTGTGCCCTTTGCACTTCCATCCCAACTTCAGCGTCGGTTCGCCAGCTTCTACAGCGTCGGCAGGACTCTGACCGGCTGCACTGTCTCTGCAGGGAAGGGCGGGGTGTGGCGTCGGAGCAGCGCTGGTCTTCCTGTCCGTGGACAGGGGGTGCCTTTAGGGCTCTTTAGGCGTCTTCACTGTTTTCAACAATGTGTTACAGTTTTCAGCATAAAAGCCTTGTACCTCCGTGGTTAAATTTATCCTTAAGTATTTTATTCTTCTAAACACTGTTGTAAATACAATTGTCTTTATTTCACTTTTTTAAAGACTTTATTTTTAGAGAGAGTAGAAAGGAGAAAGGGAGAGAAACATTGGTGTGCGAGAGATACGTTGATTGCTTGCCTTGCGCACGCCCCAGCCCAGGCCTGTGCGCGGACTGGGAATCGAACCCGTGGCCTTTTGCTTCCCAGGCCAGCGCTCAATCCACTGAGCTGCACCAGCCAGGGCTTTATTTTATTTTTGATTATTCTTCATTAGTACACAGAAATACTGCTGAGTTTTCTATATACATTTTCTATCTTGCAACTTCACTGACTGTTTATTTGCTCTAATAGTTGCTCACTGTGGACTCTTTGGATTTTGGGACAGAAGGTCATGTCGTTTGTGAGTAGAGATGGCCTTTCCATCTGGGTGTCTTTTGTGTCTTTTTCTGGCTGAATTGTTCTGGCGAGAACTTCCACTGTCGTGTTAAGTAGAAAAGGTGAGAGGGGACGTCTTTGTCTAGTCCTAATCTCAGGAGGAGAGTGCTCAGTGTCCATCTTCATCAGCGCTCTTAATCATGTTGCGGAGGCCCCTCCTTCCACCTCACTGAGTGCATTTCATCACGAGCAGGGCGTTGAGCTCTGTCTGCTGCTGTATCTGCGGCTGGTGAGGTGATCAGGCGGCTTTGGTGGCTGTGCCGACATGTGTATCACCTCCCCTGACTTCTGGGTGTTGGGCCAGCCTTGCCTTCTTGGGATGACAAGTCCTGGTAGATCGTGGGACACAGTTGTTTTCCATGTACTGGTATTTTGATATAGGCGGTTTCATTGTTCGTCAGTTGCTGTGACCACACACCACTCTGGAGGGAGGAGAAGCAGGAACTTGAGCAGTGTCTACTCAGGAGGCTTTCGCTGTGTTTGTTCGTTTCAGTTCAAGGAGTTACGATCACACAGAGAATTCCGATTTGGTTCTGGGCGGCTACACGGGAAACCGGGACCTCCTTTCAAGGCTGCAGGTGAGGGGGTGGGCGGCGCAGGACTCGGGTCGCTGTGTGAGGCCACCTATTGTGGGAGTGTCCAGCACGCATGCCCGCGGCGGATCCTAGGGCAGGAGCACGCACGCACAGCGCGGCCCAGGGCCCGCGGCCCAGATGCTCTGTGAGGGTGCCCGTCAACATCGCGAAAATACAGAACCCGGAGCTGTGAGGCTGCGATTGCCCCTGGGCTTTGGGATGTTTCTGAAAATAGAGGTAATTAAGAAATTCCAACTCCAGTAATAAAATGGTTGCTGCCCCACCATGTTCTGCTTCCCTCGGCTGCTCCCTTTGGCTGCCGAGCTCTGAGAAGCGGAGTGAACGGCCCTGTGGCCCCGTACGGAGAGTCACCGCATCCCCAGCTGCGCGGAGCCTTCAGAGAGCCCCGCCCGGGGGGACGCGGGGCACCTGCCTCCAGACGTGCCCGGGGCTCTGCCTCAGAGCGTTCTGTGTGTGGGCTTCGTGCTGCCTGGTGGCGCCCCGCTGCCTCTCAGCGTCCCTGGGTTTTGGGGATGCAGGAAAAGGGGGGGGAATGAGACAGGCTGGTTTGCAGCACTGGGGTGTTTACCTGCAAACGAGTGAGAATCCCCCAAGAGGCAGACCTGAGTCCCCTGACCCTCGCTTTGACCTCTCGTCCTCCACATCCGTCGTTGACAAGGGTGGAGGAGGAGTGACCAGGGAGGGCAGGCGCACGACACGTGATGGACTGGGCAAGGGCAGCGCTTCGATGGGGCGTGTGGCTGCTGCTCTGCGGGCACCTGAGCGTGTCGGGAGGACTGCGTGTGTGCACGGGCATGTGTTGCATGCCTGCTGGTCACCTCCTCCCCTGTGCGGTTTACCTCACATGTGCACCCACGTGCCGTACACGTCGGATGAGAAACATTAGCTGTGGGCGAATCTGGGTACAGGTGTTCTTCGCACTAGTCTTGGTTTTTATTTTTATTTTTTTTACTATTTTTATTATTGAAAACTTCTGCAACTTTCTGATGATTTCAAGTAAAAAGGCTTGTCCCACTTACTCTCCGGAGCCCCCGTGGAGACCTCTCTCCCACGCTCATGTCAGGGTCCTGATTGGGGCCAGTGGGAAGCCCCAAGGACGCCTGCCTTCCCCTTCGGGGACAGAGAAGCACCTGGGACCAGAGTGAAGACGCAGAAGGGCTCAGCCCTGCTTGTTTCTAGGAGATGGCTGCTGACCTGGAGCAGAGCCCAGCCGAGCCCCACGGCCCCGCTGCCTCCCGGGGACACTTCCTCTTCCGGGTTTTCCACCGACGGCTCCAGGCCCTGGCAGGCGGGTGGGACTTGGCCTCCCTCCTTCAGAGACAGCGGGAGCTGCTCCTGTACAAATGGTAACAGCACCAGCTTCTGTCACTTGTTTCTGTCCCCACCCTGGCCTGTGATAGCAGCATCTCTGTGGCATTGCAGAGAGCAGGGCCTCAGGTGTGGGAAGCACTTAGGAGCAAAGCCTCCTGCCCTGGAGCAGGGTCCCTCTGTGGGGAGACAGAGCTGGAAAGGCCTCTGGCCTCAGGAGGGAAGGCCGTGTGTGCGCAGAGGCCGCTGCGGCCGCGCTCGCCACTGTGAGGCGCTGAGGTCCCCCGGAGACGGAGTTCTGTCAGACGGGCACCCCACTGCTGAGGCAGTGGAAGGCTCAGTTTGGGTCCCGCAGCTTGAGCATCTGCTATGGGGTCCAGGTGCTCGGCATCGCTCCAGGCCAGAGACAGTGGGGGCTGCAGACCAATACACTCTGTTTCTGAAAGTGAGTCAGGAGGGTCCCTGCAGCCGGGGATCTGGGTTTTCAAGAAGCAAAGTCAGGCCACGCCTCCACCCTTGACACACTGCCCCCTCTCTAAGGGTCCTCCTCAGCCTCCCTTCGTCTGTCATGGTCGGCAGCCCCCGGGTGGAACTTCCGGCCGCCCCCGACTGCACTGAGTTCTTCCAGTTGGTCAACTCTGAGCTGGTAGGTGCCTCGCAAGTGACCTCGGGACACTGGGACGAGGTGCGATCTGGTCCTGAACTCCCAAGTGTGTCTGTGGTCGCCGAGTCCCCTGTCCCAGTGCAGGTGTGGAGCGCATGGGTGTGCAGTGCACCTGTCCACCGGCCAGCGAGAGGCCCTCCTGGGCTCGCTCCCTCTGCCCCAGAACTGCCCTCGGCCACCGTAGTTTGGGCCCATGAAGCTTGCAGATCATTTGCTTGCTGTGCACTTCTCTCCCTTTCCAAACGTTGGCTCTGGGCGGTGCTGTGACCACACTGGCAAATGCCAGGTGGCCCTGTTTCCTTCCCTTCTACAGGCAGCTCAGTGTCAGGGGCTCTGATCTTGCAGGTGGGGTAAGGGGATATGTAAGCCTGCCCCTGGCATACCTGAGGGATGTTTCTCTAACTTTTAAAAAAGCACAGATAGGACTTGAGGTTGATCGAGGTTCCGCTTGGCCACACAGAGCTGCCCTCCTGCCTCCCTGGGAGCCTGGCTGCCCAGAGCAGCCGCAGGAGAGGCAGCGAGCAGGGGGGGTCCAGGGTGGCATGTCTGTGGGTGTGCAGAGGCCGCCTGCCGGGGCCTCCTCCCACCAGAGGCTTCTCTCTCACTGGCCTGTGCTGTTTGCAGAGAAACTTCTCCCACGGAGGCGCACTGACGCATGACATCACCGTCCACTTCTTCAGGGTAATTTCCTTTCCCTCTGCCCCATTCTGGCCTGCACAGACCGCTGGGGCTGGACCCTCACATTGGTGCTGCTTAGGGGCCAAGGTGTATTTCAGGGCCTGGGTCCACGTGCAAAGCCTGAACTTCAGGCACCTGTTCTCCTGCAGGGGGTCCTCAGCGCCTGCTCACGAAGCAAAGACCCCTCCCTGGCAGTGGATCTGACCCTGACGGCCTGCCAGACCGAGTGTCCCTTGGCCCTGACCTCCGCCCTGGTAGGCTCAGCCTCCTTCCTGGGGTGTTGTCTGTTTCTCACTAAAACTTCATCCCAGTTACTGTGACTCAGGAGAAAAACTTGGGGGGATGTGGGGGTGCAGAGAACATGCCAGAATGCAGGGGGGGGTGCCTGGTTTCCCGGGCTGCGCCCCGAGCTGCCTCGCACGGCAGAAAACATGCAGACGGGGGCAGAGCTGGCTGTTCCCGGGGCGTCTGTGTGTGTCCGGCCGCTGCCCGCTCTGCGCTTGCCGAAGCTGGATGGCAGCCGCCCGGGCCCTCCCAGGGGCATGACGTCAGGCTTGCTGCCTCTGATGTCTTGGCTGCTGTCTCAGCGCAGAGGGCAGAGGCGGCTCAGCCCCTGCCAGGCAGCCTTGGGGTGCCTTTCGGTGCCTTTGACTTTGTTAGTGCCCTGACAGCACACAGCTTTCTCTCTCCCTTCTCCGTCCTGCTGGGACTTGAGCTCCTCCACAGGGTGGTGGTAGCATTTCACCTGCAGCTCAGTGGGTGACGTGTTTCAAACACCAACTCTCAGCGGTGTGTTGGGGGCCGGGTCAAGCTCTTGGGCAGTGGGGCACCTCCTCAGCCAAGGCCTCTGGACTCCAGGCACTGAGCCCTCCTTACATGGGGTGTATGGGATCTTACCCTTGGCCTGATGGAGCGTCAGATCAGTGTGAGCCAGGCGGGGGGTGTTGGCCAGCGTGGTTGGAGATCTTGTGCCCCAACCTCAGGGGTCACAAAACAACTGCCCTGATCTGTTCACCTGTGACCTTTCCCTCGGCAGCTGTGGTGGCCACGCTTGGAGCCCGAGCTGCGCAGTCGGTGGCGGCGTTTCCAGAGCCCGTTGCCCCGGGAGCTGCAGAGGCTGCGTGAGGCCTGGCAGTTTGCCAGCAGGTAGGAGCTGGCACCAGGACCCAGAGAGAAAGCTCAGGTGTTTTTTGGGGCCTGCCTGGGTCATCTTCCAGGACACCATGGGGTGCTTGAGGGTGCCTCGTGGGCACGGACCCTGGGATCAGTCAGAGGGAAGCAGCGGCGCTGAGCTGACGTGTCTGAGAGAGAAGTTAGAGAACATTTGGAAAAAGCTGACTTCAGCCTAAAAGGTTAACTAAACCCTGCGTAGGCTTTGGGTCTGGGCCAGTGGCCTGGGTTAACCCACCCTCCCAGGACTGCTGGGCAGCGGTCTCGTGTCCTGCTGGGTGTGGGGGTGTCTGAAGACATCAGAAGAATTGGGAGTCGGCCTTACATCTCTGTGACTCGCGTTCTTGTCCCTGATGCGCCCCTGTGTCTCCCTGCAGGGTTGGGGTGCTCTGAATCTGCTCGGAAAACCAGGGGGGCCAGTCCCGCCCACCAGCCTAACCTTATAGAGCAGATAGTTTCCTCAACCACTGCACTCCATTCCATTGTTTGTCTCCAGCCTGTTTTTGACCTGCTGGAGAAGCTTTCTGAGCAGCACTGCAGTCAGAGCAGCGTTCGAGACACAGGCTGGGCCGCGGGCCTCAGTGTCCCACGACTTCGTTGCAGAGCCCAGGCAGAAGGGATGAGGGCCTGGTCTGACTCAGAGCCCCTTGCTCACCCCTGCAGAGAGCAGGGTCAGCACTGTGACAGTTTCCAGAATAAGGACGTTAGGTGTTCAGCGGTGGCTCGGTGACGAGGCTCCTGTGATGACACATGTCTCTCTCCTCCCAGCTTCCTGTCCCCCGACACCATGCCCCCTGACACCGTGCCCACCGCTGCCGGCCCAGCCTGGGTGTCCGCTGCTGCGCTGCACTTCGCAATTCAGCGAGCCGGGAAGGGGAGCCCAAGGCGGGCCCTGGAGAGGCTGCACAGCCCCCAGGAGGAGGCAAGTGCCGCTCTCCCCACTTCGCCTCGCACATGGGGCTTCTCCAAGGACGGACGGGCAGATTGGAGGCTTCATCAGTCTTTGGAAGTAAAATTTACTGGGTTTAGGTTTCATAAGACTTTGACTTCAAGTCTTTGGTAAAACGAGTACCTTACGCTTCAGTTTGGAAGTGCTTTCGTTTGTCTTTCTCTTCCCTTCATGACCACCAGGACAGGGCGGGCATCTGCCTGATTCCATAGCCTCGGCTTGCGGGCACCACAGCTGGGTGGGGCTGGGAGACAGCAGGGGGGAGAGGCGTCCCCACGGGGACCCGTGGGGCCTGCCTGGGTTACGGGTCAGCTGGGGTCCACCTGCCAGCTCAGCATGCGCCCGCCCACCTGGCAACTAAATTGTGAGCCAAAGTAATTTTGCTAACTATAAAGCAAAAAACCCACAAACGAGATTGTTCCATGATTGTGCTTAGGTGGTTTTTATCGGAAGGGATTTGAGTGGCTCCAGAGCCCCCAGGTCTGGTGGACTGAGGGGACAGGGTGCACCCCCAGGGTCGGGAGAGGTGGGCTGGAGCCTGGCAGTTCGTCTCCAGGGGTGCACAGGGGAGGAGGGGGGTGAGGTTGGGCTGGTGGCTCAGGGCACAGTGAGCTACCTGCACTGGGCAGCTCTCATGCCAGGAAGACCCCTGGCAGCAGCCCTGTCTAAAGGTGGGTATAAAAATGACCAAGTCAGTAAGAATTTAACTCAGATTCTCTGTTTCAAAGTGCCTGAGAGAGTTCTTTCCGAGGCGACCCCCTCCGAGGGGAGGCCCGAACCTGGGGCCTGCACGGGGTACCCGGGAGGGGCTGCTCTGCGGCGCAGCGGTGCCTGCACGTTGCTAGCGCCGTTTGTGTTTGCAGCTGCTGCGCGTCCTGTTCTTCTTGTCCTTGTTGGGCCTGCTGTCGTCGCGTCTGACCCCACAGGTGCGTCGCCCCTCCGCAGAGGGGCCTCCAGACTTCCTGAGTCAGGAGTGGGCGGTTCGGGACCCTTGCCCAGGTTTCTCTGCAGAGTCCTGTGCTCACAGGAGTGCGGACTTTTCGCCCGTGGGCCTTTGTTTTGGTGTCTCCAGAACTTGGGTGCCCAGAACCTGGCCACCACCTCCTGCCTGAGCTCCCGCCATCACAGACCCTAGGGTGACACTCTGTAGGTCGTCACCTCGTAAGGGTCGCTCCTCCTCCCCACGCGTCATCCCGCCCTGCAGACATTGCGTGTGAGTCCTCCTCCCCCTTCTGTGGCTCACAGGCTGCCGACTCCCTGACGGCTTTGGACGTTTGTGCCGAGACCCTGCGGTGTTTGGAGAAGAGGAAGGTGTCCTGGCTGTCACTCTTTCAGTTGACAGAGACAGGTAAGAAGTCTGCTGAGACCTGATAGCAAATGGGTGGCCTTTGTCTAGTCACCAGCCATCAGGGTCGGACTGGGACCCCTGACATCTGAGTATTTCTTTTCAGAAGTAACTTTCCAATGGTTATCTTCTTGCAAAGCCTGTAAACCTAAGTTTTCGTCAGGGCCAACGCAGGACAAGCTCATTTGAGCACCAGCAGGGTTGAGTGGAGTCCTGAGGCCCCCAGGAGCTGCTGGGCTGTCCTGGGGGCCCTGCCTGCCCTGCCCCATAGGCAGAGAAGGTCCTCTGAAGACAGCGGCCCCTGGGGGGGCACCCGGGCTGACTGAGCCCCTTGGGTTGCAGATGCCGGCCTGGGGCACGTCCTCCTCCGCCTGGCCTCGGACCAGCTCATCAGGTTGCTGCCCGTCGCCTTCTACAGGTGAGTCCCCGCTGCTCCGTCAGGCCTAGTGCGCCCACAGGGAGCCCTCCCTGCCACCGCAGGCCCGCTCCAGATAGGGGGAGGTGGCCTGTGACTCCCCGTGCTCATCTCTGGGCGGTCATGGTATCACCTGATGTCTGGTCTCACCATCAGCCTCCTCTCCTACTTCGATGAAGACACGCTCATTCAGGACACCGCCTTCCTGCATGTTGCTGTAGACATGTATCTCAAGTTGCTCCGCCTCTTCGTAACCGGGGAGACGGGTTCACTCTCCACTCCAGCCAGGGACCAGGAGGTCCGGGACCAGGCAGGTGCAGGGGCGGGCTGTGTCCGGGCAGAGGGGACGTCCCCCAGGCCCATGGGCGAGCTCTTTGGGGCCCGAGGCTGTGAGGGCCCCTCCCAGTATGGGTGTGGATGGGCTCTGACTGTGGCTCCGCCGGTCCCCTCTATAGGGTGATGCTGTCAGCCTGGTAACAAGAGCTCGGCTTTTTCTGCTGCAGTCAGTGCCTCGGTGTCCCACACAGAGCTTCTCACACATGGCTGAGGTAACAAGGCTCACCGTGGTGGGGTTTTTTGGTTTTTTTTTTTTTATGTTTATTGATTTTAGAGAAAGACACGGTGTGGGGAGAGAAGCATCGATTTTCTGCTCCACTGAGGCCTTGCTCGTTGTCCTTGTATGCACCGACTGGGGATTGAACCCACAACCTCGGTGCATCGGGACAACACTCCAACCAACCGAGTTACCCAGCCAGGCACCTTGGTGTTCACTTTTAACTCTGAAGCCTGAGAACATGGAGACCTTACACCTGGCCTGGTGGCTGCCACGACCACTTGGCTGGTGGCCGTGGCCCCTGGCTCCCCCCTCCCCATGCCCTGGGTGTCGGGTCTCTGCCGCACTAAGAATGCTGTTTTCCGTGCAGCTCCTGGCCTCTCATGGAGGCTGCGACCCGGAACTGAGTGCCGCCCTCCTGAGCAGGCAGCAGGCCGCACCTGGCACCGGCCCCTCCCAGGAGCTCCACCTCTTCTGACTGGACCCGCACACGCACCATGCCTTTGTAAATAATTTATTACGAGAGCGATGTGGACGTCTTGTCACACTGAACAGTGGATTACAAATCTCCTTGATTGCTTCAGGGGGTAACAGGATTCAATTATTTAAAATTTGCATCTGGCCCCAAGTCAAGTAGGAAAATAAAATGCTGGTCCCAGAGTGGACACCAAGGCTACCTGGGCCTTGCACCAAGCTCCCTACATCCCAGCCCAAAGCTGGGCCTCAGCGTGGGGCTCTCAGGATGAGCCATCAGGTCACACGCAGGAACTACAGAAGTCGTCCTGTGACCCCATCTACCGTCTGTGAGTTCAGGTGCCCCCTCAAGTGGGCTCAGGCTTCACGGCCTGACCCTCGGTGGCCCCAGGTGGTGGCTCCAGGGGCAGGGCCTTGTCCTGGGTCTGTGTCAGAGGGTGGACCATGGACATGTGCACATTGAGGTTGTGTGCCTTCTCAAACCGCCGGCCACACTGGTCGCAGGCAAAGTCCAGCTCAGTCTCGGCCTTGTGTTTGGTCATGTGGTACTTGAGGGATGCCCGCTGCCGGCACTGGAACCCACAGACTTCACACCTGGGGGACAGGAGGAAGTTAGCAAGGATGTGGGTGCCGATGTGACCACAAGGAGGTACCAGTCCACACTTACTGCAGAGGCTTGGCTCCTGAGTGCCGCATCTGGTGGACAAGGAGGTGCTTCCGCTGCTTGAAGGTCTGTCCACACTCATCGCAGATGTAGTTCCGCACCTCTGAGGAGAGACAGGTGAGCACAGGCCCCAGAAAGGCCCACCCTCTTGGGCTTGCTACACTTGGTGCCGAAGCTGGGGACCTTTCACTGGACGACAGACCCTTCTGATAGAGACCATTAATGGAGCCCTGTGGCCCATGGCTGGGGCTGTCTCTGAAGCCTCTGGAGAGCTGAAGCCCATTTGCTCTCATGGTAGAAGGGCACCTGAGCACCTGGAGGAATCTGTCGGGCCCAACGTGTTCAAGGCCACTCCCTACAAAAGCCACAGGGAAGTGGTGTCCCAGCAAAGCCAACAGAGCGGACGACCCTGAGTGAAGTAATTCACTCACGTGGGACTTCCATGTTAAGAAATCTGTCTTGTGAGGAGGAGGTGCTAATCTGCGAGCTGCCTTCTGGGCAGAAGCAGCCATGAGGCAATTGAGTGTATGGGTCACGTGTTTCCTGACATGTGGGTTGTACGGTCACGCCAGTGAGAGTGGAGGGAAACCATGAAACTAGTGCATCAGACGAGCCCAGGCTGGAACGTAGCGGGGAAGTGGCCTTTGATTACCAGCAGTGCCCGAGGGGCACTCCCTGCCTCCTCTGCACTTTCCTTCCCCGGCGTTACTACCATGCCTGGCTTCCTCGTAAAATCCCAAAAGTGTGTCGCCTAAAAATTTTTTAAAATTCCACCAAAATCATGGAAGAGCCCTGGGATTTCTTTGCTGCTCATTCCCACTCTGACTGACTGAGCTGACCTGACACTGTACCCCAGGGGCACGTGGACCCTTGGGGCTGCTCCCATGAGGGGAGCGAGTGCATACCTGTGTGGATGAGCTTCACGTGCCGCTGAAGGTAGCGGTCAATCATGAACACCTTGTTGCAGCCAGGGTGGGGGCAGGGCCTCTCGCGGACCTCTTCATGGTGCTCCTTGATATGCTTCTGCAGGGACAGTGCAGCCCTGAGCGCTGGACTCGCTGTGACAACTCGCCCATCACGCAGCCCCTACCCCTCCCTCAGGTCCTGCCCGGCGCCTTCAAAGGAACAGACCCAGCTATTCTCCACTCCAGACGGTGCTTTCCCAAGAGCAAAGGCCAGCGTGTCGTCACCCGCAGAGGACAGCAATGGTGGGGCTGCTTTGTGCCTCCAGTTCCCCGGACTCACAGGCACCCCTCGGGGGGGTGGGGGGGTCTGCCCCTGGTGCTTCCCCCAGGCTCCAACCCTGGATCCAGTGGCGCCCGCCTCACCTTCATGCCGTCCGCCCCTCGGTACACGGCTGTGCAGCCCTGGTACGGGCACTTGTAGATGGTGGGCAGCTCCTCCCTGCAACAGAGCGTACCCTGGAGCTGCCACCCTGGTCTCACCCCTGCAGTGCAGCCCACACCGGCCTCACCTCTCACAGCGGAGCTTGTTCTTCCAGCCTGGCTTCGGTCCAGGCTTCTTTCGGATTTTTGGTTCTTCAGGCTTCTTTGCTTCTTTGCTTCCGTTCTTCTTACCAGCAACCCTGAAAAGGAAAAACAATAGATGCAGTGATGCCTCTGCGTTTCGTACAGTGTCTTCATGTTCCTCCACACTCCTCTCTCCCCAGTGCAAGAGGCGGGGCTTCCTCTTCCAGTGTGAAACTTCCAGGGTTAACCTGCTTTGGTCTCTGCTGGCTGGGGTCCTGAAACAGACCCTGAGCCACCACAGCCAGGACAGCTCGGGAGGCAGAGGCCCGGCACTGCCACCTTGGGAGGGCCAAGGAAAAGGATGATGGATGACCACAGCAACTGTGAGAATGCATTTATTCTAAGTATCAAAACCGAATACTCTGTGCCCTGGCCAGGTGGCTCCGTTGGTTAGAGCATCATCTTGATATGTCATGGTTGTGGGTTTGATCCCCAGTCAGAACGCATGCAAGAATCAATGAGTGGATCAACGAACTGATGCTTCTGTCCATGTTTCTCTCTCTGAAAAATCAATTTTAAAAAGTTTCAAAGCTTGAGTGATCAGTCCCCACCAAAATAACCATGAAGTTAGAAAAAAGATCACAACAACTGGGGAATCTCTGCGCCCTGATGGGACATCCTTGTGTGAGAAGTGCTGTCTCTGGAAAGAGAGCTGAGTGCCCCACCAGCTGCCACCCCCCATTCCTCAGCCCTGCTGCTGGGGCCAGGGTGGCCTCTGGGAGGGCCCAGATGCAGCCGCCACCCCCTCTAGTGTCTATCATAGGGGAGACATGCACACTTGTTTTCCTCCGTGGACCCAGACATTTAAGGAACTCGTCAAACAGAAGGGTGCTTCTGGGACCACATGTGACAAGCCACAGCTGACACCACCCTCAGTGGTCAAGAGACTGAACCACTTCCCTCTGAGATCACAAATAAAATGTACTGGATATCCTAGCCAGAAACATTAGGCAACAGGAAAAACAAAAGCCACCTATGTTAAAAAGGGAGGAAAATTACCTCTATTAACAGATGACCTGATCTTATATGTAAAAAACCCTAAAGCATTCAGCTTTAATGCTTTATTAAACATAATAAACATATAACAACATAAATTCAGCAAAGTTGGAAGGTAGAAAATGAACCAGCACCACTCCTATTTCTATATACTAACAATGAACAACCCAAGAAAGAAATGAAATTCATTTGCAGTCATAGCACAAAAAAAAAACTCAACAAAAAACTTTGGAATAAACTTAACCAAGGATATAAAAGACTTGTACACTGAAAACTACAAAACACTGATGAAAGAAATGGAACTAAATAGACATCCCATGTTCATGGACTGGAGGACTAACATTCTTAAGATGGCAATGCTTCCCCCAAAGCAATCTCCAGGTTCAATCTCTATCAAAATCCAAATGATGTTTTTTTGCAAAAATAGGGGGAAAAACCCCTAAATTTCACATTGAATTTCAAGGGACGTTCAACAGCCAAACAATTTTGAAAAGCAATGCTGGAGGACCTAAGTGCCTGATTCCAAAATTTACTACAAACCTACAATAATCAAAACAATATGGTACTGGCATACAGAAATGTAGATCAGTTGAATAAAGTAGAAAGGACAAATAAACCTTCACAAGTACAACTGATTTTCGACAAGGGCGCCAAAACCATTCGATGGGGAAGGGGCAGTCTCTCCGATAGAGGTGCCGGGAAACTACCCACATACAGAATGGAGGTGGATCCCTAATGTACACCGCATGCAAAAACTAACTCAAATGGATCAAAGGCCTGAATGGAAGAGCTTAAACTATAAAGGTCTCAGAAGAAAACAGGGATAAACCTTCATGATCCCATTGGATTTGGCAAAGTTTTCTTAACTATGACACAAAAGCATGGACAATGGAAGTAAAAAATAGGCGAACTGGAATTCCAAATGAAAATTGTTGTGCACCAAATGACACTATTAAAGAGAATGAAAAAGACAACCCACTGAATAGGAAAAGTATCCTACAACCCAATTAAAATATGGGCAAAAGCTTTGAATAGACGTTTCTCCAAAGATATAGTACATGTAAAGATGCTCAGCATCACTAATAGAGAAATGCAAATCAAAATGACAATGAGATACTGCTTCCTACCATTAGCATGACTTTTTAAGAAAAATAGCAATGTTCTAAGGATGTGGAGAAGCTGGAACCCTGTGCCCTGTTTGTGGGGATATAAAAGGCGCAGCTGCTGTGCCAAGCTGTGGCAGTTCCTTAAAAAGTTAAACACGGACTTACCACGTGACCCAACAGCTCTGCTTCTGGGTATGCACTCAACAGAACTGAAAACAGGCACGGAGACACTTGTATACCAGTGTCCACAGCCCTGTTCACATCCACCAGAAGGTAAAGACAACCCCAAACGGGAGATGGACAGCTCAACAAAATGCGGTCTAGCCACACAACAGAGCAGTGATTTTCAACCTTTTTCATTTCATGACACACACAGGCTAATTAAATTATGTAGTACGCCAGCAAAGTTTTGCCAGTCTGACCCAAAAAAAGGCAAAAACCCATCATTTTGATTTCTTAACATCAGACAGCTATTGTTGTGTTAGCTGTTGTCATTTTTTTTATTTGACAATCTCAGGGAAAAGAGGTCAGTGCCCTTGACTGAATAGTCCTGTACTGCATGTTTCAAACGTTCCTGGGAAGCACCGGCTGTGCCATGGGCGCACTGTGTGGCAGTCGCTGCAGGAGCTTTACCACTCAGCAAGTGCCAACACAGGCTACAGCCTGGTGGATCTTTCAACCTTACACCGAGTGAAAGAAGCCACTCACGGAAGGACAAACGTCATGTAATCCCACCTCCACAAAGTCCCTAGGATGAGTGCTCAGACTCGAGGTGGTCTGGGGAGGGGGCCGAGGGGAAGTCCTGACGTGATGGCTGCAGGTCCTTCTGTCCGGGACGGTGGAGTGTGGCAATGGTGGCGACTGCTGCACAGCACTGGATGCACCTGATGCTCCTGAACGGCGCACTTAGAAATGGTGCACTGTTACGTGTATCTTACAATTTTAAAAAAGGGTCATAAACAATTGCTCTTCTCCTCAGAGCTCCGTGTGTTGAAAGCCTTTCTGGTGACTGAGGCCTCTCCTCCCCCTGCCTCTGTGGTAGCTGTTCTCGGAAACCTGGCTGTGTGTCCTGCTCGCTAGCCTCCACCCCCTTCTGAGGGGCACAGGCAGCCCACCAGAGCCACCAGCCCACCAGTGACTTGCCATTTCCCTTCCACCCTCGATGTCTGTTGAGAGCAGGTGGCTTCCAAGAGCCTGTGGGGCTCACAGCTGCCTCCCTGCAGCCCTGGGAAGCTGTGGGGCAGGGGCTCCAGGCTCCAGACCCCAGACCAACTCTGATCTCTCCCCAGAGCCCTCTAACTGTCCTCCGGTTTCTCCATAATCCACGTCAGAACTTAAAGGAAAAGTCACGGTTGCTTTTCAGCCAGTGTTCTGGACCTTCTCGGCTGAGGGTGTGGGTCTTGTTTTCGCTGTATTGTGAAATGCTGAAGGGCAACACACATCAGCATTGGTAACTGGGGTTTGGGGTTATTCCTGGGCACAGGATGGGAGGAAAGTGACACAAGTGAAACTTGTCCCTGCCTGCCAGGACCCTATGTTCTAACTGCAGAGACAACGCAAGTCCCTGAAGAGAAGGTCAAGGTAAAGTCATAGAAGCAGCTCAACAAGAAAGTGGCTTAAAGCCCTGGCTGGTGTGGCTCAGCGGACTGAGTGCACCGGCCTGCGAACCAAAAGGTCACCAGTTGATTCCCAGTCAAGGCACATGCCTCGGTTGCAGGCCGGGTCCCCAGCTGGGGGCGTGCAGGAGGCAACGGATCCATGGCATATCAATGTTTCCCTCTCTTTCTTTCTCCCTTCCCCTCTCTCTAAAACTAAAAATAAAATCTTTTTAAAGTGGCAAAGAAACTGGTGCCAGAGGCACAGCTGAGAACCCCTGCCAGGCTGGGTTCAGGGCCCCAGAGACTCAGAACAGGGAGAAAGCAGGAACCAGTGGCTGGCAGGGCTGCGGCTGCACCCGGGACCGGCACGGGGGCGGCAAGGAGCTCCCGGACGTGGCTGGGCCATGCCCACGGGCCCGCTGCCACCCCCCCGAGGCCATCTGCTGCCTCACAAGGGGCCTGGGGCCAGGTCCCAAGGGCTGAGCCGGCAAGGCCTCAGCTCACGCAGAAGCCACACTGCACTGGGGCTCGCGGGCGGACACGAAAAGCCTGTGCTGAGGGAGCGCAGACGCGGCACCCCCGTTGCCCACTGGGCACCGCCCTCCAGCCCCGGGCGCATGCACCACGTCTGCCCCCCTTACTTCTTTTCTGGGTAAGGCTCGAAGGACTCATCTGAGGACTGTGTGTTCTGCTTCTTGTCGTTGTCGTCTTCACTCAGCACGTCCCTAGGACAGAAAAGAGAGCCTTTAGCACTAAAGCCCTCGGGTGGGTGGCAGATCTGATACAACTTCCTGTCTGAAGACATGCCGTCCCTGTGTTCCATGTTTTAGTTCTGAAAGTGCCTTAAGAAACCCCAAATCCCCAAATCTCTGATCGCATCTCCTAGCAGAATAAGCCAGGGTCACTGAAGTCCAGCAAGCTGGCGGTCCCTGCCAGCCACCTCCCTCACACCAGGGCCTCTCCACGGGGACCCAAGTGGGCGGGAAGACCCTCCCAGGCGGCGGGAGGGAGTCGGGGCTCACAACATCACCTCGCCCTATCACTGAGCACCTGGCAGGCTGGCAGGTCAACTGTCAGCCATCTCGAAGGTCACAAAGGCCAGAAAAGGCTCCGTGCTTCTGTGACCTCCACCCTGAAGCATGAATTGTGGTTCACGCCTGGTTGGGCAGGAGCCACAGCTTCCCCCAAGGCCCGCCCCCGGTCAGCAAGGCTCCAGGCTGGCTGGTGGCCTGCAAGACGGCCCGTGACCACTGCTGGTGCCAGGGTGCTGCTAGCAACACGCGCGGGCTCTTCTGGCCCCTGGGCCACGGGCACCCTGCTGCAGCTGCACTAAAGCCTGTGCTGGTCAGTGGACAAGGGGCGTCTCCATTCCAGCCGCAGGGTGTGAGTGGTTCCTGGCTCAGAGGTGGGGGGTGGCCTAGAAGTGGGCAGCCCCAAGTCACACTTGTATCGCGACACTAGCTTCTTCTGCTCTGGGAACATGTGCAGTCGCCACAGAACTAAGGTCCTGGAGGCGGCAGCAAGCAACAGCAGCAGGGGGCGCCCCAGGGTCGTCCCCAGAGCTCCACACCGCCCGGGGCCTGCTCCCCGGTTGCTGCGTCCGGGCGAGGGACCCTCTGGGACCCAGGACGCCCCCAGTCAGGACTGAGAAGCCTGGAAGTATCCCCAGCCAGAACACGGGCAGCAGGCCCCTAGGATGGTGGCATTTGGTTTTCCAAGAAGAAATTTTAGGCTGTTTAAACCCACTCTTCTCTCACCCCTCAGAAAGGTCACTGAACTCGTCTTTTACCCGATCATCCGAGGTTGAAGATGGGAACTGCTTCTCACCCAACTGCCCTGAGAAACAAAGAACAGGGCTCCGGTCACCAGCACAGCGCGCAGGCGGGGCTCCCAGCAGGCAGGCGCCGCTGTTTGACAGCCTGCCTCCTGGGGGCGCCGGGTCCTCCAGCCTCCAACCCGCTCCCACGCCCAACTGCACCCCCAGCAAGGCCCCAGCCCAGCGAGCCGGGGAGCCCGTGCGCCCAGCACAGGCGGGGCAGCGCTGAGCACCAGAAACCCAGCAGACAGGGCCAGCCGCCCGCCCCACCCCCACGGTATCCAGCCGTGCCAGGGTGGGACGGCTCACGCGGTGTGAGTGTCTCAGGACGTTTTAGAATATCACTTATCAAGCCACTGCAAGCACAGTTTAAACAGCCGTGTGGCCTCAGGACCCTCTGACACAGCCCCCCCACCCCCGCCAGCATCTGAGCGTCTCCGTCACCCAGGCCCTCCTGGGAGCTGAACTTTCTGAAAGCGCCATAGGGCTCTCGCTCAGGGGCGGCCAAGTGCCCAGGCATGGACAGGTGCACACGTGGCAGCTGATAGCAGGCAGGGAGCCGACTGGACCCTCCTAACGTGACGTCTGTGACAACTGCGCCACACCCCTGACGCTGTGAGGTCGGCCCCGAACAAGGGCCCGTGTCTTCCCTCCCTACTGGGCAGAGGAGCCTGTCCATGCCAGTCCCACGGAGGCATCGCCAGCGCCCTGGCTGAGGCCCAGGAAGTGACCCACGGCAGCCTCAGAGGCACCAGCTGTCCCGTCCCCCCACGCCCCACAACAACGGCCCATTCTTCCCTTCCCCGGGCCCCGACCGCAAAAGAGGGACGGAGGAGGGTCCCCGCAGCCCTGCGGGCACAGGGGCCTCGGCCCTCCCGGCAGGTGCCCGCATGACACCGCCACTGCCGCCCAGCCCATGACGGTGCCCACGTCCACTTCCTGCTGGGGACCCTGCTGCCTCAGGAGTAGGGATCCTGGCCTGACCGCCCAGAGGGGCCTCCTACCTGGGGCCCCGCTCGGGGGGAGGCTGGACTGAGGCAGGGGGCTCGGCCCACACCCCACAGGGCTGCCGTCTGAAGGAGGTGGGGCCGCGTCTGTGTGGGGCAGCGTCTCGGCCTCAGCCCAGGCTGCGGTCGCTTTGCCCTGGGAGCTCGGAGGAGCAGCCCCGGTGGGGTTGGACCTCCGATGCTGAGGGAGCCGTGGGGCCGTCTCCTTGCCCCACGCCCACTTGACCGCCAGCGCGCTGTCCAGCCAGAGCGCCCCGCAGCTGGAGTCGGTGTCCATTGTGTAGTCATGTCCGCGGTCACAGCCCCACACGGCCTGGATGACACCGCAGTACTCGGAGGACAGCGTCCTCTGCAGGCTGGGCAGGGCCCCGCAGCTGGCCGCATGTCCGTGCACCCACCCCACCAGGCCACGCAGGCCTTCGGGGCTCGAGGCGATCAGGTCCACTGGGAAAGGCACAGAGACGGCAGCCCCGGGCTGGTCAGCACCGGCCTGCAGCGAGCCCACCCACACACCACACACCTCGTCCAGGGACACTCACCCAGACACGCTCCCTCCTCCGCCTCTGCCGGGGGCTGGGCACCCACCCTGCGAAGGGTCAGCATGGCCGTGAACCAGCGGGCCTGGCAGCGAGCAGGGGGCAGGCTTGCTCCCTTCACTGCCCCGGCCCCTCCACGTTGCCTCTGTGCCCTCGGGGACACCGTGGCCCTCACCTCCCACATCATCCACAGGAGGCTCCCAGGCGTCTGCTGCGCCCCGCCCCCCACCCCCCTGCCCCGCACAGGTTCCCACCAGGCACTTTCTGTGCTGAGAACAGCAGACCACCGCCAAATGAATGAAGGAGGGAGTGCCTACTGTGCACAGGGCTTCCGGGGGCTCATCGGGGACACGTTGACTCTCTGCAGAAAGGACTTGAGGAGGCCGTGGCACTGGTAGAACTGGGCGTGGCAGTTCTTGCAGACAAACTGAGACAGGGCTGGGTCCTGGTGGACCGCCACGCCCAACAGGTGCTGGAAATCCCTGATGAAAACACGTTCCCCTGGGGGTGGTCTCTCCGAGCTCTGCCCAGGTGCCCGGCCAGTGATGCTGCGGAGACTCCGTGCGGAGAACTTCCCGTGGCAGAGGCGGCAGTGCCCCATGGCTAGAGCCCGGCCTGCTCCTGGGCAAGCACAGGAGACATCAGGTCAGCCGACGAGGCTGCTCGCTGCACAGGACACACAAGACACAAGCTCCCAGGAGCGGAGCGGGGCCCCGCTGCCCCCAGGGGGAGGCCCATGCTCTGCCAGCCTCCCAGCTGCCTGAGTGGAGAGGAACCCTCCATGGGGCCTCCCCCGACACATCCCTAAAACACAAGCCCATGTCTGCGCCAAAGGCAGGGCTCTGGTCTGGGCTCCCAGCTGAACACACACACAGCCTTTGGGAAGATGCGGCCAGTGGAGGGCCTTCCGGTCCAGAAGACGTTGCAAAGAACGCTAACTGTCTCCACTCCAAGTCCAGCATCACATTGAGCCCAGGACCAGACAAGGATGCCTCAAGAAAACAACTGCAGGCCCACATGCCTGACGAACACAAATGCAAAACACGAGCAAACCAAAGTCATCAGCGCACTCAAAGAATCCCACACCATGACGCAGGAAGTAGGGCTAACTCCAGGGGGGCAAGGCCAGACCCCTGCCAGCGGGGCCCAGGCTCCCCCAGGCTCCGCTCGACCCACCGAGCTGTGTCAGCCAGCCGGCCACCGAGGCGCGGGAGGTGAGGCGATTGTCCCCGGCTGCAGCCCTCAGCGCAGCAACCAGGACGGAAGCCCAGACCAAGTTCGAGCCCGAGCGGCAGGGAGGGTCAGCGGCTTGCGAAACAGCCCCCCGTGCGGTCGCCTGGGAGGCCCCCCTGCCTGCCCGCAACGCAAGGACGCCCCGGGAGACAGGCCGGGGCCGTGGGCACCGAGCGGGACGTAGTCCCTGGCGGCAGCCGGACCCACCTGCCTCGTCGGCGCCGTCCTCGCAGGCCTGCGCCGGCCCCCAACGCAGCCGCGAAGCCACTAAGGCCGCCGCCTCGTCCACGCTCGACCCGCTGCGGGCGGGGCGTCCCCGGGTCCGGCCGCCGCCCGAGCCCCCGCGCAGCCGAGCAGCCCCAGGCGACAGGAAGCGGCCGAGCCGGTCCCGTTTCATGGCGGCTGCCCCGGAGCTCCGCCCCGTTCGCCGCCGCTCGGCCCCGCTCGGCGGCACTCGGGACCGCTCGGCTCTCCGGGCCTGGCGGCTTGGACCCGCTAGGTCCTGCTCGGCCCGGAGCTCTCGGCCGCTCGGCTGGACTGCGCTCGCTCGCTCCCGCCCGCCGTCGCCTCTCGGCTCCACTCGGCTCGCTGGAAGCGGGAGGGCGGGGCGAGGAGGGGAGGGGTCGCGTGACGAAACGGGGCGGAGCGGTGAGCGCGAGGGGCGGGGCGAGGAGGGAGGGGCGGCACCCGCGCGGTTGGCGTGTCACGGACGTGAAATAAGGGGGCCGATTGTGGAACTCGCACGCTCGTGGCAACTGCGTGAAGAGGCTATTGGACAGCTCCGTCTCTTCCGTCCTCAGCGCCGAGCGCGCGGCAGGGCGAGGTAGCCGGAAGTGCGCCCGCGCCGGTCCCGGGTGTTCCGGCGGTCCGCGGCTCGGGCGGCGTCTGCTCCCGTGCATTCTTTGTTCCGGTCTTCTGTCCGCCCGCCCCGCCCCTCGGCCGCCAGCACCGCCTCCCCCGCCCGGCGCCATGGCCGCTGCGGCCGGGGACGGCGCGGTGAAGCCGCTGCAGTGCGCCATGAAACTAGCCAACGGGGCCATCGAACTGGACACCGGCAACCAGCCCCGGGTGAGGCGCGGCGCGGCGCCGCGGGGGCGGCCCCCGCGCGAGGCCGGCCCGGTGGGCGGGGGCGGGGGCGGGGCCGCGGGGTGGGCGCAGGCAGGACCCCACGGCCGCGGCGGGGCGCTGGGCGGGGGTGTCGGCTTCTGACCTTGGACAGCTCCCAGGCCTGCCCGCTTCGATTTTCCTGTCTGCTCAAGCAGGGAATCAGAGCCGCGCTTTTATTTATAAAGTACAAAAGGGGATACAGAAGGGTCCGCGAAGCAGCCTCCAATATAGAGCTGGCAGACAGCATCGTGTGTGTGTGTATTTTTCCGGGAGATGCTATAGATTTAATCAGATTCCCACCGGGGACAGCACCCAGAAGAGGTGAACTGCTGCTCCTCCGTGCTGTGTCTTTCCAGTCGTCTCAGCCGCGGCGGGGAGGCCGCACCTCGTTCCGAGAACGATGAAACGGTGCCGAGCAGGTGGAAAAGCCGGCTGAGCGGCACAGCGCTGCCCGGGAGGGAGAAGGCTGCGCGAGCCTGGGGAAGCATCCCGCCGCCTCAATCCTTTGCTGTCCCCAAGTCCCAACTTGGTTTTCTAGGGAAGCAGGTGCCCCCACAAATCAGAAATCCTTCCCGGAATCCATTTTATCCTAGTCTCTGAGGCTTAAACGAGAAGTAGGATGCAAAAAACAAGAAATGAAACACCATGCTATAGGTTCCCAACGCCCTGCTCAGGGAACAGAATGCTCACACCCTTGAAAATGGCAATAATTCTATTGTTCTAGATTCCCATGTACTCAGGCAGTGGGGTTCAGGAAAGGAATTTCCCAGAAGCGAAGCCAGAAAGTGATTCTAAGATTTGCAACACCACTCCCTCATTAACCTCCCAGGAGAAAAACTTTAGAGCCACTGAATGAATGGCACAGGAAGGAAACTTGTTGCACAGAGTGAAAAATGACAGCAGCTCTCAAAGCTGCTTTTCCCGACCCCTGAACATCCCGTGCTAGAGAATAAGGCAGTGGGAGAAAGCATGGATACCCAGCTGAGCATCTTTCCCTTCAAGACTGGAGAAGATGGACGCCACTCTCTGAGCCCCAGGCAGACCAGCCAATCGGCGAACCCCCCCGGGCTGGATGCTTGGGTGTATCTCAGAGAGGAGCAGATGCCACTGTTCCTGTTTCCCACAAGGGCAGTGGGACGGAGCGATGGAATCTTTGCCTCGACCGCCTGACCCCTGCCTTTTCTCTCCCCTGGGCCCAGGAGGCATATACAGAATACCTGAGGAGCATCCACTATATCTCCCAGGTGCTGCTGGAAGAAGTGGAAACCACCAAAGGTACAGCGCTCAGCTTCACTGCTGCTCTTAGGCTGGGCAAATTTTGGCCACCATAGCCTTTGGTAGGTTTCAGGCCTGGGGTGGCCGGACCTAACCCACTTGGTCAATAGCAGAAGGTGAACGGAAGGGCACTCAGTAAGCATGAGCTATGGTGGGGTAACATGGGAGCAGCAAGGGACAGGCGCCCTGAGGGGTGACGGGGGGCAAACCAGGGAAGAGCGAGTTGAGCAGACGCTGGAGACCATTCCCTGCAGAGGGCGCACAAAAGCTCTGAGCCGAGAGTGGGTGGGTACGAGGGAAGGCAGGCAGGGCGGAGGGGGTCGGGCAGAGCCTCGGGTGGAGCGGGGGAGTTCTCGTGGGCCGGTCCACTCACGGGCTCCGGGGAGAGGCCGGCAGGGAGCAGGGGGGAGGCCTCCTGGAGGCGGGTGGGCTGGGGGGTGTTCTTTAAAGCTGCACCTCCCAGCCTTGGCGGTGGGGCGGGGAGATGGTGAGCTGCCGGGGGGACAGGGAGGGGCCCAGCCTGCTCGCCATGCCCCCCAGCCCCTGCTCAAGGGCGCCATGGTCGGGGGGAGGGGAGGCCCCGGGGAGCTCAAGAGCTCTGCGCGCTGCAGGTGGAGGACTGGGAAGGGGGCCGGGGGTGTGGGGGCTCAGCGGCAGGGCTGGTGGCGTCCGGGGGTTTTCAGGTGCAGCTCCTACTGTGATCGTCTGCTGATAGGAGCAGCCCCCACAGGTGGGGTGCAGAATGGAAGCCATGGGGGAGCAGTGCCAGGGTGGGCTGAGCACAGCCAGAGGCGGGGAAATGAGGGGTGAAGCTGTCTCTGAAATGGCCAATGACTGGCAGCCCACCTGGAGGAGGCGCTGGGGTGCAAGTGGCGTCCTCAGAGGAAAAGGTCCCATTAGAGTGGAGGCGGGTATAAGAGAACTGAATGGTAATGGGGGGGAAATACAGTAAAGATTAAATTTAAAAAATAAAAATAAATGAAAATAAAAGTAAAAGGCACATTAGGTAGAGGGAAGGCTCTGACAGTCCAGCCAAGGCAGTGGAACAGCTGGTCAGATGCTGGGCTGGCCTAGCTCGGAGCCCCAAGGTAGACGGTCAGAGAGGAGGGGAGGATGGGCTGGCCCAGGAGGCCAGCTTAGGAGGCAGCAAACTTGCCCTTTTTAAAAAAAAAAAAAGGTTTCATTTATTTACTTTTTTAAAAAGGGGGGAAGGGAGGCAGAAAGGGAGAGAAACATCCACGTGTGGTCGCCTCTCATGCGCCCCCTCCAGGGGACCCCACCACAGCCCAGGCCTGTGCTCTGATTGGGAATCGAACCGGCAGCCCTTTCGGTTCACAGGCCGGCGCCCGGTCCACTGAGCCACACCAGGCCGGGTGCCCTTGTTTTAACCTCCGCAAGGATCTGATCAGCGACTGAGGGGGTGGTAACCAGGCTTCTCGTCCCTTGCTCCCTAGAAGCTGGGCAGCCCGTGCCCCTGGAGACCGTGAAGATGCTGAAGCTGGCAGAGCAGTGTCTGGAGAGGGCCCAGTCGACCGCGGCCAAGCTTGGTGGGCCCCAGCAGAGACTCCCCTGGGGCCCTGCCCCCGAGCCTGTCTCTTCTGTCGGGTGCGGGACCCTGTGCTGACTCGCCTGCCTTGCAGGGAAAGCCTGCCCGAAGCCAGCCGAGCCCGTGGCTGCGGCTGCGCCCTCACCTACCAGCCGGCACCGCCGGGTGTACTCGGACGAGGGGGGGAAGCTCCTTCCATTTCTGCCGCCTGAGATGTTCCAGAGGCTCCAGGTGGTGGAGGCGCAAAGCTCGAAGAAGTAAGAAGGGGCAGAGCGGGAGGGGGGCTGAGTCTGGGTGTGGAGGCCGGGCCAGGGAGCCAACATGGGTCCCAGAGCGTCCCCTGCGCCCGGCAGAAACCATGCCCACCGTCCTGGGAGAAAAGCTCCTTCAGTTCCCATAAAGGGAGGGGTGCACAGTCTGGGATAACCAAGCACAGAAAGAAAAAAACTAAAGGAATGACAGCAGAAACAGACCCGCAGCGTCTTCAGATAGAGTCATCAGACATGGCTTCTAAAACAGTCATACTCTGTATTCAGAGAAACAAAAAAGCAAGTGCGAAAATACCTGAATACCTACATGGGAGACACACCGGCAGGGAACACAAAGCTGCAAAATCTGACCCAGCATATAAAGAGCCAGGTAGAAACAAAATGAAGAATATAACGCCAACGTTATTGTTAGCAACTAAGTGGTAACAGTAACAACAGTTTACAGTTGATACTTGAACAAACCAAGGGTTTCCTGCCAGGACACCCACGCAGCTGGAAACCCAAGCACGCCTGAGTCGGCCTCAGGAAACGTGATTCCCAACAGTGGATCCAAGATACAGTTGCCCCTCAGACATCGTGGGTTTGAATACGCAGATTTCAAGTAAATTTTAATTTAAAAGCTTGTGTATAAGTGGGAGCCACGCAGTTCAAACCTGTGTTGTTCAATGGTCAGCTGCATGTCCCCCAGCAGAAAGGTGCACGTGTGCAAAAAAAAAAAAAAAAAAAAAAAAAAAAAAGACAGGTGTATAGGCGCAGGGCAGACAGAACTGAAAAGAAATCAATGAATTGGATAAAAGGTCAGAAGATAGGCAGAACGACCCACAGAAAGGAAACGAAAGACAGAAAACCAGCGCTGGCCAGAGAGCGCAGTTGGCTGGAGCATACGTGAAGCAACCAATCCATGTCTGTCTTTCAAATCAATCAATAAAAACAATTTAAAAAAGACAGAACACTTGAGGGATAGAAGGTCTACCATCAGGTCACTGAGTTCCAGAAAAAGAGGAGAAAAAAGTCAGGAGAGGTGTGTTACTTGAAGACATAATGGCAGTTTTCTGGGACTGATGAAAAAATCAAGACCCAGGCGCCAGCATCGTAAGGAAGACAGACAGAGGGCCGGCCCCTCCGCGCCCCGGTTCCCCACACACAGCGCACCCACCGCTCAGCCTGCCCAGGCCTGCTCCCTCCTTTACTCTTCCTGCCGGAGCCGCCACGGCTTCCTCGCCTCTGGCCTCAGGCCTGGGTCAGGAGGGCCCTCGGGTCGCCAGAGCATGGCTGGGCTTCCGGGGCCCAGACAGCAGCTTGTCTCCACGTCCAGGGAGCTGACGCCTCTGGAGGAGGCCTCCCTGCAGAACCAGAAGCTGAAGGCTGCCTACGAGGCCCGGATGGCCCGCCTGGACGCCAGCCAGGCCCTGCAGAAGACATCGCTGGTGAGCGGGCCCCCGGGAGGCTTGGGCTGGCAGGGGCGGGGAGCAGGCCTCACCCCCTCCGCCCCCCCAGACCCTGTCCCTGCAGCGGCAGATGATGGAGAACCTGGTGATCGCCAGAGCCCGGGAGGAGACCGTATCCTTTCCTTTCCGCCAGTCCTGCTTTGTGCCCAGAGGGGAGAGTTCAGGGTGCGACCTCGCGCTGAGAGAGAAGGCGGTGGGGGTGCAAGGGTGTCAGGGTCCGAGGCCGGTCCGTCCAGCTTGGGCGAGGCTGGTGCTCAGGGACCGTCCCTCTCACCCCGGGGCTGTGGCAGACTCCTGGCCCCGCCTCCTGGCGCCCACAGCTAGCCCCTTCTCCACCGTGCGCCTTCCCTCCCTGAGTGGGTGCCCGTCCTCCGGCCCGTGGGCTGGACTGCACCTGGGGGCTGGGGCGGTGGCCTCCCATGTCCGGCCGGGGTGGCCTGGGCTCGGTGTGCGTGTGGGGCCTCCGATGCCGCCTTAACTCAGCCCCAGCTGCAGAGGAAGATGGAGGAGCGCAGGCTGCGGCTCCAGGAGGCCGCCAACAGGTGCGTCCCTGCGGCCGCCGGGGCTCAGCATGGCTGGGAGGACTGGGGTGGGCCCCCAGCAGCCTGAGGCCACCCGGTCCCCCTCCCAGGAGGTTCTGCAGCCAGGTGGCCCTGACGCCGGAGGAGCGGGAGCAGCGGGCGCTCTACGCCGCCATCCTCGAGTACGACCAAGACCACGTGAGTCCTGGGGGGCGGCCCCGTGTTGTACGGCGGGGGCCGCGTGGCGTTGGATCTTTCCTGCACCCCAGGGAGCGCGTCGACAGTGTGGCCTGGTCTTTGGTGTGAAGCTGTGGCAGGGGCGGGGAGGGAGGAGGGGCGCCCCACGGCGGGGTCCCACCAAGCTCCGCTCCAAGGCCTGCCGTCCTGCAGGACTGGCCGAAGCACTGGAGGGCCAAGCTCAAGAGGAACCCTGGGGACCTTTCCCTGGTGACCAGCCTGGTGTCACACCTGCTCAGGTACCAGGACCCTCAGGCCCTTCCCCTGGCTGCCTGCGGCAGGGCTGGAAGGGGAAGAGGGGGAGGAGGCGGGCGTGGTCCTTCACGGGCCTCTGTCGGCTTCTCCAAGGGGCGGCTCAGACTTTGTTTGGAAAGAACACACCAGACGCCTCTCTGGACGGCAGCGCGGGGAGGGATCTGAGGGGAGCGCCAGCTTGCTCAGCCCCCAGGACAGGGGCCCGCCAGGGGCCGGGTCCCGGAGCTGCGCCCACACGTGCACCCCGCTTCCGCCTGCAGCGTTCCGGACCACCCCATCTCGCAGCTGCTGAAGAAGCTCCAGTGTGCCGTGTACCGGGCCCTGTACCCCATCGTGAGCAGGGGCGCCGTGGCTGCCTCAGCGCCCGGCTGCTGCTCCCTGCCCCCCGACGCCGACGGGCTGCTGGCGCCCGGAAGCCGGCGGCTGCGGCCCTCGCAGAGCCTCTACTGCATGCTGTCCCCTCTGGAGCCCACCCCGGCCCCACAGCCCCCTGACGGCCCCCCAGCCAGTCCCCCCGCACCTCCACTCCAGCCTGGGCTCCCCGACGGAGGGGTGGGCAAGGACAGCTCCTTCGAGGACCTGGAACAGTTCTTGACCACGTCTGAGAGGCGGGGCCAGGGCCCCGGGGGGCGGCCTGAGCCCCAGACCTCAGGGGTGAAGGAGGAGCCCTTGCTGGCACAGCTGAGGCGCACGGTGAAGGACATTCACAACGCCATCGGTGAGCGGCGGTCCCACGGGACAGCGGGCGGGTGCGGAGCCGCCCTGACTGCAGACAGGCCTGGGGGCCCTTCCTCTGGGCCGCAGCCGCCAGCACCGACCTAGAGCCCTGCCTCCCGGGCAGACGCCCACCTGCCTTGGGGAGCAGCCGGGCTGGCTGGGGGCCTGGCCCTCCCTCCGTCCCCGGCTGTGTGCTCAGGGGGCTGCCCACAGACGCAGCCTGGCCCGCGGCAGCCGTGCGGGGGAAGGTCTGCGCCAGAGCCCCTGGCAGCCGGCCTGCGCTCCAGGCCGCCGCGGGCTCAGCATCCTCCCAAGCCACAGACTGTCATGTGCCCGCAGCCTGGCGGTGACGAGGGGTTCACCCGCCAGCTTTTTCCACTTCGTGAACAGTGTGTGGGCTCCCTGAGGGTGGGGCCCTGGGTGGCCAGTGGCTTCCAAGTCCCTCACAAGGAGGAAGGTTTTCGGGGCTGAGAACCCGTGACAGAGGCCCACAGTCAGGCCTTTTCGTCATAGGGCCCCCCCGTCCCCCAGCCGGGCCCCTATCCTTCCGGGGTGGGTCCCCCACCTCCTGGGGCAGGTCCCCCTCACTCCCAGGCAGGTGTCCGTCTCTCTGGGCCGGAGGTTTCTTGTCTCCAAGTGTGTTTCTCAGGTTTCTCTGGGCTCCGGCCGCTTGGGGTACGAACCCTTTTCAGAAAGAGCCCCTTCTTACCTCCCCTTTCCAGGGCTGCCTCCTCGGCCCCCTGGGGTACTGGGCAGGACCCTGGGAGCCCCTAGGGACTAGGGACCAGCCCCTGGCTCTGAACCTGGACCGCATGGGCTCAGAGGGGGCTGGTGTGGAGGGAGGGCGAAGCAGACGTCCCTCCCCTACGGAGCCACACCGAGGCTGGCTCTGGGGGTGCGGAGGAGCAGGGGGGCGGGCGCTGGTCTGGGGGTGTCCAGAGGCCGCAAGCTGGCCCCACAGTGCCGTGTGCCGGCTCTGTCCCGGCAGACAGGCTGCTCTCGCTGACCCTCCTGGCTTTCGAAGGCCTGAACACGGCCGTCTGCAAGGACCGCTGCCTGGCCTGCATCGAGGAGCCCTTCTTCTCCCCGCTCTGGCCCCTGCTGCTGGCCCTCTACAGGTGCCGCCCCAGCTACAGGCCCTGGTGGGGTCCCCCGCAAGCCACGGCCCTTCCTCCCCCCGGGGCCGCTCCTGGCTGTACTTCCCTAGGGCTTTGCCCTGAGCACGGCCGCAGCTGTTTCCCGTCTGCACGTTGCCACATCGCCCCTGCCGTGACCCCGGACGCGGCCAGCTGCCCCCGCCCTGCCTCTGTGCCCGGGCAGGGCCCCTCGGGCCTCTGAGCCTGGCCTCTCTCGGCCCCAGGAGCGTGCACCGCACCCAGGAGGCGGCGCTGAGCAGGAGCATGGAGCTCTACAGGAACGCCCCGCCTGCCGCCCTCGGCATCCCCGGCCAGCTGCTCCCCCAGGGCCCCACGAGCCCGGGGGCCAGTGCCTACCCCTACCGGGCCGCAGCCCAGGAGCTGGGGCTGCTGGTCCTGGAGAGCTGCCCCCAGAAGAAGCTGGAGTGCATCGGTGAGGGGCGCTGGGAGGTGGAACGGGGACAGCACCCTGGGGCTTGTGTCCCTGACCTGGGGGCCGCAGGCCCTCGTCCAGTCGAACGGGTGTGTGTCCACGTCCGGGGCCGGGGTCAGCCGGGCTGCGGGCGGGCAGGTGCCGGCTGTCCCCGGGCCGCCCCCCGCCCCCGCCTCACCCGAAGCCTCGTGTCTGCGTGCAGTGCGGGCCCTGCGGGCCATCTGTGCCTGTGCCGAGGGCTACCACCGGGCCCAGGAGCCGGCCCCCGGGGCCGGAGCAGCGCCCAGCGCGGCCGCCATGTGAGTCCTGGGAGGGCCCGGGGGGCAGGAGGGGGCCGCCCGCTCTGCCTGGGCCTCGGGGCCGCCGCTTCTTGCTGCCCGCAGCTGGTCACCCCGGCACAGGGCCCGGCCCCACCCCTGGGGCCCACACGGCCCCACGCCTCCCCAGGTCAGGGCTTCCCCGAGGAGTTCCTGAGGGGCGGGGGCCCTCGGGCTCGTCGGATGAACCGTGGGGCTGCTCCCTCCAGAAGCAGGTGCACGGCCTCTCTGTCACCTGCGGGAGCTGCCCGGCTCAGGGAAGAGCCTGCTCCCTGCCCTGGGGCTCCTGCGCCCTCCCTGCCCCACCCTCCCCAGAGCCCGGGGCTCTGATGCCTGGTCCTGCCTCAGTTTCACCTGGACCTGCCTGTGGCCCACAGCCCCCTGCCCTGGCGCCCGCCTGGGGCAGGTGTTCCCACAGCACCGGCAGGGGCTCTGCCTCCCCCCACCTGCCGCACGGACCAGGGTTGTCCCGAAGGCGCCTGCCGTCGCAGCCAGACGGGCAGGCCGTGGCTCCTGCGCACGGCTGGGAGCCTGCGGGTGGCGGACAGGTGGCGGTCAGAGCGGAGTGTGTGGTCGGCCAGGCGGAGCTCCACCCAAGGAGAGAGACAGGCGCCCTGCCCCCGCCCAGAGCCAGTGGGCTGGGCCTTGGTGCAGGGCAGCTGGGGGCTCTGGCCGGGCCCCCGCAGCCCCAGCCCCGGTCGGCCACCTGGCCTCCCAGTGAGCAGCGGCAGCGGCAGGGGCAGGACCGCAGGGTTTCTTGGCCTGGCTGCGGCCAGCACTGGCTTCCCCCATGCGTGCCCGCCTGCCCCTGCCGCTGTGTGGTGCCCGGGCCACCCCATCGCCCTGCGCCCCAGCCTCCCCCGCCCGTCCTCCTCGGGGGCCTTCTGGGGGGCGGCCCGGCTGCCCCCGGTGCTCTGCGCCGGGCCGGGGGGCTGGGGCAGAGGGCAGCCAGCGAGCCTGGGGCCCAGGGCTGAGCTGAGGCTTCAGGGTCTGGCGACCGACCAGCCTGCCCCCGCCCGGCAGTGGTGCCGACGACCTCCTGCCCATCCTGTCCTTCGTGGTGCTCAGGAGCGGGCTCCCCCAGCTGGTGTCGGAGTGCGCGGCGCTGGAGGAGTTCGTCCACGAGGGGTAGGCTCGCTGGGCGGCAGCCGGCGGGCGCGCAGCTCCCCAGCCCCTCCCTGCCAGCCCTCGCTCAGCACGGGGCTGAGGCCGGGGAGAGGGAGAGGCCTGGGGCCAAGCCCTAAGCAGTGTCTGCGTGAGGGGTGGGCTGTCCCCACCTGGCCTCCAGGATAGCCCCTCTGGGACCCCAGCGTCCAGGTCCTGCCCGAGGGCAGATGCCCCTTCGAGAACTCAGGGCCTCCTCAGGTCCCCGTGGTGACAGGCGCCGCCTCCACACAGGTATCTGATTGGAGAGGGAGGCTACTGCCTGACGTCACTGCAGAGCGCCCTGAGCTACCTGGAGCAGCTGCCCCGGGGGGCCCTGGGCCGGGAGAGGAGGAGGGCCCCCGCCGAGGACTGTCCGGGCACCACCTGCACCGGGACTCTGCAGCTGTTGCCCCTTCCCTGACCCGACCTCTGTCCCCAGGCTGCTCCTGGCAGGACGGGGCTCAGCTGGGCCAGCTCCCAGGAAGCCGGCGCTTCCCTTCCCTGCCCACGGCCTGAGCGGCTGGGCTGGGAGCCGGAGGGGCGGGCTCCCCTGGGGGCACGAGGGCGCAGCCAGGGCGGGGGGCCTTGCGTCCCCTGGGGCGGCTCCCTGGGCCAGCTCCCTGTCTGAGTCCCAAGGAGAGCTTGTCCTTGTCGGCCCTCTGCCCTGGAGGACTGGGACCCGGGTGGTTTGAGACTGTACTGTTTATTTATTGGGCACTGACCACTCCCCCGCCCCCTGGGGGCCCAGGCGCCCCGGGGGCACTCGCCGTGTCTGGGGCCCCTGAGCCACACCCCCACCCTGGGCTGGGGTGTCACACGCCCTGCGGCAGGGTCCTGCCCCCCGTACATCCTTTTCTGAGTTGGTGCAAACCTGGGGGGTCAGTGCCTGCCTGCAGCCCACAGCCTGGCCTGGCTCTCTGTGTCCCCAGCAGCCACTGAGCTGGCTGTAAATAAAGAGGTCACCAACATCTCACCCTGAGTAGGTTGCTTGCTCCCCCCACACCAGCCGACAAGCAAGAGCCAAACTTCAGAGACCATGGTGGCACGCCCACCACACCAGGCCCGCCCCCCAGGCCCCCTGTGCAGGCCTGGGGGGGGCCCCCTGGGGCAGGGTGCTCTGCGGGGCGGGGGCGGGGGGGAGGTCGCACCTGGGCAGAACCTGATCCCACAGCCCTTGGCCTGCAGGGCTCTCAGGAATGTTTCTGCCCCAGGTGAGCAGTGGCACCTGCGGCTCCCAGAGCAGAGCGGCGGCCACTGCATGGGCAGTGGTGCCGGGAAGGAGGGGTCCCTGCAATCTGGGTGGCCAGAGGTGGGTAGCTGGGTCCAGCCACAGCTGACTCTCGTCCCGGGCGCAGGGCTTGGGTTCTTCGGGAAATGTTCCTACAAAACACGACCTGACCGTCACCAGCATTCAGTGGGCCAGAGAGTGTTCTAGGCCTTCTGCGGGTTCACCCCTCCGAGAGCGCCGGGAGCTAACTGAGCCATGGGGCAGTCAAGTGCCTTCCTGGTGACGGGGCTGAGTCTGAGCCAGCAGGACAGCTTTCAAGGCTAGTGGGCACCTGGGGCCCCTGTCCCATCAGGGTCCTTTGTGGGCTGGGTCCCCTGCCCACTAGCGCCGCAGGAACGGACAGACCTGCACCCACCCAACTCAGCTCACCCTGCCAGGTAAGGGGGAGGGTCCCGCCCCGCCAGAGGGGAGCCCCGCGGGTTCACGAGGAGCGCCCCCGAGGGCCCGGCCAGACAGCTGGGCGCGGCCGTCCGAGCTCCAGGGCTCTCCTCCTCGGTGGACAGGCTGCTGGGACATACCACCCACTTACGGCGCGCCCGCCCTGCCCGCTGTCTTCGGCGGGGGTCGGCCCTGAAGGGCACCGACGCCGGAGAGACAGGCGAGGAGGGGACACGCGGCTGGACAGTTGCCTCGCGCCAGGGCTCGGAGGGGCGGGGCCGCGGCCGCCCCCTCCGGGCGGTCCCCAAACCCGCCCCAATGGGATGGGCAGATCACGCCCCCGGTGGAGGCCACGCCCCGGGGCAGCCCGCGCAGGGCTCCCGTCAGCGCAACGAGGGGGCGGTGCCTGGTCGAAGCCCCACCCCGAGCGTCACGGCCGGGACCGAGGGGCGGAGCGGGCTCCCGGCGGAAGCGTCCTGCTGCGGGACAGGCCGGAGCTGAGCAGCGCGCGCTTGGGGACCCTTGGGGACAGACAGGTAACGGGGTCGCCCGCGGGGCTCACGGCAGGATCTGTGGCGTGGGGTTCTCCGCTCGGGAGCGGGGACTCAGCTGGGGGGGCGGGGAGCGTCTCCAGGAAGGGGGCCGCTGTGGCTGCCGCGGTGGCTCAGATGACGAGGTCGCGGGTCTGGAGCGGGGCCGGGGATGCCGGGTGCGGTCTCGGGGCTCGCGGCTGGCGGGAGGGGTCCCTGGTTCCTGAAGCCCTGCCCCGCCTCCAGGATGGGCAGCCGCTCGCTGTCGGAGGACTACCGCCTGTGCCTGGAGCGCGAGCTGCGGCGCGGGCGCGCGGGCGTGTGCGGGGACCCGTCGCTGCGCGCGGTGCTCTGGCAGATCCTGGTGGAAGACTTCGACCTGCACGGCGCGCTGCAGGACGACGCGCTGGCGCTGCTCACCGACGGCCTGTGGGGCCGCGCCGACCTGGCCCCCGCGCTGCGCGGCCTGGCCCGCGCCTTCGAGCTCCTGGAGCTGGCCGCCGTGCACCTCTACCTGTTGCCCTGGAGGAAGGAGTTCACCACCATCAAGGTGGGCGCCGGGCCGAGGGCCTTCCTTGCGCAGGCGTTGGAGATGAGGGATTCCAGGGGCCCTTGGCCTCGGGGCTCAGAGCGCGCTGAGGGTCCTGCCTGCGGTGGGGCGGCTCCGGGCCGAGGCCTCCGTGGGCGATCCCGGCGCTGAGAACACGGGCTGGCTGCGCGTCCTGCCCCCTTCGAAGCCCCATCACTGCCCTCCCCAAAGCGGCTTTGCTGCCCCGGTGGCCGTAACAGTCCTACGACGGGCGCACAGGGGCCACTTGAGGGCCATGGTTACCCTAATGTGTCCAGGGTGTGGGCTGGTCCCATTTATTGAGAATGAAGCCAGGTGGGTGCACCCCAATGAAGCGGGCGGGGGCGGGGGGACCAGATGGGCGCGAACCTCTGTCACCCCTCAGCCCAGGTGTGAACTGGCCCCAATAGGTGCGCTGCCGTCCAGCAGGAGGGGGCAGGCCCTGTTCTTAATTTAGCCGAGTGGGAGGGTGATGTCGTCACTGGGCGTGTGGGCGAAGTGCCTCTGCCAGTTGCCATGGCAGCGGCAGCCTGGAGAGGTGTGCTCCGGAGCCCACGGCTCACGGAGGACACCAGCTGGTCCGAGGTTGTGGGACGTCATTCATCTGTTCAGAGGGCGAGGCGGGGGCGTGGGGCCACGCAGGGCCAACCCTGGGGGCTTGAGGCGCCCCTGGGCCTTAGCGTTGGGCCAGCCTGGGTGAGTCCGGTTCTGTCTCATCCTGGCTGTGTGGCTTTGGGCAAGTTCCCCAATCTCTCCAAACCCATTTTCCAAACAGACTCAATAATCCAGCTTTAGGGCCACTTGTGAGGGGAGGGCGAAGCCCCGGGGCCCTGCCCGCGCGCGGTCGCCCTTCACAGAGCTGACAGAGGCTGTGGCCCGCAGGAGCCCGCAGTGCTCACAGGCCCCCTCTGGACAGCCCGCAGCCGGAAGGCAATGAGCAGGGCCCCCTCGGTCCCGACGTGGGAGCCAGAATGTACGCATTTCTTCCACTGTGGGGCCTGGGACCGCCCCAGTCAGAGTCCCGGGGGGCCCGGTCAGCACAGGGAGGGTGGGGGCCTGGAAGCGGGCCCTGGCTGGGGGCGGTGCTGGGCTGCTGCTGACCGGGCCCTCCCTCGCAGACGTTCTCAGGGGGCTACGTGCACGTGCTGAGGGGCGCGCTGTCCGAGGACCTCCTCGTCCAGAGCTTCCAGAAGATGGGCTACGTGCCTGGGGACAACCACTGCCTCATGGTGACCGCCCCGCCCCCTGCCTGTCAGCTGGTGCAGGTGGCCCTGGGCTGCTTCGCCCTGCGGCTGGAGTGTGAGATCCTGGGCGAGGTGCTGGACCAGCTGGGCACCAGCGTGCTGCCGGCCGAGGCGCTGCTGCAGGCGCGGCGGGCCAGCGTGGACGTGGCCTCCTGCGTGGCGTGGCTGCAGCAGAGGCTGGCCCGGGAAGAAGAGCCGCCGCCCCTGCCCCCCCGGGGCTCCCCGGCGAGGTTCCGGGCCCAGCTGGACCTGTACCGGGACCTGCAGGAGGACGAGAGCTCGGAGGAGGCCAGCCTGCACGGAGGGTCCTCGCCAGGCCCCAGCTCACCCTCCCCAGAGCCGGCCTACCGGCCGCTGCCCTGGGAGCAGAGCGCCAGACTGTGGGGCGCGGGCGGCGAGGCCTGGGGGCCGCTGGAGGAGGCCGCGGGGCCGCAGCGGGCCAGCAGCCCGCCCTACGGGGCCTTGGAGGAGGGAGAGCTGGGGCCTGAGGCCTTCTCGTTCCTGTCGCTGCGTCAAGGGTTGCTGAGCCAGCCCGGGGACCCGGCTGTCCCCCCAGGCCCCAGCAGCCCCAGGCGGGCCGGCCCCCAGCGCGTGCCCGGGCCCGTCCCCACATCCCCAGGCTACCAGGCACACGGCTGCCTGGCCCCTGGCGTCCTGCCCACCTGCTGCTGCCACACATGCCGCCAGCTGCACGCCGCCCACTGCGCGGCCCTGCCTGCCTGCCGCCGGGGCCACGAGCTGCGTGCGCTGCTGGGCAGCACCCAGCAGCGCCTGTGGCTGCAGCGGGCAGAAGTGGACACCCTGCTGTGCGAGGGCCCTGGGGCCCGGCCGTAGGCCCACCCAGCCAGGCCCCGGCCCCTCCCAGTGCCTCGTGGTGCTTCTCTGGCCCTCCCCCTCCTCAGGCCCAGGCCACTGCTGCCCTGGGCGCAGGGGAGCATCCTGGGTGCCGCAGGAGGGCGTGGGGCGCCCAGCCCGCAGGCAGGAGGCAGGGCCTTGCCGCCCCTCCACCCATGCCCTCAGCACCCAGACCCGCGTGTGCTGGGTGCAGGAGTCTGGCCTGTCTGGCCTTGTCAGGGCACCGTGTCCCCAGGGAAGGCCCCACCCCCTGCATGGTGGGGGTCCACCTGGCAGCCTGGACCTCCCAACTCCTGCAGGTTGAGGCCTGGAACACGCAGCCTCCCAGTGACGGGGGACCCGGGGGTGACACCGTGGGCCTGAGCACAGTGGGCCCATCTGAGGTCCTGCCCCAGCCACAGCAGAGGAGAAGTGACCAGGCCGCATGTCAGGGTGTAGAGGCGCCAGGGGCCATGGAAAACAGGCAGCAGCAGGCGGGGCCGAGGGCCTGTGAGGCCACTTCTGGGCACCAGCACTTGGCTGGGCTCCAAGGCCAAGGGGGGCAGGTGCGGCCCCTCTCATGGGTCCCGGGAACCGTGCACTCACAGGACTGGAGGGCGGCGGGGTGCCTGCCTGTGCCCACCCTCCGTCCCGGCCCCTCACGGCCCGGGGCTGGGCGTCACGCACATTAAAGGACATGGAACCAGCCGGCATCCGTCTGGAGAGCTTTTATCTGAGTTCTTGTGGCGCTGACCATGTGACTGGCCCGTGGGGCTCAGGCCCCAACCCAGGGCCTTGCTCTGGGGTCCCAGCGGTCACGACCCAGACTGCAGTCACCGAGCCCCGCCAGCCCTGCCCCTGGGAAGCCTGGTGGCCTGGGGAAGCCACACACCCGAGGCCTGAGGTGCCCTCTGAACTCCGAGGAGCCAAGGGCACAGCAGTGGGCAGGCCTGGTGCGGCCACCAGGTATTGCTGCCCAGCCCAGCCCGGGGGCGGGGGGCGGCCTGGGGGCGCATCACCCACATCGCCCCGCTGTTCTGGGGCCGTGGCAGGTGGCGGCAGTAGGCATCCGTGCGGTCAGCTGAAGCCGCAGGTGCGTCCCGCTGTGGTCTCGGGCCTGTTGGCCTGGCTGGCAGGGGCCGCCCGTGGTCAGGGCCTGCCGCGCTTGCTCTGGCTGTCGGAGGGGGCCGGGGCGGCCCGCTTGTTGCGGTGGTGAGGGAAGGTGGGCATGAGCTCGGGCTCGCAGGCTGCAAGGAGGGGGCTGTCAGCAGTGGGCAGGCGCTGAGCCCCGCCCGCGCCTGCGAGGGCCCCTCTGCTCCAGCGCTACGGGCGGCAGGCAGCGTCTGTGGCCAGGGCCCCACCTGGGTGGGTCTGGGCTGGGAGCCACCTCACGTCACAGGCTGGGGCTGGAGGAGCTCCCCAAGGCTGACCCGAGACCCACGAGCTGGGCAGAAAGGCCTCCCACCGAGAGCTCTGCTGACCGAGCCCCGGGTCCCGGGGACTCACGCAGGGGCTTCTCCTTGAAGTAGGAGCTCTCCAGGCAGTCTCCAGCCGCCGCCCTGCGGGACAGCCGCTGTCAGCGCGGCCCCGGGCCCCGGGGAGGCCGTCCCCTCACACCGCGCCCGCTCGGGCCGCCCCTGCCTCCCAACTCTCAACGGCAGGGGTGGGTGGGGAGGAAGGGTCTGGGGATCCGTGGCCCGAGTGGGCAGAGGCCCGACCGGGGCGCCCAGCCCACGCTGCACTCGTCTGGGGGGGCGGCCCGGTCTCTGCTCTGAGAGACCCTCCTCTGAGGCCTGGGGCAGGTGCCCGCAGGACCGCACCTTTTCTTCGGGTCATACATGAAGAGCAGGTTCAGCAGGCGCAGGCCGGCCTCTGAGAGCCACGGGAACTTGTGCTTCAGGTTGTTGTACGGCTGCTTCCGCAGGCTGTACTGGCTGGCCAGCGGCAGCTTGGAGAAGCCCTGTGGGACACAAGGGCTGGAGCGTGGGGCCCGCCCGGCCGGCGGGCAAGGCGGGGGCTGGGCACTCACCGGCCAGATGTTCTCGCTGGGCGTCCCCAGCAGCTGCACGATCAGGTCCACCTGGTGGATCTCCGAGGTGCCGGGGAGGAGGGGCTTGTGGGCCAGCAGCTCGGCCAGGACACAGCCCAGGGCCCTGTGGGGCGGGGCGGGGCGGGGCGCGGCATGGCCTCACACACCTGCCCGCGCCCCCAAACGTGGCCCACCGAGGGCCAGCTCTGCCCTGCGCCTCCGTGCCCTGGGGACGGAGGACGGGGCTGAGCTCCAGCCGACGTCACAATGGCACGGCCACACGGCTGGGTCCCACAGCCTCCCTGGGGGACCTCGGTGCCAGGCGCCCACACATGCTGTGTCCCTGCACTTCCTCTCGGGACCCCACGTCCTCAGGAGCTGGGAGCACAGACAACGGCCTACTCTGTCCCCAGCGGCTCCACATGACCTGCCCTCCCCCGCCCGCCTGACACCTCACCACATGTCGATGCTGGTGGTCTGCGTGGTGGCTCCCAGCAGCAGCTCAGGGGCTCGGTACCTGCGCACAGACGTGCCCCCTCACGTCCCGCAGTTCCTGGGCCTCCCCGGGCACAGCGGGTCGGTGCCGCCCTCCTGCCAGCCCCCCTGGACAGCAGGGTTGCCAAGGCCACCGGGACCGCCCCTCCCTGTGGAGCTCTGCCCAGGAGAGCAGCACCGTGGGGACAGCCGATGTCGCTGCAGGCTCCTGGGGGCACCCCAGGCGCGCTGGGCCCTGGGTCCTCCCGTTTCACGGATGGGGCAGCGTGACGCACAGCAGGAGGCCTCTGACGCCCGTGCCCCCCGACTCTTCAGGCAGGGCAGCGACCGCCCTCCTCCAGGCGGCGCCAAGCCAGGCGGGCACCGCCCCAGACCCTGCCCCAGACACGCCTCCCCAGCACACCGGGTTCCTAGGGACTCACCACAGCGTGACCACCTTGGGTGTCATTGGCTTCACTGGGATGCCGTAGGCCCGGGCCAGGCCGAAATCCGCTGTGACAGACGCGAAGGAGGCATGTCACCCAGGGAGGGCTGGTGCCTGTAAGGACAGGTCTGCCCCCCCGCCGCCGGCCGCACGGAGGCGTGGCCGCAGAGCCAGCCCCGCACCCACCTGTCTTCACGCAGCCCTTATCGGTCATGAGCAGGTTGGAAACCTTCAGGTCCCTGTGACAGAAAGCGGACGTCAGGGTCCTCGGGGAGTGGGATGCGTGGGGGCAGCTGCCCGTCACCGTCCTGGTGACTCTCAGAAGACTATTCCACGTCTCCTCCTGCGGGGACTTTGTCAACAAGAGGCAGGGGCAGCCCAGGCACGTGGCAGCTGTGGGAGGAGGCGCTGGGGCCAGGCCTGACCCTGCCCTGCCCCCCCAGCTCAGCACAAAGCGTCCTGGCACAGGAGCACTGCCCGCACAGCCCTGCTCTGGGCTCGGGACGTCCCGTGTCCCGCCCCCACAGTCGGCCTTTCCTGCGTGGGCCACGGGACCGGGGAGGCGACCCGGGCCCCAGCTTGCACTTGCCCCGCCCACCCCCTGCGGGGAGGCCAAGCACCAAGAGCCCCTACTGCACCGAGGCCGCGTCCGCGTCCGCTCCCGCTCCCGCCCGGAACCACGGGCACCAGCGGTCAGAACTGGTGGCCACACTTCCCACCTCGGGAACCGGCAGAATGCCTGAGGCCCCGCCCCCCGCCCCCCCCCAGCTCCCTGAGGTCCCGCCCCTCTGGGCCTCCAGAGCCCCCACCTGTGGATGACGAAGTTTCGGTGCAGGTAGTGGAGGCCCCGCAGCACCTGCAGCACAATGCACTTCACCTGTGCCAAGGGCCGGACAGTCAGGCGAGCCCTGTTTGGCTCAAACATGCTGGACAAGGGCCCGTGAAGGCCGCCCCCACGCCCCGCCCCACATACCTGGGCCTCCGAGAAGGGCGTTGGCATGTTCTCCAGAAGGCTGGCCAGGTCCTGCTCACAGTAACCCATCACCAGGAAGATGCTGGAGGAACAAAGGGGGGACCCTGCTGCCTCCCCGGTGCAGGCTGGGCGGCGGGCCCCACAGGGCCCCACGGGAGGGCCCCCAGACCGCTCACCTCTCCAGGTGGCTCCCCACAACCACCTCCTTCAGCTCCACGATATTCGGGTGGCGCAGGCGGAGGAGCAGCGTGATCTCGCGCAGGCTGCTGATGGGGACCCCTGCGCCCGGACACGCCTGAGAGCCCGTGCCCGCAGACGGCACCCCTGCCCCCAGCCCCGCAGCGATGCCTGCCCTGCCACCGCCGGGCCCGACCCCTAGCTCGGGGGGTCACAGCCGTCCGGACGGGCTCCTTGAACCCCGCCTTCCTCCATCAGGTGCGAGGCGGCGGCCCTCTGCAGGGACCAGGGCACAGCCCCCCCACCCCCCGCAGCCGGGGAGCAGTGGGGCGGCGGGCAGGGAAGGCCCTGGGTGGGCTGGGAGCCCAGCCCCCCTTCAGAGCCCAGCCCCCTTCAACCACCACGCAGACGTCCTGGGCAGGGCTGCCGTCCGCTCTGCGCGCCGCGGGTCCCATCCTAAGGGGGCCCCGGTGAACCTGCGCCTTTCTGTCCCTCTCACTCCGAGCTGGACGGGGCCCAGCACCCTGCCCCGCTCACCGTCCTTCTCCTTGTCCATCCGCACTTTCTTCAGCGCGACAATCTCGTCGGTCTGCGTGTCCCGGGCCCGATCTGGGACAGAAACTCATCCATGACGGAATCCAACCCACCCCCGACCGCACATTCTTGTGCCACACAAGGGCCTCTCCCTGAGACCTGGGGCTTCCCTTTCTCCTCCTCTTTGACAACCAGCTGCCCAGCGACACTTCGTCCTCACTCTGCAAGCCAACACCTGTGGCCCCACCAGACACGGGCTCCCTTTGCGCTGGGTACAGGGTGCCTGGTTGTGAGAAGCTCCCTTAAGTCTCCCTCTCAGAGTCAGCATGCAGACCACTGCTTGCTGTTCTGTTGTGCTGTGTTCTACACCAAATCAGGTCCTTCATCCAGATAAGAGAACCCTCCTTTTGCACAAAGACGGCTCCCAAAGCACCGTGCTGGTCTGTGAGGCTTCCCGGCTGCAGCAGTGGGACGCGCTCGGTGTCACAGCGGCTGCGGCTCTGGCTGCCACGGGAGGCGAGCCATCCGACATCCACGGTCACTCAGACAACCACTCGAGCAGGCCATTGCCCCGGCCCCTCCCCGCCCTAACACAGCTACTGCGGGACTTTCCCGGCTCCTGGCCTCCCGTCTCAGCCACTCACACACGATGCCGTAGGTGCCTTCCCCGATGCGGTTCAGCTTCTCAAACTCCTTCACGCTCCGGCACCGTCCCAGCTGAAAGAGAGAGGCGCTGGCAGGGCGAGGATTTGGCAGCTAATGGGACAACTGAAGGTGGTGGTTCACACTTAGCTTGTACTTCCTACGTCTCACTCGCCACACAGCAAGGCAACCACACGCTGGGGCTTTTCGGACGAGGAGAAGGGAATGACACTGGGCCAGACGCTTTGAGGGCAACGCCAAAGACGGCCCGGCCGCTCCCTTCCAACCCCGTGGTCCGGACACACGCTGCCTAGCGGTCGCCACCGGCTGGCCGCGGTTCAAGGGCAAAGCTCAGCTCGTCGGCCGCGCTAGCCAGCCACGGGTGACGGGTTCAATGGCCCCACATGGCTCATGGTGACCACTCCGGGCGATGCAGGAAACAGAACAATTCCATCGCCATAGAAAGTCTACCCAGCAGCACTGGTCTAAAGGATGCTCTGCAGGTGGCAAAAGCTTCCAGATCCTCATTAAGTGTCTACCAGACAGAGTAGCCATGCCTCTGTCCCTACCAGGCAAACAGGGCCCCTTCCTTGGAGCTATGGAACGCTGCTCGGTGGCAGGCAGCCATGCAGTTGGTGGCCATTCCGCAGCTTCCCTCGTCGTTGGTATGACCGTGTGACTAAATTCTGGCCAACAAGGGGCCACCCGGGAGCTTGGCCCACCTCGGGGAAATCAGCTGCCTCTCTCCGAAGGTTCAGGGACGGAGGAATGGAGCCCTTGATGCAGCCCCTCTATTTTCGGGTCTCTGTCCCAGCAGACAGCTTTGCACACCAACACCTACGCGATGTGCACAGAGCGAGCGCTTTTCCTGCGTCTAAGCAGCACGGCTGCGAGGCTCCAATGCGGACAGCGCCCCTCTGGCCTCTTAGCTTCTTGTACCAACCCTCGCCCTCCATGTCGTTCCCGCCTGACTCCTGGGGAACCAAGTGGCCTGGACTGAAGACCCTCCCATGAGCTCAACCTCCCTTTCCTGCCCAATTCCCTTCCTCATTCTCCTCCCTGCGACTTTGCCGCTCCCTAAATCTGGCCTCCTCACTTGTGTCCAAATCCTACCCTTTCCTCAGTTTCTCCCAGGCCCCCAAGTGGAAACCATCCTCTCTGAAATGCCTGTAGTTTTGTCCTGAAGCATCTGCTTTTGCGCACGTTGCACTGTCCTGGTCAGTGTGTGTCTACCTGTCCTTTGAGGGCTGGGTCCCCAGCACCGCGCCAGGAACGGGTGGCGGCTCTGAGAGAAGCGCGGCCGGCCAGTGGGGGCTGGGGGGCTGCTGGCGCTCACTCGGCCACAGTCCGCTACTATCCGACTGGGCGCAGGCCTTGGCCCTTCGGAGCACCGAGTCGTTAAGACACAATCCAGCCGCCAGGGTTCGGAACTGTCCCTGCACGAGCTGTCAGAAAAGTCGCTCAACGCCCCTGGCCTTCACCTCCCTCCTCTCTAGAGAGGGGGCAACGACACCGGCAGACGCCCCGGGGCCGCCGGGCCGATCACTCGCAGCCCAGGGGAGGCCACTCCTCCAAGGCTTCCCACGGGTATTCCCTCCTCCGACTCAAGGGGCTCCTGGGCGCCGCACTAAAACCTTTGAGGCGCTCCAGCCTGGAGCCAGCCCTTCTCGAAAAGGCCCGCGGCTGACGAGCGGGCCCGCCCCTTCACGCCCCAAGGGAGGCCGCCGGCTTCCCCGCCTGCCGCGAAGCACTCTGGGACTGTCGTTTCCGCCTGTGCCGGAAACCTCGGCGATTTAGCACGACATCGAAGGCCCGGAGCGTTTCGGCCCCGCCCTGCCGCCGGCGCGGGCGGGTCTACCTCGAGCGACCCCCGGATCGCACCCTGTGTTCTGGAGGCACTGTGAAGAAGCCTTCCTTACGGATACACTTCAGACGGATCTGCTCCGCCTCCGGCTCAGGCTCGCCCATGCCGAGCGCAGCACCCACTTCCCGATGCGCAGGCGCAGACGGCGTTCCTCGGCGCAGGCGCGTCCCTACTTCCGGGGGGGGCGTTCCGCCTTTGGCAACGGTTACCAAGGAAACCGGAGATCTCAGAGGATTCAGTCCCCTTGATGCGCTTGGACTGTTGAGATTCGCGCCCTCTTTCAATTTTAAACGCGTTATCTGACGCGGCAGGGGCGCTGGTGAACGGCCGCCGGAGGAGGGCAGGCGTCTGCGAGTGTCGCGGGGCCCGCGGCTCCTCTCTCGGCGGCGGGAGGTGGGCGTCTGAGCTCGAGCCCGGGAGCGCGACTGGCGCCCGGAGACAGGGCTCGGTCCGCGGCTGCGGGGACGAGCCGGGCTGCACGCGGCGGCGGCGGGGCCGGGTCCCCGGATGCGTGGCGCTGGGCGCTCGGCCTCGGGGTTCGTAAGGCGGCTGCGGGCAGGCGGGAGGCCCTTGGAGCCGATGGCGTGGGAGCTGCGCGGGGGGCGCGGTCCGGGGGCCGAGGAGGGCTGCCGGGGCTAAATTAATGTGAACGTAAGTCACGACCCTGCTCAACTATGAAATTAATCAAGTGAGTGCGTCAAAATCCGTTGTTCCCATTTAAACTAATAAATCGTTCTAACCTTGTAGTAGCTCATCTTTAATACTATGTTAGTTTCAGGCGTGTAGCTCGGTGGTTAGACCTTTATGTAACTTAAGTGATCCCCAGATACGTCCATTCCCACCTGGCTCCCTCCCCCGTTACTGCGGCGTACTCCGCGTTGTACGTCCGTCCCGGGACTGTTCCGTAACTGCACACGTGGACCTTTTATTTTTTTAACAGAAAGCATTTGTTTACTTTGACTACAAGCCAAACACCACGCATAAGTATTTGTAAGACAGTTGGGCTCACAAAAGGGAAGAACTTCCTGATCCTACCCGTAACCCTCCAGAGACTGCTTTATGAAAAGACGGGATGAAATCCAGAGGTGTGTCCGTCCCCTAACAGCCAAACCGGGAGGTGAGCCTCTGTGGTCGGAGTCGTTCTGGCTGGCGACACGTTTGCGCCCAGCTTCGGGATCTTCTCCAGTGAGGGCGCCTGTTCCACAGGTGTCAGTGTCAGCTGTTGCCCAGAAGGCGGCGCCTGGTCGCGAGCTTTCCAGACTCTCCCCCAGGTGACAGCCCAGGCGTCTGCCTGTCCTTGTCCTCCAGGAGTTTGCCCCAGAGAAGGCCCCGATCCGCGCCCCCGGTCTCTTCACCTTCCCCCCCAGCCCCGACCTCCCCCGCAGCCCTCAGTTCACTGCAGCCTTTGGAATTCGTTCCTAAGCTGATAATGAGGTTAGAATTAGCCCCGCAGTAAAGACAGTTTTTTGATTCCCACGCTCAGGGCAGGGGTGGGAGGGCTACTTCTAGGTCCAATAATAGAAATGCAACGGCTGCTAGAAGCTCTGTGGAGCAGGGCAGGCGTGCTGACCCCACAGGATCAAATCCACATTTGTGTGCGCTTGATTTCTCTGTATATATAGTTGTAGCAGAATGCATAAATAAATAGATGAAATATAGTGACGCTAACAATGTGTTAGTAAATAATGTCAAAGTGAGACTTATTTCTCTGGTTATACTGAAACTAATCAATTGGGAGTCAACTCTACCATTCAAGTGAAGGGAACATAACCCTCATCGACAGAAGTAGGAACTGTGTGTGCAGTTTGCCCCATTCTGCAAACTAAGCGCTAATGCAGCGTCACCAGCCACCCCTGAGCACTGCTGGCCGCGGGGACGACTTGGGGGTCCCCTGGAGGGGTGCCCTCGTTCACAGCCAGGAGGACGGGGAGTGTCAGCTCCACTCTCCTCTCTCCGGGGCAGCTGGGACAAGGCTGCTTCCAAACGTCCCAGTGCACAGCGGCCACACCTCCTGTTCCACATTCTGCTTGTGCGTTCTTAGTCCCCTGGGTCAGGTTACAGCCAGGCCAGGAGCCTTCGGGCCTTAAAGTTCAGCACTCGGAGCCCTCAGCGCCCCCCCCCCCACCTTCTTTCCAAGGGTGGGGCACCTCGTTCCCCACAACCGCCAGGAGTCACGCACGCGCCTCAGAGTGAGGACTTGAGCCGTCTCTGGGAGTTGGAGGGAGACATGCCGCCTGCTGCCTCTTCATTCCTCTGCACCAGCATCCATTCCAGCAGGGGATGAGATTTATTCATTTACTTAAGAGTCACTCTTGCCCTCAACCAAGCTGCCAGCAGCTCTGGGGAAGGGGGGGACCCTCACCTCCGGAAGGGGCACCCGCAGCTTCCCGTGGGGCAGGGTGGCCCCTCTGCCATTGCCGCTGAGGCTCAGCGCAGGGGTGAGCACAGCTGCTCGAGGGTCCGTTCATTTGTCGCTGTGCAAGGCGTAGGCGTCTACAGTGCTGGGGTTCCTGTGCCGGGCATAGGGTCCCCGCTCCGGCTGCTCCTGAATGGTCCTCTGCTCCACGGTGCCGATGCTGCCGTCACTGAAGGCCTCGCTCGAGGCCCTGGTGATGATGATCTGCGGGAGGACAGCTTTCTCCTGGATCGGCTTGACCTGCGCCTCAGGTTTCTTGGAAGGAAACATCCAGGTGCTCGGTGAGTCTGGAAAAGCAGACACCGTCTGGGTTAGTGCCAAAGCACAGGGATTAGATTTGGGTTCAAGAAAAAGAAACAGGCAGGACTGAGAGCCGTCAAAACAGTACACGAACATTCCAAAGCTTAAAACTAGACACCCTCTTTCTAGGACAAAAACAGGATGCTTGTGCCACCCACCACGGAGCCATTGAGCTGCCAAAGGCTCAGGTGACAGGCCTCGGGAAGGCAGGTGTGCCCCAGGGGTGAAGGTTCAGATGCACAGTTTCCAAGGGATTCCAAGCTGCGCGGAGCTTGGTCAGAATGCTGCAGAAACGGCCATGTCTGATGTTGGTCACATTGTTTTTTAAACTTGTTAAGGTGACAAGGCATGCACGGACCTTGCAAGTTCTCAGTTGGTACAAAATACAGAGGCGGAAGGCCTTTCACTGCCTCCAGTGTGCGGCACGTCCCTTCGTGCCTCTGCGCGTGCGTGGACGTGAGTAGTCGGAAGCCTCCCCTCATCGCGGGCCTGTACCGGGCGGCTTTGCAGCGTGCTTTGTTCCCCACCAAACCCTCAAGGGACACGTAGTTGCCTGTTCGCGGCCCCAGACTGATGACAGCGAACAGGGACCCACGAGAAGCTCGTGAAGTGCGTCTTCTCGTGACCTCCCTTGTGCGGATGAGGGAGCTGGGGCCCAGGAAGTTTGTCTCCCCTGCCCGAGGCTGGTGGCAGAGGGAGGTGCTGGAGCCTGGGCATCAGGTCGAGAGCCTCACTGCACCTCAACGTTGATCGACCTTTGATCTTTTTAACCACCGTCGCGTGACTGTGCCTGCACTGGGCACTGAGAGTACCCTTCCTTTTTATTGTTAAGCCACTTTCATCCTATTCTGCGTAACTTCAATTGGGAAGTTAAAATTTTTACATTGATTCATACCAGCTTTTTATACACGTTAAGACGAAAGGTTAGGAATATTTCATTTAAAGTAACGAGTTGATTAGAAATTGCCTACAGAAGGGTCCTTCCCCTCGCAGACACGTCCTGCGTGCCCACGGATGTAGCTGGGGGGGGCCGAGGTCACAGGCGGGGGGCCTCGCCTCGCCGCTGAGCTCGCGGCTTGGCTGGGCCCCCCGCCCCACACACAGGGTGTCCCTGCGCCCTCGGGCATCTGCACGTACAGGGGTTCCCCATGGACTTGCCTATATTCCGTGTTTTGTGTCAGGCATAATCCACACAAGAGAAAATGCACTGCTCTTAAGTGCTCGGCTGGATGAGTTTCCACAACTGCATCCACCGGTGTAACCAACAGGACGCAGATGTCCCATCGCCCCACAGAGTTCCCGCAGGCTGGCTTCCAGGCAGCCCGCCCCCACCCCGGGCAAGCCCAGGCCACGGCCACTGTGGTTTCTGTCCCGTTGTACCAAGGCTTAATCTCAATACTTAGATAATACACAGAGCTCTGGGCTTGCTGGGACCCTCCGTGTCCTTGAAGCTGTTGTGGCATTAGGTTAATTCAAGAAACTTAGACTTCCAAAAGAGTGGAACTTTCCCAAATCGAGTAGGGAAGTTCCTTAGCTTTAAAAACCCATGTAAAAGCAAATGCTCGCGTCCCCGTGGCAGACCACGTTTGCTCCTGGTCCCTGGACGCTGCTCTCCGGCCGGCCTCCAAGACCGGCTACTCGCCTCATTCCATGGAGTCTTGTCTGGCTTTACACAGTCTCTTCGCAGCATTGAACACTTTTGACTAGTCCTCCTTTTTTTTTTTTTTTAAATAGCTTTATTGAGGAACAATTTACATACCACAAAACTCACCAGTTTAAAGCATACAATTCCATGGTTTTTGGTAAACTTTCATAGATGGGCAACTGCCAATGTAGTTTTAAGATCTTGTTTCCCTTTGCGGCCAATCTGCATTCCTACCCTTCGCTCGGGCTTCCCGCTCTATACGTTTACCTTTTTGGGACACTTCCCATAAATGGGTAATAGCATAGGTGGCCTTTACACGCGGCCCCTTGCCCTCAGTGCCGGCTTTGGGGACGGCCGGCCGTGTGGCCCAGCCCGCCGGGCAGCTCGCCCCTGTGGTGCCGAGACACCCATCACAGGGAGACACCATGCTCTTCAGCTTCCTTGAAACTTCAGCCTCGCTTACTCTCTGACCTTCCCCCTGTGTCTGTCTTCTCTGCACCCTCTGAAGTGACGGTGTGACGGACACCCTGGGTGCCTTTCTAACAGGCAGCCCCCCAACAACACCGTCCTTTGCAGGTGGAGGTCCAGCCCTGGAGTCTGCGGGTGAGCCCGCCCTGGACGTGTTGGGCAGGTGAGGCCTGCCAGGGGCAGGCTCTCCTTGCTGATACGAAACGAGAAGCGCCTCTCACGGACGAGACGCCGTCCTGTGTGTGCGCGACACCGGAGCGGCCCAGAGACCCGGGCCCTGGGCCTGCGGGCCGTGCTGCCGGTCAGCGGCTGCGAGCGCCCCGCCTCTGGCCCTTCCTTCCTGGGGAGACGTCCCACCCCTCGGCAGTGAAGCCACGTCTGGCTGGCTTTTCCGGGACTTGCAGCCGAAAGCCTCCTGGCGGACATGGAGGGTCCTCCGGGCCTCCTCCCGGCGCCTCGGGTCCCTCCTGCCACCGCCCGCCCTACATGGGGTTGGGAGTCCAGGCCCTGCTCTCCAGTCCAACAGCCTCGCTGCCAACTGCCTCCTGCCCGTCGCGGCCCCGCAGATGCCTCCCTCTGAACCCCTCTCCCCGCCAGGCCAGGGGTCCTGAGCCAGCGACGACGCAGCCTCGCGGACACCGCCGCCCGCCTTCCCGGCTCCGTTCCCCTACATCTCATCCCGCAGCAGGGCCCACGGGTCTTCCTCCCGGATCCCTGGTGGTCCCGATGGCCACTCCCTCATCGGCGTCTCCCCAGCCGCAGCAAAGGGCCTGTGCCACGTGACGGGCCTCCTTGCTGCCCCAAACAGCCTTCACTCTGGACACAGATTTTTCCAGCAAACTCCATGACATGGCCCTTGTCTTAATGTCCACAACCCACATGATAGAACTGACAGAAGACGGCATCCTCTGGCTGCTTCTGTGCCCTCATCCCCCGGTCCACATGGAAACATCTGGCCACCCTGGGCTGTGACGAAATGAATACATTTGCCAAACTGTGGCAGCCCTTTGTCCCACCGAGGCTCTGCCCCCTCGGCGTCCCTTCGCCCACCGTGCGTCCACCCGCTGCGATGGCAGCGGTGCGCTTGGTGTCTGCGCACTAAGCCCCTCTGGACTCTGTTATGTGTGTATCACTTGGCAGCTTCTCTCAACCTTTACTGAACTTGTATTTCCACCTACAGTTCCGGATCTTCCCCTCCTAGGTAGGGCCCTAGGCCCTTCCGCCATCACCCCCTGCGTCCAGGATCCCCCACTTCTGCTTCCGTTGACTCCACCCCCAAGCTCCTGGAAGCTGCAGCCTCGGGCCCCGCCCCCTTCTGGGTGGGTCCTACCTTTGACTCCAGCTGCCGAGCACGGCTGCGCGGCTGCCCCTTTCTCCCGAGAGCAGCCCTCGGCCGGCGTAGTGTCTAGAGGCTTCTCAGAGTCCTGGGACTGCCTGTCCACCGACTTTTCCTTAGACTTTTGGCCTAGATAGTCGTGCCCCTTTTTTTGCTTTTCACCTGGAATACATGGATAATTAATTGGAACTATGATGTACTGAATCTAGGGCAATGGATCCATTCTTCCTCAGTTGCCTACTTTGGTTCAGAGTGAAATAGGCAGCTTGGAAAACCTGGGGCACTCCATTTCCCTAAACTGCATGTTTCCCCCTGGAAGAAAGGGTTCCCAAGGCTTGGTCATCGAGAGAGGGCCCGGGCGTAGGAGGGGCGGGGCGCCCGGCACCCAAGCCCTCGCGGGTGCCGGCCGCTCCAGGGAGACGGCGGCCGGCGGCCCTTTACCTTTCTCGGGTTTGTGTTTGCTCCTGCCAAGTCCCATAGGGGAGCCCGCCGCCCCGCTGGCACAGCCGGGCACCTGCACTTCGGCGGGCGCGGCGCCAGTGACTCACAGACGCTGCCACCCGGCAGCGTCGCGCGGTCGCCACGGCAACGCCTCGGCTCGCAGGACCGGCCGCGGTCCTCTCGCGAGAGGGGCCGGACGCCGGAAGTAGGGAGCGACCCGGAAGTTCCCACCCGGCGGAGCTGGTCGCCTGTTCGACGACCCTCCGGCCGATCTCGTCCCACCGCCTCTGCGAGGGCTGCCGCTGCCGGACTGGCCATGGACGGTAAGAGTCGCCGCCCTTGGGGGCGCGGGCGAGCGCCCCAAGCCTCGATCCCGGCCCTCGACCCGCGGCTTCCGACCCCCGGCCCCGCGCAGCCTCCAGCTGCCCCTCAACGCCCCAGCTTCGGTCCCGGCGAGGGAGAGCGCCATTCGGGGCCCCGGGACGTCGGGTCAGAGGGCGCCGCCAAGAGAACTAGCCAAGCTCGGGCCGGCAGCACCTTGCGCGCCAGGCCTGCCCCGCGAGAGCCCCCGCGGTGGGGCCTGCGCCCCGGTAAAGGAGACGGCGGGGCGGGGCGGGAGGTGGCGGCTGCCCGCGTTTGCTGGCGCGATAGGGAGGTTTTGAAAATCACTTTGTGACGTGCGACAAGCCACGCAGCCATGTCGGGGTCGCGAAGGAAATTCTGTAAAAACGGCCTCAGAAGATGAACAGCACCCACCCCAACACACACACCGATGTTCGTGTTTGCGCCCCAGTTCACTCTGCCCTCCAGGGAGCTTTGTCTTGCCCGCGTCGCTTTCTTTGGGGTGAGATTCTGCCGTAGCAGCGTTTGGCGCTTGGGCCGCCTGTGTGTCAGGTGGGCTGTGGTGTCGAGTCCCCGCTGGGGCCTTGACCAGGCCCGCGCGGAGGGCCGCCGCCCTGGGCTCCGCGGGCAGCCTCTGCACCCCAGGCTGCGGACAGGGCTTGCGGTCGCCCCCTGAGCCCGTGTGGCCAACCTCCCCAGGAGTGGGGTCGGTTGAGAAAGTGTTAAGCCATCCTAGCAAGTCAGGTCCCAAGGGGCTCAGCCTGGATCGATGGCTCCGCTCCTTGATGATATAAGAGCCATCTCTCCGCTGTCTCCACCCATTTACTTTTGGAGAGAAGAAGTGTATAAGGAACAACACCGTCAAGCGCTGGCTGGTGGGGCTCAGTGTGAGTCGAAGCAGCGACCTGAGAACCACAGGGTCCGCAGTTCAGTTCCCAGTCAGGGCACAGGCCTGGGTTGCAGACCCAGGTGGGGGCGCGAGACAACCACACACGGATGTTTCTGTCCTCTTTCTCCCTCCCTTCCCATCGCTTTACAAATAAATAAATAAAATCCTAAAAAAAAAATACACCGTCAAGGACTGAGCCTTATGAAGTGGGGGCAGGGACTCCAAGGGACCTTTGTAAAGTTGCATGAGTTACAAAGTAGCACCGCCTTGAGTTCCCACCAGGGGCCACACGCTGCCTGTGTGACCGCCGTGCCCGCATGCCATGCCCGCCCTGGAGGTCAGCGGGTGCCGTCCTGGGGTTGCCGGCCCAGGCCAGCGAGGGAGCAGAGCGCGGTGGCGGTCCGTCGGCTGAGGCCCCATCAGCCGCGTCCGCGCCTGGGCTCTGGTCCTGCTCTCTGGGCCTCGAGGGCCCCGAGGGCCCCCTCTGCTCGTTGGAAGTGTTGTTTCGCCCATTTCTCGGCGTCCTCAAACCACAGCCATCCCCTCTTTGCAGACACGCTGTTCCAGTTGAAGGTACGTGCTGAGCGGCCGTGCGCCCCCGCCCCGTCCTGCTGCTGCGTGGACACGGATGCTCGGAGGGACTGGTCGTCGAGTGGGCGACCTCTGCCCAGTGTTCAGCCAGAGCGGTGACAAAGGGGATCACTGAGTTGCCTGACGGCACCTTTCTCTGTGACAGAAAGTTCCAAGTACCAAGGGCATAGGGGACCCCCAAGGCCATGGGGAGGCCCGGGGGCTGGTGGGTCCTCTCAGGTGGGCCGACGGGACTCTGCTGGCAGGGCCAGTGCGAGGAGACTGTGGGCCCTGGGGGCTTGGGCCTCCCGGGCAAGCTCCCCTGCCAGCTGCCTGGGCAGGGGGGGGCCACTCTGCCCAGGGATGGGGTGGGGCCCCCCAGCAGGGAGGGGCTGGGGTGTGTGAGGTGCCCCAGAGCCCCTGGCCGGGGGGCCTGGGACACTTGGCCCCGGAGCAGCCTTTGTTCAAAGGTGGTGGGAGCGGCCGAGGGCTCTGGGAAGGAGGAGCGAGGCCAGGGGTCAAGGAGGACGGGGAGGGACAGGGCTCCGAGGCAGGCTGACCTTCAGAGCCTGCGGGCGGCCAGGCGGGCAGGGTGGGAGGCAGAGGTGGACGTGGCGGCCGAAGAGCAGCGCTGGGGGCGGGGCTGGGTGTGCAGGAGGTGGGAGAGAGCCCGGGTGTCGCCCTGAGTGGGTGGGGTGTCCCCTGAAGGGCCCCGTGTGGGTAGGCAGCCCAGTCCGGCGGCGCGTGGAGGACACAGGCCCAGGGCCACAGGCAGCGTCGGGGGAGAGAGTGCCCCCTGCCCGGTGCGGCGACGGCCCCTAGAGCCCCTGCGCCTGCGGTTACAGACGCCCCCCCCCGCCCCCCCGCCTGGGAAGGGAGGGGCCGCAGTGTTAGGCTCTGATGGAGGAGTGCACCGGGCGGTTAGGGGCCAGCAGGGGGCCTTCGAGAGGTCCGGAGTCCCGGGAGCCCGGGAGCCCGGCAGACGGGGGCTGGCCTTGCTGGTCTGACCCGGGCGCCCGCCTCTGCTCAGTTCACAGCGAAGCAGCTGGAGAAACTGGCCAAGAAGGCGGAGAAGGACTCGAAGGCAGAGCAGGCCAAAGTGAAGAAGGTGAGGTGGTGGCTGCCACTATTAAAACAGAAAAGTTACTGATTTTAGAGAGGGGGACGGGAGGGGGGAGGAAGAGAGAGGGAAACATCGGTGTGAGAGAGAAACACCGCTTGGCTGCCTCTGGTATGGGCCCCGAGCGGGACCGAACCCCAGCACCCCCCAGGCCTGTGCCCTGACGGGGAGTTGGTCCTGCGACCTTTCGGTCCACAGGCCCGCACCCGGCACGCTGAGCCACACCAGCCAGGGCTCCTGGGGTCTTTTTGGTGGGCGTCACTTCCACACAGGGAAGGGTGGGCCTGCCCGAGGCCTGCAGTGGCTCTGTGTCTGCCCCTGACAAGGCATCCAGGGCAGGAAGGGGAGACGTCGCCGGTGCTTTTTCTCGGACGGTCCATGGCTTCTGTTCATTTCCAACGTCCTGAGCTTGGTTTTCCCACAGATTGTGTAGGAAGTGGCTCCTGGAGGCCCCTCCCTGCCCACAGGCCCCTCAGCCCTCTCTTCCACAGTGAAGGTGGTGTCTCAGGCTGAGGGGAGGCGACCCCGCTGTGGGGTGAGGGGCAGGGCAGGAGGCTCTTGGGGTCCCATGCCAGAGAGGGGTGGCAGGGGAGGCTGGAGGGGTCTGGCAGCTCTCAGTGGGGGGTCCCTCACAGGAGCTGAGTGCAGGTGTGGGGTCTGGTGACTTCCCCCCTGAAACAATGGCTCCCAGGGCGGGAGGGAGGCCCGCGAGCCAGCCGGCTGCGGGCCTGAGTCCTTTGCAGTCCGCGTTGCCCACTCTGGTGGTGGCGGGAGAGGCCCGAGTGAGTCGGGGGAGAGGCGGGCGGGGACATGTGGCCCTGCGTCCAGGGCTGTCCCATCGAAGCCCCACGGTGGGCTGGTCTGAGGCCCTGCCCTGGACACCCTGGCCCCTGAGCAGGCTTGGGGCCCGGGCGTCTGCGTTTTCATGGCGCCCCCGGCCCTGCCGAGGGCTGGGAAGGGCGCATGCCGGCCGATGCCCTGGGAAAGGCCAGCGCCCAAGCCAGGCTGGTGTCACCGCGCATTTCAGGCCCTGCAGCAGAAGAACGTGGAGTGTGCCCGCGTGTACGCAGAGAATGCCATTCGCAAGAAGAACGAAGGCGTGAACTGGCTCCGCATGGCGTCCCGTGTGGATGCCGTGGCCTCCAAGGTGCAGACAGCTGTGACCATGAAGGGGGTGAGTGCTCCGCTCAGGCTGCATCCCGGGGCGGGCCGGAGCTGGGAGGGAGAGCCCCCCGCACAGCGGTGCGCGCCAGGGAGAGCAGCGCCCGGGAGCCACAGCGCCTCGCACTTCGGTCTCCTTGTGTCTGCTGTCGGCTGGGTGGCACTCCGTGGGGACTCGCTTGGGGAGGGCCTGTGCGGCCTGAGGGCTGCCAGGCTTGGCTAGGGCTGGGTCTTAGGGTCCTATCGGCCTGGGTAGGGGAGGGCTCTGAGGCCTGGCCCTGGTGGGGACATCCCTCCCTTCAGGCCTGTTGCCTCTCCTTCTGTGCCAGGTGACCAAGAACATGGCGCAGGTGACCAAAGCCCTGGACCGGGCGCTCAGCAGCATGGACTTGCAGAAGGTGTCTGCGGTGATGGACAGGTTCGAGCAGCAGGTGCAGAACCTGGACGTGCACACCTCGGTAGGTCAGCATGCCTGCCCGCAAGCGGGCAGTGCGTCGGGTGGCAGCTCAGCGGCCACCGTGCGCTCCTCCCTCCCCATGCAGTGAGCGTCCTTTGCGCTGAGCTGCTGTGGGGCCGCTTCTGGGGCCCCGGAGCCCCTGTTGGGGTCCCAACAGCACAAGCTCGAGCAGAGGAGGCCTGGGGGGTGGGTGGCTGGGAACGCTCTCTGCACGACAGGCCATTCTGCTTGACCCCAGAGGCTGGAGAGAGCCCGACGAGGGCTGCCCCGGGCGCCGAATGGGGGCTGGAGTTGGGGGGCAGGCGGAGAACGGGGTCTGGCACGTGGTTGTGTTGCGGACCAACAGCCTCGGCGAGGCTGCAGCGGGGCTCCCGGGCACAGGCCTGACGCCCAGACCCAACCCCCAGGTGATGGAGGACTCCGTGAGCTCGGCCACCACGCTGACCACGCCGCAGGAGCAGGTGGACAGCCTCATTGTGCAGATCGCTGAGGAGAACGGCCTGGAGGTGCTGGACCAGCTCAGCCAGCTGCCCGAGGGCGCCTCGGCCGTGGGCGAGAGCTCCGTGCGCAGCCAGGAGGACCAGCTGTCGCGCAGGTGCGAGGCGCCCGGCGCCGCGGCTGCCAGGGTGGGGGGGTGAGCTCGAGGCTGGAGGCGGCTGCAGGGGCACGTGTGGCCTGCGGCTGCAACCTGGAGCCCCCCACGTGCAGGTGCGGGTGGGTGGGCAGCTGAGCCCAGAGGGGAGAGGGCCCTGGCCGGAGGGGCAGCGGAGGCCGCGCAAGGGGCCTTGGCTGCCTGTGGGCAGACTCACAGGTCCCGCCGCCCCCACAGTGGTTCTGTTGTCGTTTTTTCAGGTTGGCCGCCCTGAGGAATTAGAGCCGGGCGGGGAGCTGCCGTGTCCCCCGCATCTCGCCTCTGGGCTGACCCTGCGGCAGCGGCAGCCCCCGCCGTGCCCGGCATCTCTTGCCTGCCAAGCCTAAAACCTCCTGTCCTCTTAGGCTGGTGGTGGGTGAGTTTGCACAGACTTCTGACTTTTCGTGGGTAATTTCTGTGACTCTTGGCCAAGCAGCTGGCGGATCAGCAGGCTTCTTCTGCGCCCAACTCTGCGAGGACGTCTTGTGACGGCGCGTGTGCTGCCGGCCAGCGACCAGTGGGGGGTCGGGGTCCCTGTGCCAGACAGCACCTGCAGCCCTCCCAGCAGCAGGCAAGGGCTCCCCCGCCCTGGGACAGACGCGGGCCCAGGCCCCAGGACACGTGCAGGGCGCCCTCGAGCCCCCGCCCCCAGCATTCCCCGTGCTGCCTTTGCAGGGCGTCGCGGGGGTCAGGCCCTGCCCCCCAACCAGGAGGTGCGCTCCCGCCAGCTGGCTGAGCCCGCGGCGCCCGGCCCCGAGTTCAGGCTGCATCCCTCTTGCCCCCTCACCCCGGCTGCCTCTGGAGGGCCCTGGGGATGCACCGACCCCTCAGGGCCCTGCCACGCGTGGCCACGGCTCCTGGTGCCGAGCCCCAGTGCCTCTCCCACCAGCCCCCCCTGCTCTGTGCCCGCACCTGCGCCCGCGGCCGGCCCGGCCGGGCCCTGTGTCCCGGATGGAGCCGCAGGCTCGTCCAGGTGACGGGCCGGGGCGGCCTAGACATGGGCGGTGTGTCCTGCCCTTCACGGTCCTGGTGTTTACTTCACTTTCTCGAAGCTGTTTGTTCTGAGGTGTTCTTTTAGTTTTTTGGGTGTCTTTTATTTTGCCAAAACAGAAGGAGTGGGCAGCAGATGGGGGTTCTGGGGCCTGCGCCCTCCTCGGTTGCTGACAAGGCTGGCGCTGCTCGCCCTGCCCCACCTGCCCCTCCCAAGGCCCGGCGGCCCCGTCTGCCCGTCTGCCCCGTCTGCCCTCACGCCGACAGCCCTTGTGAACAGAAACGCTGGCGGCCTTCACCGGGACTTCTGCATTCGCGTCTTCCTGGACGGGGAGCCCGCAGGTGTTCTGCGCAGTGGGTGGTGTTGGGGCAGCCTTGGCGGCCGTGGGCTGTGGGTCGGACCCGAGAGGGGGCGGGCACTGCCTGGCCCTCCTGAGATGCAGACCTCACCGGGCTCCCTGGCCGTGGCTTCCCGGGGCACCCACGCACTGGGGTGTCGGAGAAGGTCCTGGGAGTCCCGGACCCCCTTGGGGGAGGGCTGTGGCTCGTGAAAGGGCCGTGGGTGCCTGTGCCCTTTTTCTGAAATGCTGTTGTGAGTAAACACGGTGGTCGCTGCACAGTGCCTCCAGGTGTGCTTTAGTGGCCTTGGGGCCGGGGTGGGGTGCGGCCGGGACTCCGTGGCCGTCCAGCTGCGACGCGAGCGCTGAGGGGGTGCCTGGAGGAGGGCGCGTGGGCCCAGGGAATGCAGGTTCCCAGGCCCTGCCTGGACAGACAGGATCTGGAGTTCGTACCTTGAAGTGATTGTAGGCTTGTCCTTGGGTGGACCAGCTTCCCTCGCATCCACTTCCTGGTTAGCCATGCACGACCGGTGCAAGCAGGAAACCCGCGCAGTCACTGACTAGCCCTGCTCCCACCCCCCAGTCTGGGACAGTCCCTCCTGTTGCTTTGTCTCCATCACCTGGATGGGCCTGTGTGCTGGCCAGTGAGTGCAGACCGCCCCTTCAGCGTGATATTTCCATCTGACGATGCTGACATCGCAGCTGCTGGCAAGGGCCCCACGGAGGTGGCCTGCTGTCCTCGCGGGGTCTTGCCAGCTGCACCGGGCGGCCATCTTGCTGCCCCCCTGGGACAGGCGGCGTCAGCCAGGTGCCCCCCACTGGGTGTCTTGTGGGAGAGCTTGGAAGGCCGCAGACGGGCAGGCGTCCTGCTGGGCCCTGAGCACGTGCCTCCCTGGGGCCGCGGGCTCCTGTCTGAGTCTGTGCTGAGGGGTCACTGCCCTGCCATTCTTTGTGGTGACACAGACTGGGTGCTGATGGCGTCCTCCAGCCGCCCCGGAAGCTGCCGCTGCACGTCTCCGCGCGTGCCGGAGACCCCGCGTGCGCCGAGGAGCCGGGTCTGGCTCCCTGCCCTCGAGGCCCCGCTGCCACGTGCTCGCTCCCTGCGCGGCTGCCGGGCCGAGCTGGACCCGCAGGGGCAGCTCATCCGCGACGCGCGTCGTTGCTGCGCCCCCGGCCGGGAGGCGGTCGGCTGTCCGAGAGTCACCTGTGTTCAGTTACGGGTGACCCCCAGCTGCCCCGGCCCCCGACACTGAGGGCCGTGGGGCTGCTGTGCGCCCGGCCAGAGCGCTAACGTGAGCCCTTCCGGGGGAGCAGGGCCCGGGCGGCCAGCGTGTCCCCCAGACTGACCAGGTCGGGACGCTGCCAGCACGTGCCCGCTCACCAGGGGCTCCGTGCTGTGGCCTGGGCCTGCCTCTGGGCAGCCAGGGCCCAGCACCCCAGGCTGTTGCCGCGCGCCGCCTCCCCTCATCCCCGTGAGGGGCGGTGTGTTCCCCGCTGGCGTGCGCACGCGCAGGTGCACCAGGGCTGGTGCTGGGCCGCGGGGCCCCCAGAACCAGCTGTGGCCTGCGGCCCTGTGGTCTGGCTCCTCGGGGGGAGGCTCTAACGTGGGGGAGACCCTTCCAGGGTGGGCAGCGCAGCCTTTCTCATGAGAAAACGAGCGACCCCAGCACCGGCTGAGAGCCCCGGCACGTGGGGGCCGGCAGGACCCGGCCAGCTCTGCGGAGACCTTCGCTCGCTGTTTTTCTCCTTTAACACGAATCTGATGTTAAGTGATCAGCAGATGCTCACAAAGGTGCCTCTGGAGGGGGCCCAGCTGGGAGTGAGAGGTGGGGCCCTGCCCACGGGCCAGCTCCCAGGGCCCGGACGCGTGGCCGGGGGTTCGCGCTCCCTCCCAGCGTCCACGTGGGGCCGCGTCCAGCGCCAGCCTGTCCAGAGGGGCTGTTTGGGCCTGGAAAGGGCTGGGTGTGGGGCCCCCCGCGGGGTCCACGGCCGTGCAGGTATTCATCTCAAGACATGTGCACAGAATGCCCAGCAGGGGGTGCTGCCTCCCCCCTCGTGAGCTCTGCCCGGCAGGGTCAGGCAGGGCTGTGGAACAGACCCTGCGGGGGGCCCTGGCAGCAGAGGGGGAGCTGCGGGGGTGGGCGTGTGCACGTGCACATGTGTGTGTCTGCAGGGGCAGGTGCACGCACCACGAGGAGGACGTGGGCGTGGGGGGGGGTGTCTGTACAAGGACGTGGGGGTGCACTGGAGCCTGGGCTGTGTGTTTAAGGGCCCCCCTGCCACGTCCTGCGCACCCCTCCCCAAACCCCTGTCCCAGGCCTGGATGTCCAGCCGGGGGCCACGTCACCGGGCTTGCCCTGGAACACACAGGAGGCACCTCCAGGGTGACACGCCGTCAGGGCTCAAAGGGCTGGCGCCTTTATTGGGGGTCCTCTGTGGGACGGGTCCTGCGCGCCTGCCCCGCTGTGAGCTACCCAGGGAGCCAGGCCTGCTCAGGACGGGGCAGCCCAGGCCTGGGCGCAGGGAGCCCGGGCTGCTCGCGGCCACGTTCTCCCTGAGCCTCGAGACCGGGGTGTGGTCCCCACGGGGTCACGGGAGACGCAGGTCGAGGAGGGCGGGAGCGAGGGTGAGGGCGGCCAGCAGGGCCCCCGGCTGGGGGCGGAGGCCGGGGGTGCCCGAGTGCTTGGGTGAGCAGGGGTCCTTCGAGGGCTGGAGGAGCGCCTCCTCGGGGGGCAGGCTGCGGTTGCTCGCCTGCGGAGGACACACACAGTGGGCCGCCCGCCCGCCCGCCCGCCCGCCGAGGGGCTGGGTGCGTGGGGCGCTCTCCTCACCTGCTCCACCGCTTCCAGCACCCTCAGCAGGTTGTTGGCCAGGGCGCCCCTGACCTCTTCCTCTGTCCACTGCCTCCTGAGCAGCTCGGCCACCAGGTCTGGGTACTTGGACACGTCCTCGAGCCCCGTGGGGACCCTGAGATGAGGGCAGAGAGGACCAGGCTTCGCTGTCCCGGGGTCGCGGCCCTGGGGGTCCGCCCGCCTCCCCACCCTGAGGCTCAGGGACCTGACACAGTGACCCTCAGAGGGAGGCCTGCTGGGACCGCCCACCCTGGCCCCACAGCCCTGCGGGGCAGGCTCTTGGGGGCCGCGCCCTGCAGCTCCCCCGCGGAACAGTCCCTGTCCTCACCTGGAGACGCCGTCGAAGTCCCCACCAAAGCCCACTGCTCCGGCCCCCGCCACCTTCCTGATGTGGTCCAGGTGGTCTGCAAGGGAGGCGGTGGGTGTGGGTCCTGCCGGAGGCCCTCCCCCGCCCGGCCACAGCCGCTCGCGCCCACCTACCCGCTACTTGGGACAGCGTGGCTTCCTGGTCGCAGGCGACGTAGTCGTTGTAGAAGTTCACCATCACCAGGCCGCCTTTCTCCTTCTGCTCAGGACAGAGAGGAGCTGGGGGCATGGGGGCAGCTCGGGCCCGCGCAGCCCGCCCCCGGGGCCCGCCCGGCACCCCGGCCGCCTCACCACCAGCTGCAGCACGTCGTCGGGCACGTTCCGCCGGTGCCTGCACAGCTGGAAGGCGGAGGAGTGGCTGAAGATGACCGGGGCCACGGACAGGTTCAGAGCAGCCTTCATGGTGGCCACAGACGTGTGCGCCAAGTCGATGATGACGCCCAGCCGGTTCATCTCCCGCACCACTCTCTGGGGGGACACGGGGCTCAGGGGACGGGAGAGCCCAGGCCCGGCCGTGGGGGGCGAGGGTGGGGGCCGGGCCAGCCGCGCTGTGCGCTCTGGTGTGGGCACGGCCTTGCGGGGTTCGCTGCGGCCCTCCAGGAGGCCCGGGGCGGGGGAGGGCAGTCAGGCAGGGGCCCCGGCCTGGCCAGGGGTTAAACGCTTCGGTGGCTAGAAGATTGCGGTCACTGTAATGACCAGTGGGTTCCAGCCGATGCCCGCCCTTGGGCGACCCCAGCCAGCTTCATCTTGTGAGGACACCGAGGTCCCAGGAGGTGAGACGCTGCCTCCCGGGTCACGTCTCCTCTGAGGGTGACGGTGCTGGCCCCTGTCACTCACCTTCCCAAAGTCCGACAGGCCTTTGTTCTCGGCCTTGTCCTCCCCCGTGTCCACCAGCCAGTTGTCCGCCCTGGGGGAGGGGGAGGCGCGGTGTCGTCCTCACCCATCGCCCACGTTGGGACTTGCTGGCGGGGAGGAAGCAGCCAGGGCCCGGGAGCCCACCTGCAGCCTCCCACCCCCAGCCGGGCGCCCGGGGCCGCTCACCAGGGCGTGTTACAGCTGTGCGTGAGGGTCAGGTACCGCATCCCCAGGTGGTAGAACGCCCGCAGGACGCCCAGGCTGCTGTCGATGGAGTGGCCACCCTCCACGCCGACCAGACTGGCCACCTTCCTCTCCTGGAAGGCCTGCCGGATGCCTGTGAGCAGAGCCAGGCCGCGGCTGTGGGCGCTGAGGCAGCCGGTGTGCCCGGGGCGGGGAGCGGGCGACGGTGGGCGGGGCCAAGGAGGCAGGCTGGGCCGGGACCCACCTCTGCTGTCGGTGACGCACAGGAAGGTCTCAGGGTACCTCTGGCACATGCGGTGGATGACGTCTATCTGCTCCAGCGTCCTCGTCACCGCATCTTTGTTCTGGGTGTTGCAGGGTACGAAGGCAGACCAGAACTGGGGGCGGGGGAAGCGGGCAGGGGCTAGGGGCTAGGACCTCAGGCCCCAGGCCCCACTCCCTACATGTGTATGGACATCTGGCTGGCCCTCCTCCCACGTTGGAAGCCACCTCCACAGCGTGCATGGCTGTCAGAGCTCCCGCCAAAGATCTGCGGCCCCAAGGAGACCGGGGGCGCGCCGCCTCCAGAGGAGGGCTGCATCTTGGCCAGGACCCCGGGGAGGAGGGAGATGGACGCCCAACGTGGGCGAGCGCAGGGCCAGCCAGGCAGTACCTGGCCCCCCACAAAGCCAGCCCTCAGCTTGGGGATGTTGGTGTGGGTGCCGTTCAGGTGGTACAGGTCGGCCTCGCTGCTCCAGAGCTGGTTGTTGAACCTGCTCTGCAGCTCCCAGGGCAGGTCGTTGTGCCTGGAGGGGCCAGGAGCGGGGAGAGGAGGCAGGTCAGCGTGGCCACTTGGACCTGGGGCTCCAGGCTCTGTCCCTGGCCTCTGTCTGCTCCCCAGTTCCTGCCTCTCACATGCTTAGGATGGAGGCTGCCCGCAGGTCACAGATTACTCGTTACCTAGACACACCTGAGCCACGTCACCTGAGCTGAGAGCCCTGAGTGGACAGGCCTTCCCTCCGGGAGACTTTCCCAGGTGTTGAGCGTGTCCGCGCATGTGCGTGAGCAACACAGACCCATGGGGGCTGGTTAGAATGCAGAGTCTCAGGTGCGCGCAGCCCCGCCCGTCGGAAGCTGCGAGCAAACGCACGTGCGTGCTCACGCGCCCATGGGGCATCTAGGCAGGAGCCCCCCGGGTCCCTAATCCAGCGGCCAGGGGCTCTGAGGACAGCCTGGGCCCAGAGAGGGCTTCGTCCCCGGGACGCCAGGGCCCTCGGTGCCACCGCGGGCCCCCGCACGCCACCACTTGCTCTGTGGGCTCCGTCTCAGACCCTGGAAGCCGCCCCTGCTCTCTGGGTAGGGCGGGGGTCTGTGAACTGTGAAATTTGATGGATGCGACAGCACCTTGCTGCCTGCGCGGGTGGGGGGGGGAGCGCTGGGCCAGGTCCCGGCCTCACTGTGGGGTGGGTGGGGTTCCAGTCTGGGCGCCGGCCCTGGGGCGGGGCGGGGCTGGGCCTCTGGAGGGGACATCACTCCTTTCCTGGAGAACCCCATCTGCCTGGGAAACCCAGTCCCTCCAGCTGCCGCTCAGAGGGAGGCACGCGCTGTCTTCCCTCCCCTGCATCGTTTCCACCCTTCGCTGGAACCCAAAGTCAGGGACCAGGCTGCCTCTGTCCTGTGGGCCACCCTGCTGTCTCGAGCGCCCTCCTCCCCCCTCATCGGTGTGGCCGGGCATCGAGCGCAGAGGTGCTGCAGCCCCTCCGGGCGACGGCGAGGTTTCCGAGTGCCGGGAAGTGCCGGGAAGTGCCGTGCAACAAGCACGCCTGGCGGCTGCTGCAGGGGACGGTGCTGGCTGCCGTCTTCCTCCGCCTCTTCCTTGGTAACAGACCCTGCCCCCCGTTTTTAGCAGGGCACGTAGCCGTTCAAAGGAGACATCGCCTGCCCTGGCTGGTGTGGCTCAGGGGCCTGAGCGCAGGCTTGCGGACCAAAGGGCTGCTGGTCTGACTCCCCGTCGGGGTCCCCAGCAGGGGGCGTGTGAGAGGAAACCACATGTGGATGTCTCTCTCCCTCCCTCCCTTCCTTCTCTCTCTAAACATAAATAAATAAAATCTTAAAAAAAAAAGATACGGATACTTCCTGTTCCCTTACAGCTGGGTGGGGCCACGTCTAAATCCGTCCTGTGACAGCTTCCGAACAGCTGTCCGTGACAGCTGTTGCTCGCCTGTTGCCCCTCTGTCACTGCTCGATGGCAGGCAGACAGGGCGGCCGGAGCTGGCCCAGCCACGTCAACCTGAGGTGCCCTGGGGCACGGTGGCCGCGCGCAGCCTCCCCCATGGCTTCTCTGTTGCTGAAGCTACTTTCTGGGTGTCTTTCCTGCAAGAACAGCTGATCCTGGCTCATTGCTGCTCCTGGGCTCAACCGGGCCAGGCGAGGCCCAGGTTTCCAGGCCCTGGGTCAATCCAGATCCCCACACCCCAGTTCTCTGAGTGTCCCCCGCTGCCGGGCCTCTTCAGGCCTCTGCACAGCCCCCAACACCTGAACGGGGACCCCCTGTCTCTGTGCCCTGCTGCCCTGAGACCCCTGCAACGACAGGGCAGTGCCTGCCCCATGGCACAGCCCCCCGGCCCGGCCCCCAGCGCCTAGCGCTGGCCCGCGAGTGGCCACTTACCCGTCAATGAGAGGCGTGACCTGCATGATTCTCTTTGCCTGTTCCAGGAACTTGTCTGCAGTGCAGACAACCAGCAAAGGCCAGAGCCACCAGCTGGCCCACATGGCAGTGCTCTGCGCCGCTCCTGGCCCGGCTGCCTTGTGTCCGAGGACGCGCTGCGGCTGGAAGACGGTACCAAGGTCTCTGTTCAGGTGATCGCTGTTTATCAGCGATCAGCACATTCCTGGAGAGGGCAGGTCAGTGCCAAGTCCCCAGGACCTGGGGCCGGGCCGGGCTAAGGGACAGTCAGAGGCTGCTGAACCCCAGGGATGGGCCTCGCAAGGACACCTGGGGCCTCCCAGGGCTGTGCTGTCCTTACCCCATCAGGAACGGGTCTGAGGTCTGCAAACTAGAGCTGAAAGTTACGTGAACTTAGCCCCGCCCCCCCACCTCCCAACCCGGTGCTGGAGTCTGCGGCCGCCGACCCCACAGGGCCCTCAGAGCTGCTCAGGCTCCGGCGGAGCAGGCCGGGCTTTGGCGTTCAGGTCGGAAGCACAGACGGCCAGCGTGCCCTCCGAGCGGGGGTCCTCCCTGCTGGCTGCACCCTCCAGTCTCCAGGGCCCGCAGGACGAAGGCCTCCTCGGATGCTGGTGGGGTGCTGGGCAGCCCATGCTGGTGGCACCAGGCTGGATGAGGGGACAGGGTGCAGCACTTGCCTTGGGCACAACTGTTGGGACGGGGGCACCAGAAACCCCAGTCATGACGGGAAGTGGTATTTTAGTGCGACATATGTTTTAAAAAGCTTTTATTTATTTATTTTTAGAGGCGGGGGGAGGGAGGGAGAAAGAGAGGGAGAGAAACCTCAATGTGTGGTTGTCTCTCCAGCGCCCCCTGCTGGCGACCTGGCCTGCAACCCAGGCCTGGGCCCTGACTGGGAATCGAACCTGCGACCCTTTGGTTCACAGACTCGCACTCAGTCTGCAAAGCCCCACCAGCCGGGGCAGTGCAATTTTTTTTTTTTAAATAACAAATTTGTGCAAAAATAATCAGCAATGAGCCAAAAATACCCCTTCAAAGTAAAGAAAGGGCCAGTATTCCGACTTGTCCACTTGGCTCGGCTCCAAACGGCTCGGCGAGGCTCTGGTCTCACAGGGACACCGTGTCGGTCTCCTAACTTCAGCTGCAAGTGTTTCTTGCAAGTCGGCGACAGGAGGCCATTTCCAGGAAGGACGCTGTGGGTACGACCACAGCCCGTAGGTGCTGCTTGGCGAGAACTCCAGCCACTCCGCTGCCACCGAGGGCCCCTCGGGGTCCCAGAGGACAGCGGAGCTCACATGGCTGGGAGGGAGCCCTCTGAGCAGGGCTGAGCCATCAACACCGTTTCTTCCTCTGACCTGAACCCCGTGGGGCGACCGACACAGGCCGCGCCGGCCGCAGGGTCAGGCCCGCAGCCTCCGCGCGCAGCGTCCCTGCTCCACACGGGCCACAGGCAGAGCCTGTCTGATCTGTGGGTTTTGCGCCTGCCCCGGGGTTGCCTCTCTTCTGAGCTCCGCACGTGAATCTGCTTCCATGCGGTGTCCGCACCGTGAGTCTCCCTCCTGTTCGGTGGTCGTCCTGATTTTGTTGGAGCTGGTGCTCCACGCCTCCCGTGGCTGTGGGCTTGCGGGGAGCAAGGGCCCGCGCCCTCGGGCGCCTGCAGGTTGTCCCTGTGCCCTCAGACTCCCTGGTAGGCCGTGGACCAGCCCCTCAGAGCCCGAAGGTGTCGCCGGAGTCCCGCTTCTTTATGGGGTAATGCCGTGTGGAGTCACTGTGTCACCCTCGGGCACTGCTGTGTCCCAGCAACAGGGCTGAGCTCCAGGTTGCTCCTCAGCAGCAGCGGGGCGTCCAGGACCTGTCCTGTCTTGTGTCGAGGAGCCTCCTGCGTTGGCCTTTTGTGTTCCCTCCCCGTGTGAGGCTCTCTTCTGTTCGTGTTCTGTTCACGTCAACTTAATGTTTTCTTTAGGGAAGCATTTTCTTTATATTCCGTTTCTCAAGAGAGGCTTCCTGTGTTTTGGTGGCTGTTGACCTGTTAGCTGCAGCGCCGGCTCTGTTTGCCCGGACCATCTGGAGTGCGAGGCCTTTGTCCTCAGCCCACAGAGTTCCTTCTCCTCGTTTGTTTATCTGGGCCTCCAGCAGCCGGCCGCCTCTGTCCCTTTGCATCCAGTGCCCGGGAGCGCGGAGCCGGGGGCGGCGGCGGCGGCACAGTGCGCGCAGGCCACCCCGACCCAGGCTCTGTGCGGGATGGACCGGCGGCCGCCTCAGACGGGGCTCGAGCCCAGAGTTGAGCAGAGTTCCCCCTGGGCTTGTTTCCAGTCCTGTCCCCATCTCTCACGCCACCTGCCACAGCGATGCTTGGGGCCAGGGCAGGGCCAGGCCCCGCCCACAGCTCCCCGGTACTGTGAAGCCCACCCCTCTCTCTAGAGGCTGGGCTGGCTGGGCTGACATCCTCTACCACCCGGCTCTGTCTCCCGGAGCAGCTGCCCCGGGGGCCTGGCCGGCAGCTCCAGCTTGGCCCAGCCTGCCTTTGACCTCAGACCCTGAGGAATTTGTAGCGCACAGACTGGTGGCTTCTCCACACCCGCCAGGTGGCCCTGCCCTGAACCCCACTCCCCCCAGGGTGTGCCGCACAGCGCGGCTGGCCGCCTCGTGACCCCCCGTGCCCCCGTGGGCACGGCAGTGGGTCCTTCTTGAGAGGAGCAAGGCTCCAGCCTCACCTCTCTGCCTCCCTCACCCCAGAAGCCACCCTCCTACCCCTCAGCCGGGCCCCAGGGCCCCTGCTCCATCCTGCCCTCCTTCATCCCCAGAGGGCTCCAGACCCCAGCCTGCGGCTCCCTCCCCTCCCCCCGCACGGTGCACTCACCTGTCTGTCGCCCAGAGTTCACACTCAGAGGCCTCGCTGATATACAGCAGGGGACCACTCACAGATGCACCGGGAAGCGCGCCCTTCCCCAGGAGGCTCCAGAGTTGGGGGGTCACAAAACCCAAGCCTGCAGCCCCGTCCTCAGGGAAGGTGCCCCAGGAACCTGCCCCAAGCCTCTCTGCTTCCCCTGCTGGGCTTGGGGGTTTGTTGATGTTACTCTCGAGTTTCAGCCCTCCCCTGCATTTTTCAGCCAGCTTCACTTGCACAAGAAAGCTACCTCTTAAAAATAAAATATCCCCCAAGGGCCTTTGCAACATCACCGAGCCCAAGGAGCTGGACTTGTGACACACGTCAGCTGGTTCTGGTTTCTGCAGACACAAGCGAGGTCTCCATTGGCCCGCGGGGTCGGTTGGGGGCGGGGGGCACCGGCTCCCTCTGACCCGCAGGCTGGGCTCAGGGCCCGGTCAGGCAGAAGGCAGGGACTGTGCTGGTGGCAAGGAAGGAGGGTCCCCGGTGGTGCCGTGGGGGGGGTCTCCGTCGGGGGGCTGATTGAGGTGGTGGGGGAGGGGGCTTGGGGCGGGGCCTCTGCTGTTCGCGGATGCCAGCCCGGCACCGCCCCGGCGCCCTGACCCCAGCGCCCTGACCCAGGAAGGGGCGCTCCAGTGCGTGCTCACACATGTGACGCGCCTGCAGGAAGTCCCAGCAGCCAGAACGCCCTCAAGCAGAACCGCCGGGCCCAGCTGGGGGTGGCTCCACCATGTGGTTTCCGAACTCAGAGGTCGGGATGGGGGCACACGCCCTCCCCCAGGGCTCCAGCGGCCGGGGGGTTGGGGGGGGCGTCGCTTGGGGATGCACAGCCTGGCCCGCGCCCGCCCCGGCCAGTCGCTGCCTCTGAACGGAGGGCAGTCTCCAGCTGGGGTGCTGCCCTGAGCAGTTCCAATGCCACACTTGGGAGGAAGGGGACACAGTGACCGTCCTGGGCCCAGGCGGGGGGCTTCCCCCTCAGAGCTCCCGGGGGCTGGAGTGAGAAGGGGTCCGATGGGGGCCACCTGCGCAGAGGCCAGCAGGGCTGAGAGGGCCACCCCGCGGCTCCCTGACCCCCTGCCCTGGCTGTGAACAGCACACAGAGCGGTGTGGGGGCCCAGGTCAGGGGCCGGGGGGCCTGCTCCCTGCGGAGGGCAGAGCAGGGTTGCTTGGGCTCTGGGCGTCCCCGAGGGTGGCCTGGACTGTGCGGCGACCGCCTGACTCCGCATTCGGGGCGACGTCCCTGTGGGACCCACCCCAGCCCTGACGTCGGGGGCTCCGCTGGCAAGACCCTCATGTGAGACCGGCAGGGGCCCTGGGTCTGGTGCTGGCGCCGCCCGGGGCTGGAAAGGCCAGGGGTGGAGGGAGAGAGTGCTGCCTTCGATGTTACTATTTTCTGGACTGTTTCACCTTTTCAGCATGTGCGTTAAAATGAGAAAATTAAATCAATGAAAACTGAGGCACAGGCTCCTGAGGGCTCAGCCAGGCACCACCCCCCCGCCCCCGCCCCCCGTGCATCATCCACGTGGTCGAAGGGTTCCAGCCCGCGCCCGCGCCCCACCCCCACCCCGAGGGCGGGGTCCTCGGGGACGAGGGACAGCAGGCAAGGGTGGGGGCTCAGGCCGGTGGCGGGGGTGCTCGTTGCACCTGGGACCCCATGCATCCTGCTCCCCGGCCTGTGGCCTGGGGGCACCGGGGTCCCTGGGGATCCCACGCTGAGTGGGGGTGAGGGAGGAAACGGGTCGGCGGCCTCGCGAGGACAGCGCCCTGGCACTGGGGTTCGGCCCCTCCCTGAGGCTCCCAGAGGAAGTCAGGGCGCAAGGACCCCTCCATGTGGTGGCTTCTCCGTTCTTTCTGGGACTGAGTGGCTCTGGGTCCCCAAACTGTCACCTGCGCGTCCCAGCTCAGAGCCAGGGCCTGGGCCCTGTGGGGATAGAAACCCCCTCAGCGTGGGGGTGGGGCCTGCGGGGCCCGCAGGTCCCCTGGGGACAGCGTTCGGGGGGCTGCCGGGCTTCAGGGCCTGTGTGGTGGCCTCGCAACCCCTTGTTTCATCCTTGACGTGTTTTCTAAGGGAGTCGGATGGGACACAGGGCACCGCTGCCTCTTCCCAGCTTCTCCCTCCGGAGCCCGTGGACTGAAAAATAAGTCACACTCAAAAATAGGCCCCACCCTGGGACTGAAAAATAAGTCAAAATGAAAAATCAGTCACACCCCAGGACTGAAAAACAAGTTGCAAAACCTAAGTCGCGCTGAAGAATAAAGAGAGGAAGAGTGGTCGACACAGGGCTCGCGCCCTCTGGAACTCCGTGACCCGCGCGAGGGCGCGCTCGGAGCCCTGCGGCCTGGGCATGCGCAGTCTGCGCCTCCGCCTGCAGGCCTGGGAGGGGCGGTGCAGGTCCCTGCGCAGCCTCCAGACCCCCCCGGCCCCGCCCCCGCCGCCGTCAGGACCCCCCCACTGCTTTGTTCTTTTTGCCTCCTGGAGGCTCCACCGCACGGGCTGCCGGTGCTTGTCCACTGCCTGCCGTCCCCCGCCCTGACCCGCCCCCCAGGGCAGAGGAGCTGACCCCACAGTCTGCCCAGCGGTCCCCCTCCACCCTGCAGTGGCTACGGGTGGCCCTGGATGGCGTCCCAGCGAGCGACGCGCAGGCGTCTGCAATTTGGTGCTTGGCCCCGGGGTGTGGGAGAAGCTGAGGGTCCTCGGCTGCCGTCCGCGCCCGCGGAGCCTCGTGAGGGAGTCGCGGCCTTGGCCGATCTGCCCCGGAAGGGCGGGTCTCGTCGCCCTGGCCCTGGCAGTTCCAGGGCCTGAGGTTCTCAGTTCAGCAATCAGCACGCCGCACCTCTGCAACCCTAATACAGCGCGGGGAGTGCCCGGCCGTGACCTTGGAAGGGCGGCCTGGCCCTCCCAGCGGGACACCCCGGTGGCTGGGTGTGGCTGCGTCCCCTGGGCCTGGAACGGGGTGCTCTCGAGGTGCAGGAGAGAGTCCTGTGGGGTGGCTCGTGGGGGCCACCGGGGTCTGCCTGCGAGATGGGCCGGGGCCCCAGGCTCAGCCAGCGCCGGTGGCCTCTCAGCGGCTCAGCCCAGGCTCCCCTCAGACCCACACCTGTGGGCGTGAGCCCCCGGCGGTCCCAACAGCTGGGTGGCAGGTGCCCGCCCCGTTGGCGACCCCGAGGCTGCCCTCTGGTGGCCGGGCCGGCTCCTGCCCTGCGGGGGGTCGAGGCTGCGCAGGGACCAGCGCCGCCCCCTCCCAGGCCTGCAGGCGGAGGCGCAGACTACGCATGCCCAGGCCGCAGGGCTCCGAGCGGGCCCTCGCCCCGGTCACGGAGTTCCAGAGGGTGCGCGTTGTGCGTCAACCACTCTTCCTGTGTTCATGTTTTGAAACACCCGGGACAGCATGTTGGGGGGCAAAGGTCCAGGCCTCAACTTCCTTCCTGTCCCTGGGGGTCCGTGTTCCACCCTGAGGCTCTCAGAGATGCTCCCGCCCCAGCAAACATTCAGAGGCATCCAAGGTCACCATCTGGACAGAGGGGACCCTTCCCGCCTCGCACCTCCTCCCCCAGCCCCCAGAGGCGTGGCGTGCGCACCCCTGACTCAGCAATAAACCTGGCCTCTGTGCGCAGGGGACGGAGGCCGGGAGAGGAGCACGTCTGGGGTGTCGGGCGCCCCGCCCCCACCCAGGACAGCCAGCTGCTTCCCCCCTCGGGGTGGAACGCAGGTCAGCAACCTTCCCTGAGTCCAGGGGAGGACCGCCTCGCATGGAAACGACGCTGCTGTACAAAGCGGTGGGGCTGCCAAGCCCGCGTCGCGTCCCGTCCCGTGGGCACACGGCACCTGCTCCCTGAAGGGGGGGCGGCAGGGCCCCGCAGACTCAGCAGGGCTGGGCCTCATCCCGGGACCCAGGGGGCTGCTGCTGGCCAGACAGGCACGGGTGAGAGCCGCGTCGGGACGCGCGGTGAGCCCGTTGCCTGCCTGAGCCCCGGGCTCTCTCCTTCCGGACTCCTAGCTGCCCCCAGGTGGCGTGTCCCCAGCTGGGCCCTGCGGGACCCGGGCTCCCGGGCAGGGGCTGTGCACAGCTGTCCCCGCTCTGGCAGCACCTCCCAGGGCAACAGGACCCGCGCCCTGGCCCCGGCCCACTCACCGTGGCCTCGGCGACGCTGGCTCGTCCCCAGCCAGGGCTCTGCCACCAGGGCCTCGCAGCTGCGCTGGCCCCACCCCGGCTACCTGTTCGCCCAGGCCTGTTCTCAGGAAGCGGACAAGATCCTGTCCCCACCTGCAGAGCCTCTTTCTCTGAGTGTGGAAGGGGGAGCGGGAGGAGTGGTCCGAGACAAAGGGGCCGGGCAGGAAGGACGGGGCTGTGGGCTGTCAGCTCAGGGGCCTGTCTGGGGCTGACGGGGCTGCCTTGTCTAGCTTTGCAGCTCCTGTCAGCTTTTGCATCCTGTGTGTTGCACGTTTTAATTGTGAAAATATATATGCCAAAAGCTACATAAGACTTGTGCATCCACACAGAAACCTGGACACATGTGTTCACAGCAGCCATTATTCACGAAAGACTAACAGCCCAAGTGTCCCCCAGCTGATGACGGGCAACCAGAGCGTGGCCCAGACGCGCTGCAGGCTGGCACCTCGGAAACACGCTGCTCTGTGAACAGCAGTCACACAGGACAAGGGTGTGGATGTGCAATGCCCACAGCTGGCCCGGCCGTAGAGGCGGGCGGGGGAGCGAGCAGTGGGAGGGACCGCAATGGGCACAGGGTTCTCCCCGCGGGGCGGTGGGAATCACCTCATGTGACGCGGCAGTGAGACCGAGGACTGAACCCGGTGACAACCACTGAACTGTGTGCGCTGAAGGGCTGGGTTTTCTGGTATGTGAACGACATCCTAATGAAGCCACTACAAAACATGCCTGTAGTTTGACGACTTATTACCCAAGTCAAGAACGAGGCCGCAGGCCCCTGGACCCCGCCAGTGACGCCTCGTCTTCCGGGGGCATTTCCCGCGACCGCAGCGCTCACTTTCAGTGCCATTGGGCCGGGCTCTGCCCCTGGGCCTTCGGAGACCTGGCAGGCGGCGCTTGCCCGCCTCCCTCCGTGGACGCGTGGGGCCCGCGACCCTCTGCCTGGGTCGGCGACTCGCTCTGAGTCAGTCGCGGGTGCTGAGGCGGCCCACGCGGTGCCCTGGGCTGAACGTGCGCCCACAGTTCGTGTGCTGGGGCCCGGCCATTTCGGGAGGCGGGGCAGCTGGGAGGTGAACTGGCTGAGTGCGGAGGCCTGTGCTGGGGCCTGTGCTTTCTTAGGGAGCGGA